TGCCCTAAATACCTGGCTAGAAGAAGAGCAGGCGACGCGTGGCGGCGATAACCGACTTGGCGGTAAGTAGGTGAAGGCAGCGGCAACTATATGGTCTCCTATATCTATATGTACAGTATATATATATGACTAATTGATTGGCGCAGACTGTGGTAATTGGGGAATTTGAATTGACATTACCACTTCTCATATTTCGCATTAATTTCCCCGCCTTAATTGGCGATCATCAAGCGGCAATTTATCGGCGAGACCCATCATCGGGCGCTGGGTCTATTTTTAGGCCACGCGTTGGGCGCCAATTCTTGGGTTGACCCGCTCATGGGGGTCACGAGTTCGGTTGGATCCGATTCCGCGCCAGATCCCGGCGGTGGGAGTAATAGAAATGCTGTGAAATTAGTGTATCTAATGTTTGTAAACCGACGCTCTCAGTGTCACGTTTCATTTTCTTATATTGTATTTTTATCTTTTGTATCTGGTTTTACACATACAATTATTTACTTTAGGCTTACTGTATAATTACCTGCTTCAACGTTCGAATTTTTTTATTCAATAAAAAAGTGAACAAGGTGTCGTTTTCATTTGTTATTTATAATGTAAGCTTTTTGCAAAACTGGTTTAGAATATGTTTAATAGATAAAAACTGATCTAAGCAAAATGACTGGTGCTACCCTATGGTATGCCCTATTTCAAGCATATATAAGGTAGTAGAACTATTTTTAATTTGGAGATTAAGTTTTAGTGGATTCCCAGAAAATATTCTAGAAGCATTGTAATATACGTAATCAAGGGGTCACTGTATTTTTGGCGCCATTTTCAACAGATGATTATCGCTCCATCGAGTGGAGTGGACTCTTAGTTTCTGGTGTTTGGGTTTGGCCACTTGCGGGCCGCCATAAAGTTGCATAATACGTCGACTGATGGCCGATAGCCGCCGCCATCCAAAGATTGGAGGCACCACCAGCCAAAGTGCTTCTGGTTCTGGTTCTGAGTTTGGGTGTTGGTTCTGGCCAGGGACCCTGAACTTTGCCAGTGCTACGTATTTCGAGCGGCTTATCTCGAAAGCTTGTAAAGGGGATGTGCGTTTGCAGTTCGAAGCAAAGCGAAGCGAAACGAAACGAAACGAAACGGATCGAAATGAAAAAAACCGAACTATAAAATGCGACACTCTTTATGCCCCCAATTGGCGTATAAACTCTATTAAGCAATTTATGCTCTAAACTGTCTGAATTGCTTAACTTCTTTATGGCACTCGCATTCGCATTCGGTTTCGGGCCCGCACGCTTATTTATTCTATAATAAACTTATCTAATAGTCATGTGCACTATATGCCCGCCCGCCGCATTGTTTTTGTTCTGGGGATGTTTGTGGTGCCAGCTCAGCTCAGTTCGGTGCGCTGCGGATCGGCTCGTCATGAAACAGAACAGCGTGATCGGATCGGATACCCACGGCCCCCCGCGATCCCCTCCCCTGAATTAAGGCGGCTCCCTCGGCGGATCGGGCTGATTCCGCCGCCTGGCTGATTCAGATGACTCTTCAAAAACCATGTCAGGCCATCTCAATTGCTTCGAGTGCCGGGCAGCTTCCCTTCATCCATATCCGTGCCAGTACAGTGATCTTCTGGCTGCCGAGTTGGGTTTCAAAAAGGCATAGAAACCGTCGAACCCTATGGATTCAGAATTTAATTATCTTGCCTTAAAAGATGATAAGAGCTTATGAAGTTGGTAAATCAATTGTATGTATGATCTATTCAAAAGTTTCAATGAAAAACGCTATAAAAGTACGGTGATCTCTCAGTTACTTAGAGGTTTGGATAAACCTTTTCGTTGATTTATAAATACATATTCTCCTTTGCAGATTTCTATCCACCAAATTAACAAGTTAATATGAAAATAAACTGATAAAAAAATCAACAATATAACACATCATAAGCTTACAAATATGTATTTTTTTATAGTTTCCACTCTTTCATTGGGATGCCAATGTTTTAAATATTGTTTCGTATAAATTATGATTTGTGCATTTTGCGTTTATGATTTCATTGTTTCACAGGTTTTACTGTACCTGCGCTGCGTGCTGAGTTGTGGGTGTGCGTGTTTGGCAAAAGAAAGAAAGGGGAGGTGTGTTTGGGGGAGCCACTTGGTTGGTGGCTTGGTGGCTTGGTGGCTTGGTTGCTTGGGGGCTTGGTTGCTAGGAAGCTGCGATTTGGGGATGCTAAGCAAAGCAAAAAACTAATCAAGAGCACAGAGCAAGTGCATATGGAAAAGGGGCAACTGCTGACGGCTGACCAATTGGCGTTGATTCAATTTGCTATCCATTTGCGGTACTCGGCACTGCCGCTGCAATTATGCCCATCAAATCTATCCCAATCCCGCGAATCAAGCAATTTAGCCATCATCATTATCATCATCACCCAGTGTTTTATATCAATTTGATGCCCTTGTGTGTTTCTGGGGAGAGAAAAGGCTTGAAATTGGTCATTATTTGGGTACTTTTCCCATATTAAAAAGTTTGCTAAAATGAATGTATAAAGTGAATTCATATTACTTATTACAGAATCAAATTAATATGAGGGAAAGCGATTAGTTTTTAAGTTTGCATTCCTTAAAGGCTTTAGCTTTAATTTGCCAATGTAACTTTAATTCGTTTTTTAACAAAACGTTTTTATAGTTTTTAAATATTTATAGTTTTATCATTTTATCATATCGTATTATTCTGATTGTTTAAGCCTTGTGTGAGAACCTTTCGGAGGCTGAACTTGTAGAGTAACCTTATCGCAGCTCAAGATCGACCTTCAATGGCGCTGCGACTGTTTCAAACCCGATCAAACACATAAAAAACGAAGTCCAAACCAAATCCAAACCGAATTGAAATCCGAATCCAAGCCCGTGGGCTTCCAGGTGTGTGCGTGCCATCGCTGACGTCACCGGTTTGAGGAACGTGCGCTGCTAATCTAAGTGTATACCATATAGCATACCCGCACTACACGAAAGTGGTAGAAAAAACTTAGACTCGTCTGTGGCGTTGACAAAAACTTCAATACATCAATGGCCGCACTCGAAAACCCGCACACACCAATCGGCGGACAGGTTTGCATGATTTATGACTCGCGGTTGACAGGCTTCGGGGCGAACAGGTGCGGATTCCACGGGGGTTAAGGTGCTCAGTGGGTTAACACCGGCATGCGGCTCTCTGGTGATCCAATTGCCACATAAGCCCGTTCGAGTAAGACAGGTATTAGAAACCGATTTGTTTTATTGCAAACGCAATTAAAAGGAACTTGAAACCCATCAGCTGAAAGTTATTGAACTCGCCATTAGGCATTGATACTACTTTTTGATGAATAAAAAAGGTTGCCTTATAAAAGCACGAAAACAAGAAGAATATAGAAGCTTCAAGTACAATAACTTAATGGAATATACCTGAAACTTTCGGGTGATTAACAGAATTTAATAAAGTCATTTGTTTTTGATTTCTTCAGTTGTTTTATTCGGTTTAAAGGTTCCTTACAATATTTTCGGTAACCTACATATATATTTACACAACCCATTTCTGTTTCTTTCCAGTTTTATTAATGATGCTCAATCAAACTTTTACAATAATTAGTAAATAGGAAGTAATAGTTATCCCTTGCCATAATTGACATTCCTTGGCATAAACTATTTCCCCCGGAATCACGTGACCCAAAACAACATGTTCTGTATCCAATCTGCCTGTGATAAGGCCACCCATTCTGAGTAATTACCGCTTATCAAAGTGATTCACCAAGGTCATCATTCGGTCTCTGACTGATTACTATAGAGTTTGCTTTGCGAATATGCTTTGCTCAGTGATAAAAACGATTGTGTTTGCTTTGCATAAATAGGTATTAGATGTAACCGGGGAGAGCAACTACAGAGATTGTTGGCCAACCCACACTTACAAGAAAGTAGATAAGTTGTCTGACTTTAATCCGATTTGGAGGGGAGTCTACAAAGCCCAAGGCAGATAAGTCAGATCACCAGAGAACTGACTTTAAACTGGTTTATGATAAAAAGAGAATGGGTGTTTCCCTAAATTCATTGACTGCTAATAAGTTTTGAGTGTAAGAAAGTGTTTAACTGTTTGTGTTTTGGCTCAGAAAATTGAAACCTTCCTCTTCGAAATATGTGACAACCCAGAACTCCCTTGGATATCATTTAATTCCCTAATCCGCTCCTGGAATTTCATGCTGTGCGTGAGTGGGCTTGAGATTAGTTGAAAACGCACGAATTCGACGAGTCCGACGTCCGAGTGTCTTAATCTTGATTTGTTTGTGTTTTGATTACTGAAATTAGCGGCTAGCGCTTATTGATGCATTAGCTCTGATTGCGACTCGTTCCCGGCTACTTGTGCCTGTCGTCCGCCTCTTCGATTCCCCATCAGATCCATAAATAACGAATGGCGCTCACGAGTCCCGGGGATCCAAAGGTGACCCGCCATTTAGCCATCCAGCCATCCACGCCAATTATCGAGGCCTCCAAAGCGGCAAAGGTTTCTGGTCTAACTTTAATCCAACTTTGCCCGAACAACAAGTCAATTAAGTGGGCCAACTCAGGTCCAAGGGCTATGGGGTTACACTCCAAAAACGAAACTGTGTTGAAAAATTTTCAAAGCAATGAAGAGGTATATTAAAATTCTCAACAAGTTAAAGTTAGGTGTTTCAGTATTATTTGTATACAATTTTGCAAGAGTTAATTTAGTTACCTTATATACACTTAAAGACGCATTTTTTGTATAGATTTCTGTATTTTAAAAAAGATTTTTAGAGTTAATTAGATCAAACTTCGTTATCAATGTTTGGATTTCTTAATAAGAATAAATGCTTAAGGAACAAAAAGTTCCCACTAAAGATTACTTCATTTATTTATATTTCCAAACGAAACACTTTGTTTAGGGTTTTTTTCTAAGTGACTTAGGATGTTTACCTTTGGGTATATAAAGTAGATTTCTAGCCAGGATGTGGCCCAAAAGGCTAGTCAACCATGTCCCAGTGGTTTCGGTTCCTGAAGCGCGATCAGCAGCTCTCCGTGTACTTCTTTGCGGTTCCGCGTCTCAGCCTGAATATAATGGGCTACTGGCCGGGGAGTTCCGGGGAAGTCCTGCCCCGAAGAGCCATCGTCCACTTTGTGATCCTGGCCATTGGCGTGGTCACCGAACTCCATGCGGGACTGCGTTTCCTGGACCGCCAGCAGATCTCTCTGGCTCTGGAGACACTCTGTCCAGCGGGAACCTCGGCGGTCACTCTGCTCAAGATGTTCCTCATGCTGAGATTTCGTCGGGATCTGTCGGCCATGTGGAACCGCCTGAGGCTCCTCCTCTTCGACTCCAAGGCGGAGCGACCCGACCAGCAGGCCATCCGCTTGAGGCACTCCGTCATGGCGGCCCGCATCAACTTCTGGCCTCTGTCCACCGGCTTCTTCACCTGCACCACCTACAACCTGAAGCCTCTGCTCATCGCATTGGTCCTGTTCCTCCAGGATCGCGGCGACGACTTCGTCTGGTTCACGCCCTTCAATATGACGTGAGAACACGGCGATTGCATTGAATTACTACACCAAGCTTTGTTTTAGAAGTGGCATTTCTTTACAGTCGAAATTCTGTTATATTTAGCCTATGATACCTTAGTATTTACTTCCAATTTCCAATTACAATTTTTATTATTTAAACCTTACTTTAAAAGGTTGTTAGTGGCAGCAATTTAATTTCTATTTTTAATTTTTTGCATTTAACAAAAATGCTTGCAAAATGGGAGAGTAATGTTTTAGTGCAGAATAACACTCCGTAATGAATTCCCTTTCTTTACAAGTTTAAATATTCTATGAACTTATATAAATATAGGCTGAATAACAATTTAACAAAGTGCACAAATTCAAGTTTTTAAACTGATCTATTTCTGTGCTTGCTAAATAACAGAAACATTAAGAAAAAACAATTTATTTTAAAAAGTCATTGAGAGGTTGTGTCTTAAAACAGATTTCAAGTGCTTATTAAAGTAGATTAGCACTAAATATTTCCCGGATTCAATGACAAGTAAGAGTTGGCTAAGTTATTTAATAAATTTTTTACAATATTCTACAGAATGCCGGAGGTTCTTCTGCGATCCCCGTTCTTCCCGCTGACCTACGTATTCATAGCCTACACTGGATATGTGACCATCTTTATGTTCGGGGGCTGTGATGGCTTCTACTTCGAGTTCTGTGTCCATCTATCGTCTCTGCTGGAGGTGCTCCAGTCGGAGATTCGATCCGTTTTCAAGCCCTACGAAGGTGGGTTTCCCCTCTTCAAAGGAACTAAAGCACTTACCATTATATTTAAAGATTACTTGGAGCTTTCGGAGGTTCAGCTTTACAATCTGGAAGAGAAAATGCGGGCACTTATAATTAGACACAACTCGATCATCAATCTGACCAATTTCTTTCGGAATCGCTACGCGATCATAACCCTGGCTCACTTTGTGTCCGCCGGCATGGTGATTGGATTCAGCATGGTGAACCTCCTGATGGCAGGGGGATTTGGCCTGGGAGCCCTGCTTTATGTGGCCTACACAATCGCCGCTTTGAGCCAACTGCTGGTCTACTGCTACGGGGGAACCCTCGTGGCCGAAAGCGTGAGTTCTGCTTGGAGATGATTGGTGGTTCTGATTGATCCTTTAGATGCGTTTCTGTGCAGAGTGTGGAGCTGTGCCGGGTGATGGGATGCTGTCCCTGGCGGTTGTTCCAGCCCCGCCAGCGGCGCCTCGTCCAGCTGTTCATCCTGCGATCCCAGCGACCCCTGAGCATGGCGGTGCCCTTCTTCTCGCCCTCGCTGCCCACTTTTGGAGCGGTAAGTGAAATGGTGGAGATGATATATGTATATCAGATGGAACACTACACAAGGCCTATCGAAGACCGCGCAAATAAAGAAGTATATATATTACAGTTACGCCTTTATCCCTTTCAGATACTTCAGACTTCTGGTTCCATTATTGCCCTGGCGAAGTCCTTTCAGTAGAATTATAAGGCTTGAGTAAAACAAATTATTTGAAGATATATACTTATTTATAAGAATAAATATAATGCCTGATTTAATTAATATTTAATGTCAGCTTAGTGAAATGAGCCGCAATGAAGCGTACAACAATTTTACAAACTTTGGAAACTAAACCAAAAGAAAAACCAAAATCGTACCCGTAATTACTATGTAATTAATTTGCAAATAAATACTAATCGAATATTATATATATTTGGTGCTCCTCTTTTTATTTATTTATTTATTTAGTTGTAGTATTATATAAGTATTGCGTATTTAATATTTAATTGTAGAGTTAAGTTGAATAGCGTGCCCACAAGAAATAAATAAATAAACAGTAACCTGTTGTATAACGATTCTGTCACCTTATCACTTGGGTTTGGGAGTTGTCCACTCGGAGTGATTGTACTTTTCGTATCTGTCATCGCCAATAATTAGGCGGCTGACCACACCAACTCCGCCACTGCGAGGTTTCCCCGAAACACGCAGCAACAGAAATCCCAAATCCCAATTTCCCCAGTTGGCCGAGGAAAGCCAGGCGAGAATGACTTCGGCGGAGGAGCTGAGCTTCTGGGAGCGGCACGAGTTCAAGTTCTACCAGTACGGACACGTGTACGCCCTGATCTACGGCCAGGTGGTGATCGACTACGTTCCCCAGAAGGCGCTGCGGAGGGGGGTGAAGAGTCTGCTCATCCTTTACGGCCACCTGTTCAGTCTGCTCCTGATCCTGGTGCTGCCTGGCTACTTCTGCTACCATTTCCGCACCTTGACCGACACCGGCGACCGTCGGCTGCAGCTGCTCTTCTACGTGAGCTTCGCCAACACGGCGATTAAGTACGCCACGGTGATAGTCACCTACGTGGCCAACACGGTCCACTTCGAGGCGATCAACCAGAGGTGCACCCTGCTCAGGATGCACTTGGGCGGGAATTCCGCGAGGCGCCGCGGGAGCCGAAGAAGCCCTTCGAGTTCCTCATGTACTTCAAGTTCTGCCTGATCAACCTGATGATGGCCATCCAGGTGTGCGGCATCTTCGCCCAGTACGGCGAGGGCGGAACTGGAGCCCTGAGTCCGGTGCGGGTCCACTTCGCCGTCTACGCCTTTGTGCTGTGGAACTACACGGAGAACATGGCCGACTACTGCTATTGGATCAACGCCTCGGTGCTGAAGTACTACCGCCAGTTCAATCTGCAGCTCACCGAGCTTCGGGCAGAGATGGACGCACTGCGTCCGGGCGGAATGCTCCGGCAGCGATGCTGCGACTTGAGCGACCGCCTGGAGGAGCTGCGCCGCCGCTGCCGGGAGATCAACGAGCTGCAGCGTGAGAGCTTCCGCATGCACCAGTTCCAGCTGATCGGACTCATGCTGAGCACCCTGATCAACAACCTGACCAACTTCTACACCCTCTTCCACATGCTGGCCAAGCAGTCGCTCGAGGAGGTCAGCTTCCCGGTGGTCGTTGGCTCCGTCTACGCCACCGGCTTCTACATCGACACCTACATCGTCACCCTGGTCAACGAGCACATCAAGCTCGAGCTCGAGGCCGTCGCCCTCACCGTCCGCCGCTTCGCCGAGCCGCCGGAGCGGGACGAGCGGCTCACCAGGGAGGTAAGAGGTCACAGGTTCACTACATTTTTTCAAGAACTCAGAATCATTCTAGTGAAAACGTATGAAAAAGGGTTCACACTGCACTTACTAACGAAATTTATAAGAAAAAAAATCATTTTTTATTACTATCTATACAACAAAGATTGGAAATCTTTGATTGATCTTTAATTTGGCCAAAAACTAATCTGAAAAATACTTTTATTTGTCAGCTAGGAATAGGAAAGCTCTTTATAACTTAGGCATTTCCATTTACAACCTTTTAACAGCATTACGTACTCGTCGAAATTTTCGTTTTGCATGACACACATAAACAAGGTTATTGTAATTTATTATTATTTAACTAATATTTAATTATTATTATAATAAGCACTAGATATTCCTTGGTTTTGTGTTAATTAATGTCAATTGAGACTTGAGAATAATAAAACATTTACGGGGACTCGCATTTCTAAATAAACGTTAAAGGCTTTCTGAATTCATTTAAAAAATTCATTTATTCATGATTTCAACATTGTATCCTTTTTTCATGGACGATTGAGAAATTAATACTTAAATACTATGTCGCCAATTAAAAAATTGTTTTTTAATGCAGATAGAACACCTTTCGCTGGAGTTGCTCAACTACCAACCGCCAATGCTCTGTGGTCTTTTGCACCTGGATCGCCGACTGGTCTACCTCATCGCTGTCACCGCATTTTCCTATTTCATAACCCTGGTGCAGTTCGATCTCTATCTGCGCAAGAAGTCCTAGCCAACAAGATTACCATTTAAGCTTAAAACCGAAACTTAAAACACCAAACTATTAGAATGCTAAGAAACAAATACCAAAACTGTACCTTATTATATGTAAAAAAAATTAAAACGAGTCTGTGCCTGCTATCAGCTACTTAACAATTGTTTTACTCATTTTTGTGTCTTTATTTGAATAGCTACCATAGAAACTTTTTGAAAAAACAATAGAAATCAAGAAGAAACACTTACTTCGAGTTCCAAGACTATCAAGTCACTTGTATTCAATTTCAAAGGGCGTGGCGAGTTTTGGAAACCATTGTCCGTGCGTATTGACTGCTTTGGTCTGCAGTTAATCAATGCTGTTAATTTATTTATCTCAGGCTAACAATTATATACAAACCAACAGCTAACATGGAGTTAAAGCTATAGAATCGAAAATCGTTATTATTATTTTATTGAAAACGACTTAAATTAGTTTTTTGAATTCAAAAAAAAAAAAATGTTGAAGATTATTTTTTAACACCACAAGCGAATAATTTCTGTCTCTGTAAGAAAACAAAACATCACTGCTGATGACAGACGAGTTTTCCCAATGGGCGACATTTCTCCTCTGCAGATAGCGACTAAATGCTCTGTTGATTCGACTGATAAACGTTTAAATGGGTGGTCGATGTATTCTACACAAATCGATGGCTTTAATCCACCATTTAGTCGCTAGCCACTATGCAAGTCCGCAGGATGTGTCGAAAGGCTCTGCGCCTGTGGATGGGTCTGATCCTGATCCTGGGCCTGTCCTGCCACTTCTACAGTAAAACCCGGCGGCGATTGGTTCACTCCCGACTCCTGCAGACTTTCTGCTGTCTAACCATTGCCGTAAACTTGGCATTGTATTACTTCTACTACGTTTACACAGCGTCATATTTCGTAAAGGGCACATTCAGACGACAAAAGTTCGTAGAGGTGGTAAGCTAAACTTTTTTCTTTTTAAAAATTCTGCTTTTTAAAAATCCTAAATAAGTACTGATTGAGTGCAGACTATAATGGTCACAATATTATACAATGTAGAAGACGAATCTTATTTAAAGTACCATTCTGTGAATTGTTATATACTACAGAAAACGCCCTAAGGCGACACAATTGGTTTAGAAACACAATATATTTCTAAATATAATTTAATTTATTATAATTTCAGTCAGAAGCTTGCAACGCAGTGAAGGAGACACCTCAGAGCACATAAAGTATATATATTCTCAATCAGCACCACGATCTAAAATCCATTCAAAAATCATTGTGTCTGGTGAAAAACAAGGCTATTACAATTTTATTTCCGGTAATTCTATACATATTTTTCGATCTTTCCTATGGCAGCTACATATATGATAAGTTGTCCGATTTTTAAAATCTTTTTGTTTCTGGATTCAAAGGTAAAATCATGGTCGTGGTATAAAAAATAACGACGTTATCAATTTTTTGCCATTATTTATATATACACATCTGTTTCGAACTTTTCTATGACAGCTAAATGATAGAGTTATCCGATTTTGAAAAAATTTAATTCGAAATTCAATAGTAGTTAGAAAAACCATCTGGAAGAAATCAAGTCGATCTGATCAAAAGCAACGGCGTGAGAATTTTTTATTTCATTCTCTTGTATGGGAGCTATCCGATATAGTCTGCCGATCCGGCCCGTTACGACTTATATACTGCGTGCAATAACTACACAACTTTTGGGAAAGTTTCAGCAAGATTGACTAGTGACTAGTTCACATAGAAACAGACAGACGGACAGACGTACAGACGTATTTCGATTCTGATCGTGATTCTGAACAAGAATATATATAATTTATGCAGTCTGAGGTGCGTTGAAAACTTCTGGGCTAAATTATAACACCCTTTGTATAATGTTGGAAGAAATCTTTTTCAAGGAGCACAAAGATATCTCTTATCGAAAAGTGCAGGGTAACCAATTTTTAATCTGAATTTTTCACTACATTGTACGAGTATCTCAAATCTTTTTCGAATTTCTAGTTGAGCAATGGTAGCATTCGCCTGCAGGTATTCTACATCGTGGTTGTGCCTTTGTGGAGGTTCTTCGGCGAACGCAAAATGTGCGAGGCGTACGACGAGGTGTCCAGGATTTTGGACAAGGAACTGAAACACAAGAGCCGCAGTCGCTTTTATTGCCTGACGATGTTGGTCAAGATCCACAACTTTCTGCACAACTTCAACTTTGCGCTGAGCGTGCTGATGGTATGGGGCTTTCGGCCTCTAACAGTGTCCGACTTCCTTGCAAACCTATACTTCGTCTACATCTCGCTTTCCATGGGCGCCATCCAGGTGGCCTACGTCTTGCTGCTCCTCCAGCTGATCGAGGCACTGCGTCTGAATGGCCGGCAGGTGCAGAGCTCCTACCTTCTCCTCATGGATCAGATGCACAGACAGGAGCACCTGCGGCAGATCGTGCGGCAGGTGCACCGCATGTTCGCCTGTATGGTGGCCACCAGCCTGGTGTACGACCTCTTCTTGAACACGGGCACCATCTACCTCGGTTACACAATGGTCGTCCAGCGACAGGATGCCCTGGGCATCCGTGCCTGGACCTTGAAGATCCTGCTCACGGCCCTCTCCTTCGTGGTCAAGCTGTCAGACTCCTTGCTCCTACAGGTCGTCTGCGCTCACCTCCTTTCTGTGGAGAACAAGGACTGCGCCAGTCCCGAGCTCCACGAACAGGATGCGGAGGCCACGGCAGTCTATCGACAGGTGAGTTAAGCTCACGGGAAAATGAATATAAAATTTCTGTGTGTAATCATTTTTGGACAGGAAAAACTCTTAACTTTTTGTATAGTATTTTTTTTTATACCGATAAAATGTGTATATAGTAATTTTAAATAAATTAAATATGTTTTATTTCAATCTTAACTTAAAATATTTAAAATATGCAAGTCGGATTCAGATTTGGCAACATAAAGCCTGAACTTTGGAATACATCGTTTGATTATTATTTGTTATTTATTCTACTATATTCATTTTCATATTTTCAACACAACTCTTGACGACATTTTTTATTTAAATTAAGTTTTTAGCTAATTTAAACTAATTTTATTTTTTTAAGTGGGAAATGTCGGTTTTGAGACAGGCCATCAGAAGAGCATCGCCGGAGGACAAGGTGTTGGGGTTGTTCAGAATGGACATGCGGTGTGCCTTCGCCTTGATTAGCAGCAGTTTGTCCTACGGCACGATCATCATCCAGCTCGGATACGTCCAAAGCTAGGTTGGCCTTCACCTTCACCTTTAACCCTTCACGAGGGAAACGGAATGTGATGCAATCAGCACTCAATCGGCACTCCGCTTCAATTAGTTTAATTAGAAGGACAATCTATCCGAAGGATGTGTGGGAAAACGAACAACGTTAAGAACCCATACATAATTTAATTGGCCCAAGAACCAGACGAAAATAAGCATAGAATACAAAGTTTGCTTTGACAAAATAAACAGTAAAATTTATTCAATCCGAAGAGATTTTAATAAAGACTAGCTATTGCAGCCTTGCAGAGCAAACGGGTATTATAATTTCAGAAGTTTGCAACGCTGTGAAAGAGACACCGCAGACCCCATAGAGTTTATATATTCTTGATCTTGATATTTTTCCGGTGTACGTCCCTGAGGATAGCGCAAGTATCTCAGTCCAAACGAATCGGAATCCGTGCTCAAATTGGGAGCAACGTCACTCGCATCAGCCGCGAACCAACAGTAATTTAATTCATGATGTGCTTTTATTTTTTTAAATACTAATTCGGGGTAAAAAAAATTGTAAGTGATATTATTAATTTTTATAGACGTTTAAATACTAAAATAATTAAAAAGTATGTCGTAATGTCTTTTAAATAAATGTAGAATTTTAATACAGAAATAACACCTTTCGCTGAAGTTTTTCAATAAATAATTTAAGCTTGCTGAGGAACAAAAAAAAACAATCACCTTTTAAGTGTATAAATATATAATAATATTATTTGATTTGTTAAACAAGAAAGGAAGCTAGCTTCGGCAAGCCGGCAAAATCGGACGACTATATCATATAGCTGTCATATGAACAATATGGAAAATGAATAGAAGAATCGTCATAGCTTCGATGTTGTTTAGCCTTTTTGTATTTTGTTCGACATATTTAATGACTGCAAGGGTATATAAGCGTCGGCTTGCCGAAGCTAGCTTTCTTGCTTGTTGTATTAATGGGCGTGTCAACTTTTCGAAACCACTGTTCGTGCGTATTGACCCCTATAGCCTGCACCTAATCAATATAAATTACTTTATGCATTCGTATTTCTTTATTTATCTAAAGCTTAAAATTAATTACAAACTAACAGCTAACATGAAATAAAATCTATAGCAGCTAAGTTTGAAAAATACTGTATAATGTTCATTTTGTAACAAGTGTTTTTATTTTACGGTTTATAGAAATATGTAGAAAGCTTAAATAATTTATTAAAAGTTCACTTATTTCTTGATTTCCTTACAAAATTGTTAGCCCGCAAATACTTGCAAAAATTTTGTTCTATTGATTTCGCTACATTATATTATCTAAAATCGGTTAAAATTAATTGTTTAATTACTGGCATGATTTTAAAAATTATTTAAATGAATACTCGTATAATACCGCAAACGAATTGTAGTTGTCTTTGCAACCCTACAAAACATCAATGGTGTTGGCAGAAGAGTTTTTGCGATACACATGTGTCATTTAAAGATAGCGACTAAATGGTCTGAAGTTTCATCAGATATACGTTTTAAAGGGTGGTCGGTGTATTCCATTCAAATCCATGGCTATAATCCTCCATTTAGTCGCTAGCCACTATGCAAGTCCGCAGGATGTGTCGAATGGCTCTGCGCCTGTGGATGGGTCTGATCCTGATCCTGGGCCTGTCCTGCCACTTCTACAGTAAAACCCGGCGGCGATTGGTTCACTCCCGACTTCTTCAGACTTTCTGCTGTCTAACCATTGCCGTAAACTTGGGATTGTATTACTTCTACTACGTTTACACAGCGTCATATTTCGTAAAGGGCACATTCAGACGACAAAAGTTCGTGGAGGTGGTAAGCTAAGCTATACTTCATATTCTCTGCCTTTTAAAAATCTTAAAAAAGAAATACCCCAATATTTTACAATATAGACGAATCTTATCTAAAGTACTTTTACAAATTTTTTGAGGATTGTCGCTCTGTACAGCGTAGTGTTTTTAAAGGAAATTAATTCAGGGTAAACCAGTTTTTAATCTACTTTTCCTTACAATATTATACTTTTTCGTGAGGTTAATCTTTTGCATATTTCTAGTTGAGCAATGCCGATGGCCTGCAGTTTTTGTTCCTCGTGGTTGTGCCTTTGTGGAGGTTCTTCGGCGAACGCAAAATGTGCGAGGCGTACAACGAGGTGTCCAGGATTTTGGACAAGGAACTGAAACACAAGAGCCGCAGTCGCTTTTATTGCCTGACGATGTTGGTCAAGATCCACAACTTCCTGCACAACTTCAACTTTGCGCTGAGCGTGCTGATGGTATGGGGCTTTCGGCCTCTAACAGTGTCCGACTTCCTTGCAAACCTATACTTCGTCTACATCTCGCTTTCCATGGGCGCCATTCAGGTGGCCTATGTCCTGCTTCTCCTTCAGCTCATCGAGGCACTTCGTCTGAATGGCCGGCAGGTGCAGAGCTCCTACCTTCTCCTCATGGATCAGATGCACAGACAGGAGCACCTGCGGCAGATCGTGCGGCAGGTGCACCGCATGTTCGCCTGTATGGTGGCCACTAGCCTGGTGTACGACCTCTTCTTCAACACGGGCACCATCTACCTCGGTTACACAATGGTCGTCCAGCGACAGGATGCCCTGGGCATCCGTGCCTGGACCTTGAAGATCCTGCTCACGGCCCTCTCCTTCGTGGTCAAGCTGTCAGGCTCCTTGCTCCTGCAGGTCGTCTGCGCTCACCTCCTTTCTGTGGAGAACAAGGACTGCGCCAGTCCCGAGATCCACGAACAGGATGCGGAGGCCACGGCAGCCTATCGACAGGTGAGTTAAGCTCACGGGAAAATGAATATAAAATTTCTGTGTGTAATCATTTTTGGACAGAAAAAACTCTTAACTTTTTTATAGTATTTTTTTTATACCGATAAAATGTGTTAAATTAAATATGTTTTATTTCAATCTTAACTTAAAATATTTAAAATGTGCAAGTCAGATTTAGATTTGGCAACATTAAGCCTGAACTTTGGAATGCGTCGTTTGATTATTATTTGTTATTTGTTACCTTATTAATTTTCATATTTTCCAACACAACTCTTGCGAAATTTTTTAATTAAATTAAGTTTTTAGCTAATTTAAACTAATTTTATTTTTTTAAGTGGGAAATGTCGGTTTTGAGACAGGCCATCAGAAGAGCATCGCCGGAGGACAAGGTGTTGGGTTTGTTCAGAATGGACATGCGGTGTGCCTTCGCCTTGATTAGCAGCAGTTTGTCCTACGGCACGATCATCATCCAGCTCGGATACGTCCACAGCTCCAATTAGCTTAATTAGAAGCGCAATCTAACCGAAGGATATGTGGGGAAACGAATAAGAGACGTTATGAACCCATTATTCATTTCGCAATTACAAGAATACAATTTGTTATCTGACAAAATAAACTGTCATATATTTTTCACTCAAAATTTTTTAAAAATATATTAACGTAATAAAACACAACTTGTATATATGTAAATCGAGATCTAGTCATTAAGCGTATGTTGTATTACTATAACTTAATTATTACATTTCCTATTATAATCATAAATGGGCAACTTAACTTCGCTTTAATTATTCTTTACTATCAAGTAAATATTTTGTTTTAACAAGTAAGCGAGAAACAAATTGTAAAGATATCTGCAATTATCTATGTAATGTATTTATTTTTTAAGGCCATTACTGGCTTGAATCTATTTTATTACATTTTTGGAGCCTAAAAATCTGATTTCCTAATAAAATTACAATAGCTTCACTGGCTCCTTTTTACAATATAAGATATTTGTTTTGAGTTAACATTTGCAAGTATGCGACTTAATGTGGCAGCAGTTCCTAAGGTCATTTATTGGAGGGATTCCTCTGTTTCTTTGGCAAGGACTTTGAAGTTTCCGGCTGAAGCTCTGGATTTTCGATGGCGTCTAGTGAGAAATTATTGCCCGGAATAACCGACAGAATCTCATTCTTAGCAAGGACTTTTGTAAGACAGGATTTGGGATCAACAATCGAAGAGTTGCATTTGAATTCCCTTGAAGTCCTGGCAAGGTTCTCAGATTTTAACTCATCCTGTATGATCTTCAGCTGCACTTTCTCGGCTCTCAATGTATTCAGACGTCTCTGCTCGTCCTTGATGAGATTCGCGGTTATTTCCTGGAAGTACGTTCTCTTGGGCTTCGGTTTTCGCAATTCCCCGGGAGTCTGGATCTTGGCACTGCGAATGCGCATGTGGTAAGCGTGGGAGGATCGCAGCGAGTCACTGATGTGATCCGTGGCAAGGGAGTCCATGGAGCTGTGGCAGGGACGCAGGCCACTGCAGTCCAGCTTGGTCAGCAGCCTGGAGACTCGCAAGTCCTTCACCCCAGAGTCCTTATCGAGTTTCAAGTGACCCAGGGAAATGGCCATCCGAAGCAGTTCCACCATAGCCGTGTCCTCCTCATTGCTCCGTTTCACTTCAGTTTTCGGATGCGAAACGAGGCAATCCTTTTCCGGCTGTTTCTCGAAGAGCTCCTTCACCCGCTCGTTCAACATCCTGGCCTGCGATCCGCGCACTATCCGCTCCATGTTCCTGGTCCTCATCGAATCGATCGCCTCCTGCGAGGGCATCCTGCGATCCCTGAGTGCGTTTCCCTGGCTCAAGCTGGCTCCCTGCTCCCTTTGGCTCGTCTTCTGGATCTTCCTTTCCGGTATTGGCGATCTGGTTCTGGCGATGGCACCTGGCTCCTGGGTGCGCAGAGTCCTCGGCAGTTGCTCCCCTCTTCTCTGCGCACTGTGTGCTTTTATCGAGGCAGATTTCTCCAAGGACTGCCGGGGATTGTGCTTTCTTACCTTCTTTTCCTGTGTCCTGGCCAAGGGGTGAATCCTTAGCTCATGGGCTGTGGGAACCGAAGAGGCGTTGCATTCATAAATCTAGTACAACTTCAATCTTTAGGACAAATTTGTAAATAATAATATTAATTACAATAATAATAATTATAATAATAAAAATAATAGGTATAATGATAATAATGATAATAACAATAATAATAATAATAATAGGAATAAGGGGAAAGTTCTTAACTCATCAGCCGGGGTTTAAGAGGAATTATTATAAGTTGGTAAAATATATTAGAAATAAAATATATTGAAATATATTAAGAAAACATCTCAAAAGGTTTTTGGCCAAAAATTGTATCAATACTTGCTAAAACATAGCTTCATTATTATGAGAGCGACTCAAACCTGGGGATGTGTTGACCCTGAAAGGTGTTGGTCGTCCGGTGAACGGAGGTGTCTTGTTCTCTGGCCTCGGCTTACTCCTTCCCATCCTGCGAGGATACTCCCCGCGAATGGATCCTCCCGAGGCAGATCCCGAGTGGTTCCTGATCAGTCGCATCAGGCGCCTCAAGGGTCCCTGATTGCTGATTCGAGGCTTGTTAGGCTCATCTGGATGCAGGGATACAATATACATTCAACAGTCTGTGCCATTATCCACCTAGTAATGTAGTTCCCTACGCATTAGTCGGTTTTGTCTGGATACGCACGAATTAAGGATTCTCCTTATCCAGTCCAATTTGATGGTGAACGCCATTACCAATTTCAATTTGATTAAGAGTGCACAAAGGAAAGGGGAACGGAAGAGCAATTTTGAGACCTAATATCACATGGGTGTTTTTTTAGTTAAGTCCATTACTTGATTGAGGAACCAAGCAGACCGACAGGAAGTCCAAGGCCTTCCAAAATGGGTTCCAGAAAAAGTACGGAAGTATCTTTCAATTTATTTCATTTTTTTTTTCAGAAAATCTTGGCATATTTTCACCTGCTATCGCAAAAGTATACTACGAAATGCCTAGGAAATTGTAAAACGTTGAGGCTACTCCTAAGTAAAAAAATTAAATTCAATCCATTCCGACTTTTTGATCTCAATAAATTCCAGAAAAAAAATAACAATGAAAGCCCAAGACATATGATTACGTATTTTTATTACGGTTTATTTCGAGTGTGTTTTTGGGGTGTGGGCGAGTGTTTCATCCGCTGATGAACAAATTACATTTGACATAATACATAATGAGAACGCTTTTGAGGCCGAATGGGGTCTCTAATTTTATTTCGCACATGAACATGAGTATTGTACATATGTTGGATGTACTTGTGTGTCTCTGCCCATGTATATCAACCCAATTCCTAAACACATAACTCTCCATCGATTCCTGCACTGTCATATATAGCATACGATATATGTATGTATGCATAGCTTCTGCCGATCCAAACGCGAGCTTCAACAAAATTGAATTAGATTTACTTTCATTACTCATCGCTAAGGCTAAAGGTTTCTTCTTCTTTTCGTTTTTCATGGGTGTATGACTAGCAAAAATTGCGTTGCATATTAATGGGGTGGCAGTGGGTCAGGATGTACATAGGTGTGATGTAAACGGGATGTACATAAGTGTGAGCGGAAACCATACAAAAGCTGCCCGTACATGTGTCTATGTGTGTGTATATTTTCATCGATATTCGATACTCGATATTCGATTCGATTCGATTCGACAACAACAACAACAAAAAGAAAAGGCACAATTTTGATGAAACGCTTTCCCATGCTTTGTATGCGCGCGCGTGTGTGAATTGGATAGGATATACATATATATGATGTATGATGTATCATCTGGGGGCGAATGAGTTTAATTTACTTATTTTTTCGTTTTGTTTTTTGTTGACAAAGAAAGTCCTTTCAGAAGCTCCTTGCTCTAATTTAAGTATATTTTCTTTATCTAGTTGATAATTGCTTGATAGTTTAGCTCTCGAGGGTTTGATGTTTTTCTTTTTTGGTTTTTTATTAGAGTCTAAGGCTAGTTGGAAAAGTGATTCGGATTTGGTTTTCGGGGGCGCCACTCGGAAGAACCGATTGGAAAACAGGCCTTCCCCTAGATTTAAATATGTTTGTTTGAGCGAAAAAAATCACTTGCTACGAATAGTCACCCAAAAAGACGTGGGGCGCACCCTGTTTAAGCGGTTATCTATAGTTAACTCCTCAGCTCGTCGTTTAATGTTAATGCAATGCTTTCGTATGCTAGTTGGATGTATCAAATCGATTAAGAATTTTCGCTTTTTCTTTTTTGGGCTTGTTTTTTTTTTTTTTTTTTATTTTTAACTACTCTTAGGGATCCGCCGCTTTTTGTTTTCGCTTAGAGTGGAAATTATTCGCATAGTTTTTTTTATTTTGTTTTTCATTGTTTGTCCTTTTTGTTTTAGGATGTTTATTAAATATAACAATGCTCTCGGCGCATACATTGTGAAAATTATAATGAATTTGTTTTTCTGTATTTGTATAATAGTTATATGTATATATATTTTTGAAATAATATCCATAGCTGCTGCTGCTGTGGCGTCGTCGACGTTTTTGCAATATACAAAAAAATTGAATTCAAAAAAAAAAAGTTTTCAAGTAGAATAAGTAAGAGTAAGGGAGCAAGAGAGATGTACAGAGTAGAAATAATAATATTTATATGCATATTCGCATGAATAATAATGTTAACACTCAACTTGAATTTTGCTAAATTTTTTCGAACAAATTTCTTTTCTTTCTTTTTTGTTTGTTTATCTGTGCGTTGGCTATAAATCGTAAATTGGTTTATATAAATTAATCAGCAAATATATAGTTATCTAATTTGAGTTGATCTCATCCCCAGCTCTGCTTCTTCTTCTTCGTCACTTCCGCTTCCGCTCTCGCTTCCTTATTTATTTGTTTTTTGCCTTTGCAATTCGATTTGTCTTGTGTGTGTGTTTTCGTGTATAAAATTTGACCGCAACGGTAATCCATGTATGCTTGTATGGGTTCGTGTGTGTTTGTGTGTGTATTATCTACATGCTATATTTGTTTCATAGATTGTTAAATATACAATATTTTACTCATTATATAGATTTAAATCAACGCGACAACTAATTCCGTTTCTCGAGTTTTTCTTTTTTTCCAATCAATTGCTGCCGTAGTTTACATTATGCGGGTGTTTCGTGTATATTTATATAGTAAAATGACTTTGTTTCGACGATTTCTTGCGGACTATAGGCTAAATGGTACAGATATATATATGTAGTAAGTAGACGTGTGAATGAATGTCTGTGGCTTTATATGCAACTTTTCAGCTAGTTTCTAGTATTTATCATACGCATGTTTATTGATTCTTTCTTTCTTTCGGTTTTTAATATAGTTCTTCTTGGTTTTTACTTTACTTTTGTGTTGCTTTTAGGCAAAGGCGAGTGGGAAAAATTACATACATCTAACAACAAATGCACCAACGTTTTCATCTTCTTCATCGTTATTAGTTTCGGTAATCATCAATATATATTTATCATTATCATTAGATCGTAATCGTAAATCGTTATCGTCATGACCTCTGACTATCTATATCCGCTATATCCGCTATATCCGCTATATCCGCAACCGTAACCGCTTCCATATTCCCATTCGAGTCTGCATCCGAATCCGCATCTACATCCGCATTTGCGTCCCGTCATCGTCGTCAGTATTTCGTAGTCAGCTACTAAACATTGTGGTACTTAAAGTTAACCTCAATGCAATGCGCTAGTGCAACAACATCACCATTGACCCCAAAACTTAGGTGTGCATGGGTGGGTGCCAGTGCCTGCATTACATATACATATTACATATTCATATAGATCAATATATATCAAAAAACACATTATCGTCAACATAACTAGCTCGCTATAACTCTTGGCTCTCGTATATAAACATCAACATAAACAAACAACACTCTAGCGATTAACGAACTCCTGAAAGCCCTCATTTCTTCTTCCTACTTTCTTCTTTCTCCGCTCGACTATATGCTTTTATAATCGGATCTTAGTCTATATAAGTGGTGTATATATATATATATATATATATATGTATATATATATATTCTATTTCGCTTTTATTTGTTTATATCCAACTTTGTTCTAACTAAAAACTATACACCTTTGTCCGCTTCAGTTTGAACACCCTTATCTCATCTCATCTTATTTCGTGTCCTTACGATGCCAAATGCCAAATGCTTTGCTCTGATGTTCGCTCATCTCCGTCCTTGTCTAGCTGCTGGATGTACGTTCACCTGACCGTACATCGATGAGTGCATCCAAAAAAAAAATCGCTTTGGACATTATTTGCTACATTAAGTTGGCTGCTGCGGCTGCGTCATTATAAATTGAACTGTCCTCTGTGGTCAAAAGTAACAAGTTAAGTCCGTGGTTTCGTTTCCGTTTCCGTTTTCGTGTCAGTATCCGTTTCCGTTTCCTGTCGTTGTCAGTGTTGTTTTAGTTGTGGCTGCTGCTGCTGCTGCTGCTGTTGCTACTGTTGTTGTTGTTGCTGTTTCTCTAGCTGCTGCTGCTGTCGTTATTGTTGCAGCGGTTGCTGTTGTTGTTGTTGCTGTTAGTGTGACGCATCATCAGTGCGGCGTCTTCTGCTGCGGCTGCTGATTTGTTGCCGCTGCTGTTGCTCCTATTGTTGTTCTCGAGACCGGTCGGCATCGAACTCGAGGCGGCAGTGTCCATGTTGTGGTGGCTGTTGGTCATAGAGATTCCTTGGAAGGTACCCAAATGGTTGGTCCCGACTGGGACCAAATCATCGATTTCACTTTGCTGTAAATCTCCTCGATGGTGTCGCCCTGGACAACGCCTGTGGAATTGGATACATTTAGATTGAATTCATAAATTCATGCATCGAATAAGAATATTAACTTAAACTATCTTATATCCCTACACAGATGATTCCTATTTAGGTTCCAATATTTTCTTGGCTTACCCGTAAAGTATTCGCCGAATTCCTGCTCCATTTTAATTGCCCGCTCGTAAGTCTTCTTGGCCTGCTCCTCCGTCATGCGTCGATTCATCTCCCTGCAAAAACACACAACGTTATAAGCCACAGTCTCTCATTTCCAAGTAAATGAAGAACCTACATCACTGAGTCCACCGACTTGGGCTTGATGAACACTGCGACGGGATAGAGCTGGGCCACTTGGAGTCGCTTGATGGCATTCCCGGATACGTCCAGGATGCAGTGCTTGCCCTTCTCGGCCACTTCGCGCACACTGGCCACCGAGGTGCCGTACAGGTTGTCGTTGTACTGGCCCGCCTCGATGAACAGGTGGTTCTGGATGTCCCGCTCCATTTGCTCGCGGGAGGACACAAAGTGGTAGTCCCTTCCGTCCACCTCGTACTCCCTTTTAGGTCGGGTGGTGTCTAAGGATAAGAAAGACATACATATAAGATTTGCTGCTAAAAAATTTAAGTGTACAAAAACCTATTGGGTGAGAAATGAACTCAAATTTAACAAGTACATCAAATTGTATGTCCACCAGTGGGCGCCACAAAGTAGACGCTCTAGAACAAATCACATTTATGCACTACTTACGTGGCACACAGGATCCGAACTTTTCGGGATACTCCGATATAAGGTCATCGTTGATGCGATCCTTCAGCGGCCCCAGGATAATCACAGGGCGCGTGTAGTTGATGGACAAACGCTGAACGGCCTCGTAGGACAACACGTTCTCCTCGGAAGCTGGAAAGTAGGGCAAGCAGTCGGATTAGGACCTCAGCGTGCAGGTGCTCTACATCATCGCAAAGTGTTCTAAATGAGTGGGAATCGGAGGTGGGATGGGAGATGGGATTTCTTCAGAGAGAATATCTCGGGTACTCGGGGATTCTACAAAGCAATCTTCTATCTCGGTCTTTGTTGCAACTGGGGCGTAAATATTCAAAGAGTTCCATACAAATTGAGGCAAGTCAGTTAGAGTTTATGATGTATATATAATTTGTTAATTGGCAGTTGCGATCTACGGATTTAGGGAGAATAGTTTTAACATTTTTATCTCTAAGTTAGCTTCGTTTAGTTAAAGCTCTGGCACACAATAATTTACAGGAATTCTTTCAAAATGAACTGGCAAAATAAAAGTTTGAGAAACCGGCAAATGCTTGTTAAGTTGAATTTGACTTTGCAAGCACTCACTTTGCTTGGCAGAAAACTTATAAATCGAGCAAAGGCTACATTCAACGGCAGTAATGTTCAATGTTTATTCAGGGTTCCTAATTAGAAGAAATCACATAAAAACGTACGGTTCACGATCAAATGATATGACACTCGAAAGCGAAACTAAAACCAAAAAACCAAATGAATATGCAAAGTGTGGAGTGGTACCAAAGCTACTAAACTTGTGTATGACTTGGACCATATACATATAGGATAAAGAAATGGTTGGTAGTTATGTAGACACAAAGCAGGCGATCTACGAGCAAACAGTTAACAGACAGTGGTAGTGTCTTACACGGTTACATACTACATACATGACATCATGATGTTACATACATGGCACACAAAAACTTGGACAACATGAAATCAAAATCTGTGTGTGTTGATTGTTATGAGCGAGTGTTTAATTGTGTCTTCAGATCATTAGAACTAGCTTAGATGAATATCTTTTTGCTGCGGATGAACCCAGTTACTGGATTTTCTTTCTGGCTGTTTTTTTTTTTTTTTTTTTTTTGTAGTTAAGGGAACACTGTGCCACTTCCTTTTTTGACTGGGGATGATGGGGTTTACTCACTTGACGCCTTGAAGAACTCACTGAGCAAAAGAGTTTTTGGGACTCATTTACAGACACACGAACGTTGGTTGAGTGCTACGGAGTGGATTAACAACTGATCCATTAAGGCAAATAAAACTCCCTCGGTTTGTACAATTCCTTTATTTCAGTTTCAGTTTTAGTATGGTTTGATTTTCGCTTAGATTTCATCTTAACGCGCAACTATTTCACAAATATCTCAGAATCTCTAAGACGAAAGGTTTCTGGGGGGGACTTAATCTGATATTATATTTCTCCCCCAAACAGAAACAATTTTGCGGTGGTTCGGGTGACAGGGCAACATGCAAACGGGGAACACGACACTAGACGAGCAATACATAAAAACAACAACAAACCAACTGAATTGGAATCAGTCCAGTACTCTATATGTCGATATAAAGGTGTGTCGACGGGGTGAGTGTGATTTGGATTACTAGAAACTGGGACAGGAACGGGGACAAACAACTATCCAGGCAGAGGGAAGTACTCTATGTAAGTTCAGCTCAATCGGGCGGGATTCTATATGTCTGGATCCACGGATCAACTTTTGCTGCTGCTCGGGTGATACTACGCAATGTGGCAACCAAACAGGAAAAGAAAAGAAAAGGCAAACGATACAGGGTGTGAGTGTGTCAGTTGTGTGTTTTCAGGTGGGTTCACAAAACTTGCTATCATCATTCGATTCTACGCAACTATCAACAATGTACAACAGTTCAGAAAATTATAAACAGAACATAATGTCTAAGATTGACAAAATATAATAGATAAGGATTGAGTTGTGTATCCAGGTAGGTTTTTACTATATGGCGGGATCTGGAGATTCAGTTTAATCGTGAAGACAGTTGGTATGCAGTTTATGCATAAACAATACATTAATAATTTCAACGAAATGTCTCTGCTAAATTACAAGAAGGGAGTTTCAGGCTTATCCTAGTAATTATTTTGAAATTATGAAAATTATGAAAGAAAGAAAAGGGGTAAGTCTACTGAAAGCCTCTTAGAAAGTTATCTTAAAATGTGTTCTCTGAGGAGCATAGAAAGCATAGAAAAAGAGATGGAGTGAGACAGCATGATTGAGAGACAAAGCAAGAGAGAGAGAGAGGCAAAAATCAAAGAAAGTAAGAAAAATATAACCAAGAGGAATTGATCTTGCAAAATTTTGTTTCTTTGTATTCGTAACTAAATATTTAACTTTCATTCTTTCGGTTTTTTTTTTTTTTTTTTTTTTTTTTGTTTTTAAGTAGAAGAAAACATAAGCTTTGTTGTAATTTTCACTAGTATTACAAAAAGAGAAGAGACTTGTTGCTTTTGTTTTTTGCTGTTGGTTCTTGTGGTTGTTTTATTTTTTGTGATTGTTGTTCAGATGCTCGACTTACGATAGTCAGCATCATTATTCTCCAAGTAGATCAGAGTTATCTGCTCCATATCGGGTAACTCCACCCTGTAGATAATCTCGCCTGAGCAGTGATTAGTCGATAGCGATGATAGCGCAGATTTAGAAGAATTTAGTAGTTGGTTGTTGGTTGTCGCAGTTCGTGAGCGCATGGTTATAACAAATATATATGTATACATATAGAGATATATATATATCGGTGGTCAAATTGTTGGTTGGATTTGATTTATCGGTTTGATTGGTTGGTTGTTGGTTTGAGAAGTTAAATATTTGTATATAATATATTGAGAGAGCGAGATATTGATATGTGTGTATGGGATTGGATTGTGTGTATTTAGAACAATAGAAAAGTTCGTGAGTTAACAACAGAGGTTTACAAATAACAAATTAGGGATGTGTGTTTGGTTTTTTTTTTTTTAGGTGTGGTTCCATCATAGGTATTTGGAGATTGTATATATTCGGAAACAGAGAGATATGGAAGTGACGTTGCGTTTGCGTGACGCACAGTTATAAATCAGCAGTAGATATATAGTAGTAGTAGACATAGTAGTAGAATAGTAGTAGATTCGAACGGTAGTAGTTGTTGTTGTCGTTGTTGTTGTTGAAGTAATAGTTGTTGTAGTAGTTGTTGTTGTTGGTTGGTTGGTTGGTAGTAGTAGTTGGTTGAGTAGTAGGCAAACAACACAAGAATTCAAAGTAGTTCACAGACACAGGGGTTAAATGTAAAAGAAGAACAAAAATACCAAAGGATTAACAACAAATCGAAATCGAAATCACTATTTATTCATGTCTTGTACTGTACTGTATAGTCTGTCCGTATCTGTGTCTGTAACTGTGGCTGATTGAGAATATAATAAAAATGGAACTCGGAGAGGGGAAAATGGGGGAGTTAGCTTGAGTTCTCCATCCTGTGTGACGACGAGTATAGATTTTCGTGTGCATCCCGAGCCGAGAATTGTCCAAGAAAAACTTTATTTCGGTTGGCTGTGGTGTATCTGTGTGATCTGTTCTGTATTCACACCAAGTACGCCATTCCAGTTACATACATCAATATGTACATTAGATTATATATCGCATCGAGTGTGGCAACATTGAAACACGACGTGATACAAGCGGATAATAAAAGAACAGCAAGTTGGGATCGAAATGATTTGGTTTAGTTTGAGTTCTGTCTGCATTGTCCTTATGCACTCTATGTAATGTGAGCAACCAGGGAACGGAAAGTCTTAACTTAAATGAAGAACGCAAAAACCTCAAGTGCAGAGATCTTGTCCTCGAAAGATCATTGCTGCATGTTGGGGAGAATTAATGTACGGATTGATTCCCTGTCCAAATCTTACTGTAAGTGGTCGAATCTAATCATACATATGTATAATCTATGCAAGTCTGATGTACATCCGATTTTACATCATTTTACACTTTGTTTCTTACATTTGTTGTATACATTTAGTGTACATTTAATGGACATTTACATGCATATGATAGAGTTCTTTCGAAAGTTACATTTGGACGATCCATTTATTTCCGCAAAAGTCTTGCGAATCGGTTAGGTATATATGTAGAAAATAGTTGGTTATATATATTTGGAGAGTCTTGAAATGTATTTATAGCGATAAAAATTGGTGTACGACTAGAAATCGCCATAGACATGTGATGTACAGATGTGTATGTATGGATGTAAATAAAAAGCACTGAGAACCGAAAACTTCTTACGAAACCAACAAAAAATCAAATTACAGTTAATCACGTGTGATGTTTTGATGTATGCATGTATGTAAATAGGTATGTTATGTATGTATATATGCAGGTAAGTGGTTAATCGTATGTGTTTCTGCTGAGACTGTGTTAGTTCAATCAACAAATGCATTTCTATGTATGTAAATCGAAAGTTAGCACTTGATTAAATGTTATGTTACGTATTTTTTATGTTCAGTGGATACTCAAATATAGATTTTTAGATAGTTATGTATAAGTAGTAGATATCGATATGTATATGGTTGGTAAATTCTTCTGATCGAGTACATACCTCCTTCAGCATTGGCATCGTCTTGTGTGTAGCAAAGCATAAAGGCTAGAAAAACGAAGAGAAAACAAGGGAGAAACCAAAAGGGAAGAGAAAAGAGAGAAAACAGAAGAGAAGAAATCGAAAGAGATATGGTTTTGTCAGTTTAAAACAGAATAGCGGTGGAAATTGGTTCATTTGGGTTGACACAACATTATATATATTAATATATTTGGTTAAGAATGTGATCCTGAATGGTTCTTTTTTTGTGGTACCAAGTTACCTTCAACCAGCTTTTAAATTTTTTTAATAGTAATAAAATCAAAAGATGTGATGTAAAGTGACTTGTTTGTTTAATCAACCAGTAACTAATGGGTAACTTTGATGTAAGAACCATTCAGGATTTTTGGATATTGGGGAAACCATCTGAAGGTTCCTACTATTTCTGTATGTATTATAGTTAAACCAAGTTGGCAAGTAGTCAAAGGTTGTTGCAGGTTTTCATTAAACTGTTTAAAATCGTAGTGATGTAGATATTTGATGAAAGCAGCTGGACAGAAAGTTTTTAGTTTTGATTTTCGATAGAGAGAGAAGAGCGATAAGAAGATTAATGTACTGTCAGTAGAGAGTAGCGGGAGAAAAAGCTTTCAATATGAACAAAATAACGAAATCAACTTGGATTCATCTCGATGGTTCTGGTGGTGATGTATCGTATGATGAACATTGATGTAGAACGTGCAACTCTGCCGCTGAGGAACTCTCTTCGGATACAGATACTGTTTTTAGCTTAATCCATATAATATATATACAGAATGATGGCCATGAGCTATAGACTCCCCACGAGGACTAACTGTTAGTAAGATCGTGTTGCTATAGCTTACTGTCTAAAATGTGTATGCGTGAGTGTGTTCGTTTACAAGTGTTTTGTGTGATTGTTAACCGAGACTAGACCATCTGCGAAGCCCTGACACCGTGATACATTTACAAGTGGACAGATCTTTATATAGTTTCTATATATACCGCCGACTTCGGCTCCGTTTTGAAACATTTCCACCCGATATATTCGGCACTTACGTTGCGGTTCATTCGCCTGATTGTTGTTGACATTATTGATGTCAATTTCGCTGGTGCTGCTCACAACTCCATTGGCTAAACATATATAGTAGTTTGGGATCGGGGCACACACAAGATAATACAACATCCAACATCCAAGCACATCGAATGGGACAGGAAATGTGTGAATTTGTGTGATTTTTCAGTGTGTTCAATTCGTCGGTTCATCGATAGATTCAATCGGTTTGGTTTGGTTTGGTTTATCCACGAGTTGTTGTTGGTGAATGTGGATTGAATGAGTGTTTGGACATCACGGGTTTCGGTGGGCAAAAAAACATATGTAAATAAACAGAAATGTAAATCATATAAAATACATAACAGAACGAAAACAAAAGGGTCGGAACAAAAGTCAAACACATCTCAAAAAACATTAACTTGGAATGGGACAAATAATATACGAAATGGACCGAGAAAAACTTTAAGCTGCTGATGTCTTTTCCTAACAAATGTTTGCTGTATGTAAATTTAATTTGTATCCTTTCATGCCCACCATATACTTAAATATATAAACAACAAAATCGTAAGTTAAAAGATCTTAACAAAAATATTCGGACATTTATGATACATACAACTAGGACGGTTAAATCGTAATATGGCATGAAAGGCTCAACCGAAAAGCAATCACCATTGCAATAAAAACGGGACAAGGACGATTGATGTTCTGTGCAAATTGGTGCTCTTCGGAAAAGATGTCCCAACAACAATTATATCTTCTTACGGGTTATCGGGTTATCAAAACAGGCACACTCTCAATCAATCTCAATCAAACACCCGCCCAGAAGCACACACGCTCATCCAGCCAGAGATTTAGTAGAGAAAGCGACAGAGTGAAAGTCATTGAGCCTTAAGATTAGAACTAAACCAAAAAAACGCCTTCGGCTTGAGCTTGAGCTTGAGCTTGAGTTGCTTGATGTTCTCCCATTATTGGCCATCTCCGGATTGAGAGCGAACGAACGATCGAACTGCTGGCTTCCCTTGGACTTCCCTTGGTCTACTTACGCTCTTGGTCGCTGCCATCTTCGTTCTTCTCATCGCGACTCTTCATGAACGGAAATTTGCGCGAGAATGTGAAATTCTTTTTCTTTCGATCCAATGTCGATTGCTGGAATTAAAAAGAAAAGTAGAGCATTACCATACATGTTAAGTTATTAATAAGCATTCTCATACACTTGGTTAACATATCTATAATTAATAAATGGAAAGCATTAACAGTTCAATCGTTAAATAAAAATATAAATACAAATACGTTAATATAGAAGTACAGACTTCTTTGACTAAATTCAAATTAAGTTTTAGATGTTTTAGTACCTTTAGAATGTTTAGCATCTCAATGATAGTACATACTTATATACGTTATATATACCTATGTATTATAGTTTCCATACAGGATTAAAAATGAATCTATCTACGCACCTTGTCCATATTGTTATTGGCCGCCGCATGTCCCTGGAACTTGACACTGCGATCCCGAGCTCGCATCTTGCGCTCCCAGCGCCTCTTCGATGGCACAATGCCGATCTGCTCGTCCTCGTTGTCGCCCAGGACTCGTCGTGCCTGCCACCACTCGTCGTCGGAGGCGTTGGTCACGTGGAGAATGTCGCCGTGCTTGAAGGGCAATCCCCGCGAGGGCAGTCCGTCGTCCCGATTCGGATCGTAGTCGAACAGGGCGCGCACATACAGCGATCGCTTCTGTGTGGTTCGCAGCAGCGTTCCCGATCCTCCGGCGCCGAGGGCAGCCTGTTGCTTCAGCTCCTGGATGCGCGCCTCGAACCGGTTGTACTCCTCCGGACGATACTGCGCCAGAAGGGTCACCACGCCGCCAGAAGTCTGAAATGGTAATAACAATATTGTTTACAATATTATTTCTTTAAAATTACAAACTAGAGATGAAAATAAGATAACTTAAATGATTCAATACAATTATAATGTTATGTCTGAATAAGTATCATTATAGATGATTTATCAATAATTAACGATGATTGGAACAATAATAACATTAATGTTTATTTCATAAAAATTAAAAACCAGAGATGATACCTTACTTGACTTTTCAAATCAAAATTATTAAAAAGATATGTGAGGATACTTCTTCGTTTTTAAAAATAATTTTAGATGATTTATCAATAACTTTATGTGTTTTCTTATAAAAATCATTGAATATTATCATGAATATGCTATGATTTATAAGTTACTTTCTGTGTTTTCTAACATAATTTATTTATTATTATCATAAAACTAAAGCCATAGTGAACTTGCATTGACTGACCAAATTAGCTCATTGGTGTTCGTAATTTTTCTTTGATTGATATTCGTCAACAAGAAAATCACGAGCATTTTTTACATACGTTCACTCCCTAATTGAAATTAAACGTTTTGTCAAGAGCACAACGTTCCAAATTAAAATCAAAACGATGAATGCTTTAAAGCCTTTGAAGCCTCAAGTTTCATCGGAGGTTAACCTAAATCTATTGAGAAGTTCCCAAAGTAAAACGAATCTGGTTTGGACTCACTTTGAGCGCCTGGGCCGCCTCCTCGTGGGTGGCATGCGTGAGGTTGACATTGTTCACGCTGAGCAACTGGTCGCCGCGCTTCAGCTCCGAGCCAAGATCCGCTGGGCCGCCGGCCAGGATGAAGGACACATAGATGCCCTGGCCGTCCTCGCCGCCAACGATGTTGAAGCCCAGGCCCTGCGGTCCCTTCTGGATGGTGATGGTGCGGGGTTCTCTGCGGAAACAAGGCTATATATAGTACCCGAAAACGTACATATAAGGAGCAGGGGGGCTTGACACTCACCTGGTAATATCCTCGGTGCTGACGGCACGCGGAGTTCCTGGCGGAACGGCGGCCAGGACATTTGTGGATGCGTATCGCGAGCCGGGCTCTATTTTGTTATCAGAAATGTGTAATTTTTGGTTTAGGTTTATCGGTCGTTTTTTTTTTGTTTGCACATTGATTGGAGATATTTATTATTAAGACATGACAGAGAGATAGACAGAGAGATAGACAAAGAAGGAGACAGAGAGATAGAGACAAAGACAAAGACAGAGAGAGATAGAGATAGAGCGGTTAATAATGCTTCGAGATAGATAGATTGTAGATAATGCTTTCTTGCAGACTGCAGAGCGTCCGTCCAGAAGAATTCCCAGACAGAGGCAAACGCAAAAGGGACAGAGACAGCAGGCACCGCCGAGAAGGAGAAACAAACTGTGGTTAAAGAAACACAAGAGAGACAGCGACAAAAACTGAGGCCAACGGAAACGGAAGACAACAGAACGGAAACTGAAGATTTGCATTTGATTTTCCCTCCTTCCCGCAACACAAACGCAAACGCAAACACACACTATACACAGGCACACACGATCGCAGGCACACCAATAAAGACGCTTGTTAACACCTCGAGATATATATGTAGATAGTACAGCACAACAAATCAACAGAGATCGCTCTGATCGATCCAGGATTCAACTCTCTAGAACAGGCACAATAATCGATAATCTAGAGGGCGGTGGGGTTCAAATCAACAGCATGGCGGTGAGGAATCTACTACTGGCGGAAGACGGGAGCAGCTTCCAGCATGTGAAAATGAAAGTGACACTGAATTCTCGACTAGGGCCTCAAACTACTTGGCACAGCAGCAATAGCATTAGATGGGATGTTTGCCACAAGAGCAGGGAAATGTTGGAAGGATTCTAGGAGGGATGACACCCGTCTCAAGTGCCTTTACTCAAGGAATCCCCATAAACGCACTGGAGCGGGTTGAACATATCAACGCAAAATGGATTAATACAAAACATATTGATGCAGTTAATTGAAATCAGGGTAAAATAAAATTAATATTACGAGTAGTAACAATCTGAGTTACTGATTTTCAAGGTGATTGATCAAGAGCTCAATCAAAAAGATATGATTTGAATAAATAAAGAAAGCGGAAAATAAATAATATATAAAACTATTAGGTTTCAAACTGGTAGAAACGATAACGAAACAGATATGGAAAACAGAATTGGAAAAGAGCTAGTAAAAAAACAAGGCCATAAAATAAAAATAAACAATGTGAAATCAAATAAAATAGAATATTATAGTACTTATTGAATAGATTAGTCAGAAGAAAAGAAAAGAAACAAAGAGTAAAGATGGGGGCCCAGCACAAGTGCATTTATTCGAGGAGGACCTCGCAGGACCTCCGATGATAAACACCCTCGACCGGGGCCATTGATGAGCAAATATATAATATTAGTTACAACAGAAGGAGATCGGTTACAAAATAAACAAATCAATCGCTTACGGCGCGGCTGGGGTGATTGGGATCGGTTGTTTGTTTGGTTGGTGGATTCGACAGGCAGGGCGGGCATGGAAGCATTGTTAAAGAAGGAGGCGGGTGGAGATGATGCTGCTGCTGCTGCTGCTGCGGCTGCTGCTGCTGTTGCTGCTGCTGTTGGTGTTGCAACTGCAACTGCAGTTGCCGTCGTGCCGCTGCTACTATTATTATTATTGTTGTTGTTGTTGTTGATGCTATTGCTGTTGCTGGTGTTGATGTTATTGCTGTTGCTGTTGCTGTTGCTATTGATATTGATATTGCTAATGCTAGTGTTGCTGTTGCTGCTGTTGGCCGACGGCGGCAACTTGCTGCTGCTACTGTTGGTGGTGGCTGCTGTGGCCGTGACTGTGGTGACTGTGGTGTTGCTTGCAATGACTGATGCAGATGCAGATGCTAATGCAGATGCAGATGCGATTGCTGCTGCTGTTTGTGGTGTTGGTGGTGGTAGTGGCGAATCGACAACCGTCTGACCCACACTGTTTAGCGCACCTGTCGACTGCGAATTGACCATCGGCGTCGGGTGCTGCTGGTGCACCTGACTTTGGCTCTGGCTGCTGGCCAACTGCGACTGCGACTGCGACAACTGCTGTCCGGATGTGAGGCCTCCTCCGCCGCCGCCGGACGCACTGGTGGTCAGGTGCTGCGTCTTCCCGATGATCAGCGTCACCTTGTCGGTGATGGACTTCAGCGTGGCCACCGCCAGTTCGTGCGTTACGTTCTCCAGGTTCTTCTCGCTCTGTCGGGATGTAAAAAAGTTGAATTAAATGCTTGCGATTCAGATTAGCCAGGTGGTTGTACTCAATTGGTTAATTATATTTCAATTCATATAGGAGTATTGGAAACTAACAAGTTTTTAACAAATGAGATCGTTGACTTATGGTTGTATTTTAGTTTAGAAATAAATACACAAAACTAATAGAACATTTAAAGAACACTTCTACAATTCAAAGCGCATATCCAAGCTAACCAATTTGAAGTACCACCTTTGAAAATAACACTTGTTAAATGACTTCACCCACCCCGTTGGTGCGGACTGCAATCAGTTTGTCCCCGATGGAGAGGCGTCCATCCACCTGCGCTGCTCCGCCGTCCATCAGCTTGGTCACATAGATGCCATTGTCGCCGGGGATGTGCTGGTTGCCAATGCCGCCGGCGATGGAGAAGCCCAGTCCCTTGCCGCCCTTGACCAGATCGATTTCAATGACCTTCGGTCCGCCGGGCGCACTATCCCGGGCATCTCCAGCCGCCGATCCAGCCGCCGGAGTGGTGGCCGTTCCCCGTTTTCGCTTCACGTGCAGCTTGACCACATTGCCGGCCTTTTTCAGGGCATCCACTGCGGAGGCGTGTGGCACATCCACCACGGACACATCGTTCACGGAGACGATGATGTCGTTGATGCTCAGACGTCCATCGGCGGCAGCTGCTCCGCCGGAAATGAGCTTCGTGATGTAGATGGAGGTGTCGGTGCCGATGTGCGGATTATCCGTACCGCCGGCAATCGAGAAGCCCAATCCGGAGTTGCCGCGCTCCAGCTGAATGTCCTCATACAACCAGCTGTCGTCGCCATTGACCTGCAGTGGATAAGGATCATCAGTTGGGTTCGTAAAGTGTTTGGGGTTAGGACATGATAACACAAAGGTCACAACGTTGATACTTTGATGGATGTGTAAGTGTTTTAGTGTTTCGTGGGATGGAAGTGTGATGAAAAGTGTTTTCATGTGTAAATTGCTCCACTTTGAACAGATATTAAACCAAGTTTCCAGTTATAATTGATTTCTTTCAAATATAAAAACGTAATTTAGTTTATATGTATTACCAATATAGTCTTGATAGTGTCAGTTTTATTCAAGATTTAATTATTCGGTATAATAATAATGTAATCAGTAGATAACATGTATGAGTTGTTTAATGATTTGGTAAAATATTTTGTTGATAGGTGCTCCTTTTGCTATCCTAAATACGGTTCCAATACAAATGTATCTCATTTTTGTAACAGAATTGTAATTACGTATTTATAATTGAGCGTTATAAGCGCACTTTCTTTATAAATAACATAATAACAATATATGTCTTAATATGTCTTACATTGGTATCGTTACATTGGTATTGTTAACATTATTCCAAAATACATCGTCAGATATATTCTTAGAGCCCATATATATTTTTCGATGCGATGCATGACCTTTTCAGCTTTTCAGTGATTTGTGATGTCATAGCATGGGTAATTCTGTTAGACAGCGAATACATAAAACAACATGAACAAAGACGAACACGCGACGATCACACAAAAAAATGCAAATGCAGTTAAAACGAAGACAAACAACGTTGATTTCAGCCCGTTTCCATTTTCGGTTTCGACTACATTTTAGAGGAAATGGCTAAACAAATGAATTCTTATTCCTTTAATCTTTACAATTATTTGTAAACTCCTGGGAGAATATAATTTGAAGTAAAAAATACTCTTTAAATAGATTTGAGGTAAAATTCGAATATTATGTGGCAATGAGAACTCCAATTCAAAAGAAAATATGCACCGAAAATGGAAATAGGATGGAGATCATAATCTTTTCTACGTTTAGATCCATCGGGTGGCTTACCTTTGCCGACGACGTCTTATGGAGCTGTAGAGGGTGGGGAAAGTGAAAGAGGAAAGTTTAGAGAGGATCCGATCCATTTAGTGACTAACTAGATAAGTGTATATTAACCCTCAAAGGCCCCCAGGCCGCACCCTCTTTTAAAATGGGAGAACGTGTCAATGACGAGTCTTGGAATATCTTGAGTTATCTGGGCCGTAGTCAAAACTCTCGTTGCAATTAACAGGCGACCAAAAAATGGAAAATAAGTCGAACACAAAGCCAAACAACAGTGCGCTAAAAATGGCAACAAAAAAGTAAACAGCTTGCACAACTCGAAGCGATCTTGGCGGTGGGTTAAAAGGGGGCGGGGTGACGGGTTATGGCATCGTTAAACGAGTTCAATTGATTAGCAGCCCAGTGTAAATGAATTCATCAAGCGGCGACGACAGCAGCATTAACCCTAAGAAAATGCCAGTGTGCACTGCAGAAGTGGGCGTTGCCATCCCCCTTAACCCCCCACAGACCCCCTATCGATTGCTCTAGTCTGGCGAAAAATTGCCAATTAACCCTAGGAGTGGGTCAAGTCAAGTATACGCCTGGGGAACTTAAGTAGGCGGGCTAAAAATATTAATATGCTCGCCGGGTTAATCTCTGGAGGATTCCCAATGGCGCGGCTACAGTGGCAAGTCGCTAAAAAACCTGATTTTATATAAAATAGTTTGTGTTAAAAATTATCTACATTTAGTTACAAAGACTTTTTTTTAGTCTTTCAATTACAACAATAAAGAATTCACCCAGTAAGATACTTTAAACTAAGAAGAGTTACGTTAATGTCAATTTTTTAGCAGTCTTTCTAGTACGAACCATCCCATTATTATGATCATAATCTGAGTACACAAGCAAAGAAAAAGTCAAAGAAATTACGCTTCCAAATGTATGTTGTTCTTATAATTACAAGCATGAAGTGTTACATCTTTAAGACCCCATTAGCGAACCCCCACTGTACATGACACTTAGGCTAACAGGTTCGTGCCGCTTTTGCTTCCGCTGACAACTCTGGTTACAATTTTTTCCAACCCAAAAAGAATTATAAAGAGAAGAAAAATTACATCATAAAGTTAACAATCGGAACTCACTTAATAGGGGCGAGCGAGTTTCGGAGGTGAAGGGGCGAATGTGGCGGGGGTGTTGGGACAAACACAAGACTTTGAGCCAACTAAACCCCAAGCAACAAAAAAAAAAATGAAAAGAAAAACAACAACAATAACGGCACGCTATATTAACGGGGCCAACGAGCTACAATCGGTTTTTCTCTGCTTCTGCTCTTTTTTTCGTGCGCCTTGATTTTTTGTTTTTGTTTTTTTGTAAAGTTGCACACCCTTGAAATTAGTAGCAGGCACTAAAGCCAAAGCAAAAAGCCAAATCATATCATATATAGAGCGCTTATCTTATCTATGATAAACATATGCTTGGGGCGACAAGCACACTGAAAATGCGGAAAACCGAACGGCAGACGATAAAATTCTTAAGCTTTTGTAAGAAAGTCGAAATTCCAATGCACGTAAAAGATTGTTATAGACCAACTAGAGATGATATAGGACAGCAATTTCAAGCCATCTAATCGAATGAGTCATTAATGTATACCCTATTTCAAGTATTCACTTAATTATTCACCTTGCATGCAAAGCGAGGAAACGAAATGTAATACGCAGTGCACTAGTATAAAATTGTTTGCAACGGCTACGTTCAGCAGATACAAGTTATCGTAGACATAGCAAACTGTTCTAGGTTTTAACAATAGGCAAAATGGTTGACGAATTGAATTGATTGTGCAAGGGCCCCATGGCCAATCAAAGCTGGAAATAATCGTACACGTCTAATCAAATTGAAAAGGTTATCCTTGGGGTAAACCAATTTCATTACACCAATACCTTATGAAAGCATCCTATGGAATGCAATTAACAACTCGCAAACTACTTTCTGTTAAAGTCAGAAGCAGAATTTATGATCACAGAAATATGTGTCGAAATTTATTACTCAAGATCATAAAGAGCAAAACACCCAAACCAGCTAATTATCCACGATAAACAAAAATGACTCAGAGGAAAATTTCATGCAAAAGAAAATTAAAAATATTTTGACAAGCAATATATATAGTACGCTATTGTCAAAGAATTTTGAAAACCGTTTAACATAATCTCACCGACCCAACAAATCTATGTACATATGTTTATTACTTATTAAAAGGCCTATGATAATCCATAGCTGAACAGGGCCAATAAGTAATTTGAATGCGTCAAGCTGCGTTGCACTTCATTGATCAAATCGAATAAAAAAATATTGGCAAAACGCCCAGGGGTTTACTATATGGGATCGGACGTATGAAACGGGACGTGACGATGATCGCGGTCGAAACACCTGCGAGAAACGAAACCGAAACGGAAACCCAAAGCCATTATTCCATTATTCCGCCCCAGAGGGGGTGGGAAGTACTAAAATTATGGTTCAATATGTAAACTTGTCCTTCAGATTTATATGTGCTTGCTACCCGCCGGCTGACGCGTGATTTGTTTATAAGTTTTTAAGAAATATTGACTAAGGGGTGGGGGTGATATACTGATCCGAAAAAGTTGAACGCCTTGGTTTTAACAGTAGGCATTGGTGGGAAGCAATTAGATTTTCTATATAAAAATTCACTTTTAAGATATAGTACGTTTGTTATAGTAGATATAGTAACGTTACAAAGTTAATTTTGTTTTCACTTCATTCCTAACATTACTTTATTACTTTCCCAAGTAGCCAATATTCACTGTAAATTCCTTTGTTTTGTGGGTGGCAGAAGACACGAAAATAAAACTATTTCTGGCAAAAAGCGAGTGAGAGGCAAGATCAAATTGGGGACAACGACAAGTGCAGTGGCTACGCCTGCGCTGAATATTAAGGGCACCAGTAACAACAATAAAAGCACTAGCGAAAACAATAACAAATCCAACAAGAGAAGAACCGTTGGTCGAGCATTAGAAAGAGACGGTAAGAGTCTTTCTATTATTTTTTTTTTCGCCGCGAACGCAATGCAAAGACGCTAAAACGATGACAACGCACCCAATTGTGAGTGTAAGTGTGCAAACAGAGGCCGGCATAATGTTAGAAACATGAGTTCTTCAGAGCTACGTAATATTTAATTTCTTTCTTTAAATGGAAATTTAGCAAGTAAGTACGTGTACCAAAGTGAAACCAGAAATTCATTTTTTTTAATTTATAATAATTTAATATTTATATTTTAAATAAACCCCAAAGGAATAACACATTTTTAAGGCAGTTTCTTTAACTTTGGTTCAATAAACAAATAAGTATCATAGTCTCTAAAAGATTTGAGCAACTTCCAACAAACCGTTCCCGCATAATAATTGCAACAATTCGCAATCTCAACTTGACCACACAATTTTTCCAAGGGGTAAACAAGACATGTGTCAACAAATTTATATATGCACATATGTATCCTTTGGTTTACTGCAAATAAACACTTTGTTTAAGAACATTCATAACAAGCTTCTGCCATGAAATTGAAGGCGCCACTACAAGTTAAAAAAAAAGTAATAAAAGTAATGTTGGCCCTATTACTTTGCCCGCAGCTGTTTGCACACTTGTATATCGCCTTTGAATTGAGAAAAATCGGCTAGCTTTCAGTCAGTCTGCGAATTTGATTTAAAAATAAACCATGGAATCATCGCACACTATATAGAGCGCAGATGCCCAGCTTTTCCGCCACATATTGTTAGATATATAATGCTCCGATTTTTACCGAATCCAGATTGAAGAGTGACGAAACTTTCTTGATGAATCCGCCGCCACTTCCGCCGCCGTCGCGCTTCTTTTTTCGTGTTGTCATCGCTGCAGCTTTCAGTTAAAAACTTCTATTTCTTATATTTGTATATTTTTATGGCAGTTCAATGGTTTAAGTTGCAGCCACACAAACACTAACACACGGACAAAAGCCGGCGCTGCTGCTTCTTCTTCGTTTTGTTTCGTTACTATTATATTTTAGCTTTTATTTACTGCGTCTGATTATCCAACTTTCTGCACTAGATAAACAAAAATGCACACATTTCGAACTTAGTGGTTTGCTTTTTATATATTTAAATTGCACGCACGGGCGTGTTGTTTGTGTTTTAGAGATCGGAACTAAAAAGAGGCCGCCGAAATAACAAACACAAAAAAACACCGTGTGAGAGAGGGAGAGCGAATTTTTTTTTTCGGTATACCGACGAAAATTCTCTTTCTCTCTCTCCTTGTTTTGCTGGCATTTTCCTCCTCCTCGCTCCGTTTCGATCGATAAGTAGACTATCGTTATCGTTCGCGCTGGCAATGCTCGCTCCCTTTCCCACACACTCCAGTTTTATTTTGTATGAGCGTTCTGTTGTGGGCTTTCAACGGCACTGCCAATAACTGGACACTGACTCACGCAAATAAAAATGACTCTGCTTTGCAATTCACATTTCCAGATCCGGCACAAAAACAAACAAAAAAAAAAAACCGAACGGGACGAAAACAACACACCCAACTAATAGAATCGATTTTTTGCAGCACTATCCCGGCCTATCGATAAATAGACTGTGTGACCGCAGAGTGATCTTCAAACTATGCCAAAAAAATACTGACCTTTAATACCTAATCAGATATTTGACTTTAATATTAAATTCAAGGTGTGTTCCTGTATTTGCTTATTTAACCGAAGCTACCGTTTCCATATTTGAGTGCAATAATTAAATTTGAACTTTAAAATTAACAGGGAAACGGCATTTTGGAGAAACATCGTTGACATGTGTACAACTAATTTCCGTGACGGTTTGTGTCATGGCTAACGGCTTTTAAAGGTAATGGGTTAGGCGGAGATTTGTATACCAAGATAAGAACATTGTACAGTAGCTGCTACAATATTTTCCCGCTGAGTTCTCCCACCTAGACAATTATAAAATATTCTAACTTAAAATTTTGCAATTTTGCAAATTTTGCAAATTAGGTTACGACTTTTATTTTTTTGTTTAAGAAATATTTATTTTACGTTTTCATCAATTTGACAAACGTAAAAGGTTTCCCAAGTAGTAAATATACTTACAACTTTTTCCAATTATCACTCAAAAGTGCACTTTAAAAACCTTATATAAAGTTTTCTGCGTCGCAGAAGCAAACTTAAAATAAAAATCAATACAAACCATAAATCATCAAAGCAATTAAAACAAACAAACATGTCAAATAAGAAGCGCAATAATGTATATATATTTTGTAAGGTTTCACATGGTATGTTTCTTAAATTAAAATCGAATTCCGTTTGGCAACTAAAACATTAACATAACCAAATCATGCATAAAACTAAGGCTGAAATTATAAATAAGTATGATCGAATGGGATTATTACAAGTGCTTTCTCGCTCTTTAAAAGAAATCAAATATTATTTGAAAAATAGCATAAACGTAACGGAATCATGCACTAAAATCTTAGTATAAACATCGTAAGCTTTAATATAAAGAAAATGTGTTACGCTAGCTGGCAATTTCGTATTCCGTATTCGTTATATTTTCCTTTCTGGCCAGGTCGGCTACAACGTACAACAACAACGCACCGGAAACGGAAATGGGCGACGCTTGGCCCACAAAAACGGGGGACCGAGCGACTTAAGCGTCTTAAGTAAGTAACGATTCGTTAAAAAGGCAGGAAAACGGGTAAAAAGGCGGATAAATAGAGGGGCGGTGGGGCAAAAAGCAGGCGTGCTCCCAATTACAACAGCTTTACCATTGGCGATTTAAAGTTGTGGGCGTAAGAAGCCTTTCGAAAGAAATGAATTATTGAGGTTGCAGTTCAAAAACTCCAACGAATCGAATTGGGTTTCCTTTGTGTTTGTTATCTGTATGTTGAAAGAATTTAATGCATTTTTCGAATTTATTTGTGGCGAAAAACGCCTGGAATGTATGAAGCAGTTTACTGCTTTTTCTTAGTAGGTTTTGCAACACTTTATAAAGGCTCACTTTTGCAACAAGCCTTAGAGAATGTAATTTTGTTTTTGCCCTAAACCCAAATGGACTCGCCAGTAGCGTAAATTAATTAAATACCGTTAATAGCTTGTTAATTTGTTAGTGAGTGAAACAGCCAAACAAAGTGCCAATGGAAGTGTAGCCTCGGAACTACGAACTAACGAATTCTTTGAGCAGAAGCTAATTACACAGCCTGCTGCTTCCATTTCCTCAGCGTGTTCTTGAGCTGGTTGTTCTGCCCTCGAGGACTTTTCGCTGCCGGAAAATGAGGGAAAACTAGGTGGACTCGAAAGCGCGCTTTAGCATTTTGGCTTGATTGCCGTTGTTAAGGCGAAGTTGGTAATGGTGTTGGTGTTGGTGTTGGCGTTGGCTTTGATGTTCATGTTGATGTTGATGTTGATGGAGGCTTACGAGGACTCGCTTGCGCTGGTGTGTGTGCTTGGGTATCTGTGTGAGTGACTGTGTCTGTATCTGTGACTTCTGCCATGGATTTTGGCATCAGCTAGAGCCGTTGGCACAAATGATTAAATTGCAGCAACTTACGGTCTGCGACCCGCTCCGCGACTTGGATCCCTGCTGCTGTTGCGCCTGCTGCGGATTCTGCTGCAACTGCTGCGGTGAGCGGGAACTGCGCTGCTGCTGCTGCTGCTGCTGCTCGGCCAGCGGCTCCTTCGCATTTTCCGTATCCGACTCGATGCGCATGCGCTGATTCTGCGGAAGATAATCAAACAAAAAACGATCAGCGTCATGATCTTGCAATTAAGCATTTATTAGTTTTTATTAACCAGGGCAAACGTCCAGATATTCATATTGATATTCATTCCCAAAAACTGAAAACAACACTTTGCAATGCTTTCTAAGGCCCCAAACACACAAAAAATAATAGCCTACTTTCCTGCTGTATAATTTTCTGCAATGTTTTTCTTCTAAATATTTGTTTTTAATATAGGTAAAAATATATACAGATATTCAGACTCAGTTTTGGTCTATTTTATAAGTTTTGTACAAATGTACATATGTATAAATAGATTTTTTATCCATACAAAATTAAATTTTTTGATTTTACACCTATTACATAAGTTATTAGATAAAAACACAAATTAACATAAATATGTGTGTAAGCAATCATATTTTTATTAAATCGATTGACGTCGACTGATTGTCGTAATAACAACTTATTACCATTCTCAAGAGTAGGATATCTTTTAAGAGATATTAAGAGATTCTTCATCTTCCCACTTACGTTGGCACAACAGCAGGCATAACGTGACCCGCCCCCGCCCACCGATTCGTTGTCCTTGTCCCTCTCTTTTTCCTTCTCCTTTTCCTTATCTCTTTTTTGTCGATCCCTGGACTGATGTTGCTCCTGTTGATGTTGTTGCTGCTGTTGTTGATGTATTTGCTGTTGTTGTTGTTGTTGCTGCTGCTGCGGTGGCGCCGTTAGTTGGCGTCGACGTCGACGCATGCGCACCGGCGACCGCGAGCCAACATAATTTGAGAAGCGTCGCCGCGAGTGCCGCACTATTGACACCCAGTCAATCATTTCTCACAGTGTATTGTCTCAAACTCCCCGCCCGCGGAGCTTGCGATTTTTATATGTTTAAATAAAATAACGCTCTCGTTTTATTTTAATCGGTGGGCTAAATGTTCCCTGATTTGGTTGTTCTTAAGTTTTTTACTTTGTGCGTTTCATTTTCACTTTAAAATAATGAATTTAAAAAATTTGTTTAGAAATGAAGTTGTACCTCAAAATGGGTTCACAATTCGTAATATATTCCTTGTTTAATGTTTTTTTTTGCCTTAGATTGGAAATTAACTTTAATTGTGAATATTTATATTTTTTTGCCTAGGTAATACATTTTTTCATAATAACAGTAATAAAATATGTGTTAAATATTAATCTGAAGTATAATTGGTCTTTAATTCAATCAACCCACAAATACATTATATCGTTGTAAGTACTAACAACAGAATGAAATATGTGATAATTAACAAGACAAGACATCAAGAGGATGATGTGATGTCAGATTTTTCCTTTGAAGAGTTGCGATAGCAACAAGTTGGATGCAAGCAACCGGAAAAGTGGAAAAGCTGGAACGAATGGGATTGAAATCGGCACCCTCGCTGTCTTTGTTTGTTTTTCACCGGTTACACATACAAAAACAGATACAAATCTGTTTGCCAGTCCCATTTTTGCAACTCGCAAATATGAAAAGAAAATATATACAGTGGAGGTTTTTCATACTCCAATCATTTGGAGGCCATCCAAAAAAAATAAACACAACAATTATTAACCGGAATGAACCAATTCCGGTTGGTGATGATTTCGGAAATAAATATATTTAAATATATGTACATTCCTTTTTTTTTTAATTTTGATGAATCATTTCTTTTTATTTTCTTTGGAACATGTTTATTTTTTTTTGCATTGAGGGAAAATTGATTTGTGACCATTTTGCGAAAACCAATATCGGCTTTTTAATTTGGATATTAATTGTTTGTTATTTTTTAATTTTTGATTTTCAAAATAATTTTTAATGACTGACGTAGAGAACTGAGAGTTTATTTTTCGGGTCTTTGATGCAAGGGTTTAGTAGTAAACTGTTTGCTCAGTCAAAAATATAACACTTAGAAGTCCTGCGGAAATGAAAAAGTTTCTAGTTGGATTTTGAAGAGACCACTGTTTGCATTGTTTTCTCGCGGAGAGTTCGTTTGGCATTCAATTTATAAAGTGTGTGCCAAGGCCCAAAAACCGAATGCCGAATACTTTTTTGTTTACAGTCGGAGAAGGGGAACATGTGTTTTTATGTGCGGATGTTCTAAATTCGAAAGATTCTCGTTGCTGTAGGCGAAATTAGCAGCGGGAAATCAAAATCCAAACGCTATTTGGCATGAAAGAAACGCAAGAAAAGCCAAACGGTGCGAGCTGCCAAAATAAATAGATTGATATATTGCTCGTCTCGTTGGTGTTGCTTTTGTTGTTGCTTAAACGATGTTTTCCATTGCCAGACGACCATGAATGAAACGCTCAGCAAAATATAGAGAAAAATACGAGCTATAAGGAAAAATAGGGAGAGAACTAAGAGCCAGAGAGCCTACGTTTATAATTTTAAAAAAAGCAATGGTTAAATCATTTTATCTTAAAAAAAAGTTTTATTTTTGAATTTCAAAATGTACGCTTCTGTGAGGATATTTGTTTTTTGATTATTGAATTTAAAAGAACTTGCATTTCGTTAAAACACTTTTTTAATTTTTCAATTTTATCTTTAATAAACAATTAAAAGAAACACGACAAGTTTGAAATTGATTTAGATCAACTTGATTTTAAACTAAATATACATATATGTATGTATAAAAAACAACAACATATTTAAGCCGGTTTAAAATAAAAGAAATAAATTTCTAAATAAATATATATGCCAACACAGTTTGGAAGCTAACTATTGAACTGTAACATGTTGGCAAAATGATTCCTTCGTTAATTCGCATGAAAACTAAATGTGTTGACTGCAAACAAGAAATCTCATTTCCACATTCTTAGAAATTTCCACTAAGCTAAAACGTGTCAAGCATATGCCGTGAATTATCACGATTTCCAACAATTAATTAAAGTAATGGCTCAATTAACTGCTGCGCAGGTTTAATCACTTTTAATTTGTGCCACCTGGTGGTGGTTTTAATTGGTGAGCGATTACTCTGAGGCACGTGGGGCGTATACGTAATATTTGGAAGTCTGCCTGTTGTTCATCCGCCCCGTAGTTCACCTGCCACCTTGTAATGCCCCAAAACTTAGCCTTGTTTTATCTTGTTCTCGCTGCTGGCTTCTCGCTCTTTCTTGTTTTCTTATTTGATGTGTACATTCTGTCTTACAATTATGTAAAATGTTTGTTTTTTGGCGCCAAAAGAGATGAGTGATGGACACGCATGTGTCAAGTCGCACAAAAAAAAATAAGGAAAAAATAGAAACCGGGCAACGACTGATAACAACACCGACGAATTACAGAAATATGGCAGAACAACACGGTATCCCTCACACAGAAAAAAAAAATTAATACAGCAATGTAAAAAGAAGTTGTGTTAACAAAACATTTCGTTAATTATTCTTATTTATTTTGTTGTGAACTTTTCGCTCTGTATTCGACAAAGATTTTCACACCGGACGAAACTGGAATTTAAATAAGTTTAATTATTGCTGACAGCCTTTGTATACTAGCATATTGACACACACAACTTATGACAGCTCCTAATTTTAAATCTTGTAATCCTTATATTAATATCAACTAATTGAAATGGATGGAATACGTTTCAGAAATTTAATTTAAATTTTAATCCAATTAAGTTAATATTTCTCATTACTAAATTTGTTAAGCTCGAATGTAAGCTTTTTACTAAAAATTATTATCTTGTGAAGATAAACTTCAATTAAATTTGATTGACAAGCTTTTTGATTGACAATCTGTTTGTTTTTCTGTAACTTTGGCTTTACAAGATAAACTTTTTATATTTTGAAATCGAATAGAACCGAATTGTGAACCACAAGTGTTGGTGCTTTGTTTATTTTTTGTTCTTGTTGTGTGTCTGCACGATTAACGAGGGTTAAGCAGCGTCTGGAGGGTTAAAGGGTATTCCCCCCATCCACACACCCACACAAACGCGCACCCTACACACGCACAGCACACGCACACACACATTGAAAGGTAGACAGACACGCGCCGCTATGCAAAATTGTTGTGCGACTCGACGCGTCAACGGCACGACTGTTACTACCGCCTTTGCCGTTCCGTTTGCCGCTGCCGTTTTTCCTTGGCCATACACACACTCGCCCACCCACCACCCCGCGATGCCACCTACCGGATTACCACCCACCGGCCCCCAAGAGGCACATACCACACCAGACCAGAACACACCAGACCCAGACCCACAGGTCCATGTCCGTTCGCCAAAAACCGAGAGCGTTCGTGTGTTACCGCCTCTGCCGCCCGCCTCTGCCGACGTCGCTGCCTCGGCCCGGCCAAACAAAAAAAAAAAAAAAAAAAACAACACAATAGCAAAAAAAAAGAAAAAACTGGCAACAAAATATAGAGAGCGCCAAAGAAATAAGTAATGGGAACCTTGGGCAATCGTTCATTGGTTAGCACTGATAACAAACATTTGTCGGCATGCCGGCAGCATCCTTCAAAGCTGCGACAGATTGTTGGGCGCGGTACAGTGATACCTCGCCTTTGAATAAATTGCAAAAATTACTTGCCTCTTGAAATAATATATGGATTGCCAAAACTACTATTATTATTTTTAATATATGTATATATTTTTTTTCTGCATTAAATATATTATATGTTATAGTATATATTGCTATCAAAATCAAATAGACAGACAATTTTATTTGTAAGCATAATATTTTTGTTGTACGCTAACAACTTCCTTAACAACAATGCTGACATTATTTCTATAAAATATTTGAATTATCTGGCCGCCCAAGAAGAGTGAATATAATTAGTGTACTAACATTAAAATATCTTACGTTTTGGGTCTTTATTTAAAATGTTTTGAAAATATCTTACTTTTAACCCAAATTTCTTTTATTTAAAAAATTAAGGTAAGAATGTTGCAAAAATCATTCAAATTTTTACGTTAAACAAATTAAAGTCCTTAGCGACATCTGCATTCCGGCCGAATATAAAATGTATTCAACATTTATTTGTTTAACCAAGACTAGCTAATTTTTTAGGGGTTGTACAAACAGCTAGGGCCCACTGTACCTGCCGTCAACAGTTTACCGTTCGTCTACCGCCTATCGTTTACCGTTTGCCGTTTTGTGACGTACCACCGTTCCGCTATTTCGCCGTTCCGATTTCACGATTTCTGAATTTCACGACTCGACGACTTGACGACCCTCCGATTTTTAGTACGCATGTCCTAGGCGACAAACAACAAAGAGCAACAAAAAGCGGGCGCGAAAGGACAACAAAAAACAAAGTAATTGCCTAACTGTAGCATGTGCGATAAAGACGGTAATATTCGGAGCAAGCGGGACAGAAAGAGAAAGCGAAAGGTTGGAAATCTGAGCCTTTGTGTCTGCTCCTGGTTTTTTTTAATGTGTAGGTATAGTATAGCGACATCAATCACCTCGAACCCAAATATAAAAGACTCGACTTTGTTTTACTTATTAAGAATTCAACACATTTCTTTCTCAATGGCTTTCCTCTAGATTGAAGATACATATTTATAAAAAATATTTTAAACACAAAATTAAAAATATTTAGTTTTGGATGATCGAGCTAAAAATGATTAATTGAAACTGTTTTATGAACTAGTTAAACACATTCTCCAGTTTACTTTGTTTAAGAAAATATTTCCTAATTTTATGATTTCAATTATATTACAAATTTAGATAATTATGTTTAAAAGTTCTTGTGTTTGAAAACCAAAATATTATAATTAATCTCTTTATTCTAGAAAGGCTTACTAAACATAATTTGTGGTCCCAATAATGTTAGATATTGTTAAAGATTTTAGAAAATCTTTCAAGGGACGAGAACCATTTGCAAAATGGTGAAATTACCTTAAGTCACCTTTTTGTAAGCCCGGTTAAAGGGTATTATCTGCCAGTACACATATCTTTAAAATATATCTTTAGTGGGTATCCAAGTGCCCCGATTGCCGGATTGGAATGGCTGCACCGGTCGTCATAGCCACTTAAGCCACAGCAGTTGTTAAGGGACATCTGGGCGAAAGGACATTCAACCGCCTCTCGCAAGGATTGAGTACCACTCCCGCCCGTTTCCATCCACTCACCACGTGCTTGGGTCCTGGGACATGTTCAAGAGATTTCAATTAGCTTCGGCCATCCAATGGTTGGTTGTGCTCTCGATTTTTTGCATTAACTGCAAAAGGGGGACTCCCTCTTAATGCTCTTAATGGCCGGATATTAACCATTTATTTCTTAAATTGAGATTTTCTGAACAGCAGCTTGGGTTTGGAATACTTAATAGCTCATAATTGCAAAAGTCCTTTTGCAAACCCGAACAAAAACTTTTCCGTTCTGCAACTAATTAAAAAATGCTAATGAACTTTCTAAAGTTCATGTGAAAATTGTTCGGGAGCTATTAATTAGGGAGCTAGTAACTTGTTACAATAAATAGGAACTTCTTTAGGTTAGTATACTTCTCATACTGGGCTTGAAAAACAAAATTAACAAAACAGTCTTTGAACGAACTGCAAAACAGGAACTCCGTTTGATGGGACGGATGCTCTCCATTTATTTCGTATTTTGAGTTTTTCTGAAAACCAGCTAGTTTTTTACTTTTTATACCCTTGCAGAGCAAAAGGGTATTATAATTTCAGTCAAAAGTTTGCAACGCAGTGAAGGAGACACCTTAGACCCCATAAAGTGTATATATTCATGATCAGCATCACGATCTGAATCGAAATACGTCTTTACGTCTGTCCGTCTGTCCTCCTGTCCGTTTCCGCGTAAACTAGTCTCTCAGTTTTTAATCTATCTTTCTGAAACTTTACCAAAAGGCGTGTAGTTATTGCACGCAGTATATAAGTCGGAACGATCCGGATCGGCCGACTATATCGGATAGTTCCAATACGAGAGAATGAAATAAAAAATTCTTACACCATTGTTTTTGATCAGATCGACTTCATTTCTTCCAGATGGCGTTTTCTAACTTCTATTGAATTTCAGATTAAATTGTATCAAAATCGGATAGCTCTATCATATAGCTGCCATAGGAAAGATCGAAAAATATATGTATAAATAATGGAAATAAAATTATAACGTCGTTGTTTTTAATTCCACGAGCATGATTTTTAATATATGGAGTTTTTTAATAACCCTTGAATCGAGAAAAAATTTTCATAAAAATGGATTTTTTAACAAAATAAAAGAAAATTTACTTATATTCAGGAGTAACTTTTAACAGCAAATTTTAACAAAACTTTGTTTATTAACGAAAATAACCATTTCGTTAATAATCTAAACCTCATAACTGCAGGAAACGTTTTGCGAATCCCAATGACAAAACTTTTAACTTCTAACTTATAAAATTATAACTTTATATTGGCTGTCATATTGCTTGCACAATATGCTTGAACAAATATGAATTATATAATCGATTTAAATTATAGAAATAATGGTTTTAGGATGTTAAATATTTTATACGCTTATCCAGTTAAACATTTTATGAAAAACATAACGGATTTTGGCCATCAGAAATTCCAGAAAACTGTTTTTAGTTTCTGCAAATGATCCATCTTAAAAAAATGTATGCGATGCTGAGATGTTTAATACAATAAAGTTCCGGCGATTGTTTTATAATGTTTTATTATTTGTAAACATTATTCATTATTTGCAACATAATAATACCCGTATAATACCCTTCGCAAGAGTATACAGATTTCAATTACTTTAATTAGTTGCCTAAATTAATATAAAAAATATAGAATAGTAGTAATTTTGAGCCCAATATCCCTCATAAGCCCCGAAGTTCGCTATCGATCTGGAAAACTTGTTGCAGAGTTTAGTTGTAAACATAGAGTAATACCCTTACAATACCCTTTGCAAGAGTATTAATATTTCAATAACTTTAATTAATTTCCAAAATTAATATAGGAAGTATAGGATGGTATTAATCTTGGGCCAAATATTTTTCGTAAATCCCGAAGTGCTATCGAACTTGAAAACTTGTTGCAGAGTTAGCGGCGATGCCAGATGGATAGAGCGTATTTTGGGGATTATGGTCTTAATGGGATGTATGTATAGTATGCAGTGTGTACAAGTATCTTACCAATATCTCTTCCAATTCACTCTTAAACGTTCTGCTGAGGGCCTCGGCCTGCGCTTGGGCACTCACATTGTTCGCGATCTGATTCTGATTGAGGGCTGATTGGTTGGTTTGATTGGATGAGGCGTCGTTGTTAAACTCATAGGCGCAATTGCGATTTAAATTTGAAGTTTTGATAAACTGTGCGAGTTTCGGGATAGTAAGTAGTAGCAAGTAGTAGTAGTAGTAGTAGTAATAGTAGGCGTGGAGTGGAAGAAGAGAAGAACAGAGAACAGAATAGAGTAGAGCAAATCGAGTGAGAATCGAGTGAGAACGAAGACGACAACAACAACAACTGAAGGTCTTGCAATTAGAGTCAAGATTTTGAAATACTCAAAGGATCCGTCAAGATTAAAAAACTTAAAAAAAGGTCCAATACTTGTTAAATAACAGGCAAACAACAGACTAGTACACAATCAAACTTTAATAAACAGGTATATCAGAAAAACAGAAATAAATTTAACTGACAGTCAAACGAAGCTAAAGGTATTTGGATTTTCTTATTATTTATTACTTTATCTCAAGAGTGGAAGGTAACAGACGAAGATCATAGGCATAAGATAGAAATAATTATTTCTCTAAAATATGTGCATATGCACCGAGAGGGATCTATAAATAAAATGGTACAATCAAAAAAGAGCAGGCAGAAGACAGTATAGAATATAGAATAGAACACTATTAAACACTGGGAAGTTATTAAAAGATCGAAACATCGAAAACAGATAGCTAATGACATAAGATATATCAATAAGGGAAAAAATACGTCAACAAAGGAGAAGTTAAACATTTCCTAAAAAGGTAAATCAAATTCATAGGGAAAATAACTATATGTTAGTTAAATAGAAGTTCAGTTTATAGAAGCTATTGAGTAACAAAGATAGAAAAACAAGATAAAGGGTCTAAACCGGGCAGAATATATAGAATGGGTGTTAATTGGGTGTATATTTTAAAATAAGAGGTCAAGAACGCAACAGCTTAGGTAGTATATAATATTACGGAATAGAAACATATATGTACGTATGTATTTGAATACAGGCACATTTTCAGGAAGAGAGCTGATTTTAAATGGAACTCGAAACAGGCGCAGAACAAATGAAAGATAAATGATTATATATGAATCATTAAAAAATTAATGTAGAAGTAGGAAATAGTACTCATGACGAAATGGATATAATGATGATGAAATAAAAATCTAAAATCGGTATAAGCGATCTACGTTTCTTTTTCACCTCCCAAAAAACTAACTCTTAATCCTTGGACAAGTAACGTTCTATGGTATTATATATATAGAAAATATGGATCCCTGTGGGTCCTACTCACATCGGCAATTTTAACGGCCTGTCCGTCCTTCTCCCATTTGGTTGCAATTTGCAAGGTTTCCGCTGTCTTTTGCTGTATGCTCTTCGAGTCATCCAATAATGTCAATTCATAGAATTCTTGTATATCTGAAATAAGATAAAAACAATCAAATTGATTAAAGTGTTATTAAAAAAACCGGGTCTTAACTCTATTTGGAGCCCAATAAGAAGGTTTGGAAGCTTAAAACCTCTTTTCCCTTGAATTATTCATAAAATGCACTCGTAATACAGAAGACACTGTCTTGTACTTATACACAACGATTAGATGATTGTAATCCGCAATATAATATTTAGCTTGGCGCTTAACATTTAAAAAAAGTTATAGATTATACAACGATTTCAATAAATTCAAGGAATTCTTATGGCTGAACAAAAACTATGACAAGCTGTCATAGAAAAAGTAAAGGTACAAAAATTGTCTTGATAAATACACAATTCGGTTAAAAAATGCTTTATTTGTAAGAGTTTGTTTAAATTAATTAATAAATTAAAATTAATTTGATACTGTTTTACCGTATTGTGTAATAGATTGTACTACAAAGTAAATAGAATCAAAAAGTCACATTAATCACTGTGATTTTCATCATAATTGACTTATGCTTTTAACATATAAAATTTTTAATAAAGTAATTTCATATTCAGTTATATAAAAACTTCTCTTTTACAAATTTAATACATTTTAATCAGAAAGTAAATTATTTGAAAACAATGCCAAATTTGAAGTGACGAAGAAGACAAAGCAATTTTCTCTCCATATTCATTGTGTTTTAACTAGCATCACATTATAATCATATATGTACTTTGTAAAGATCAAGAATAAAAGCAGTCTTCTTCAAAAACTAGCATTTCGCCGAATTTCCATTTTCTCGAAGTGAAATTTCTGCATTCATTCCAAAAATTTTAACTCTGAAATTGAAATGAATTAGTTTTCTTTGATTCATTTTTGCAAAATATATAAACTCTTACCTTAAAGACGGTTATTTGTCCAGAATTTTTTAAAGGACCACACTCAGAACCTCGGTTTATTTTTCCAGTTGTTTTTTAATGCCTTCGCTTGATGTATCCGGTCCAAGAACCTTAAATCCGATTTCTCCTCTTTTGCCAACTCAGCGGAAAAGAAAATTCAATTCAGACCAACTCCTTCACACCAGCGCGGATTTTAAAATTGTAAAAACAAACAGAGAAATAAAAGTGGCTCTGCGGTAAGCAAAGTTTAAAACATTGAATAACGATAACGAGCAACTGAAGTGCAGCCGAACGAATAAACAAACGGATCGAAGACTCTGGCGCGATTTTGTAGTTAACTACATTGAAATACACTGAGGAAAATGTATAGTTTATGAAACAATTTATAATTTTATTTACATGTTTTTGACTCATCTTAAAACTCCTCAACAGCATTAGTGTACGGCAAATATTTTGGTTTTCAATTAGCCCTTATTCCCGAACAATGTTAATCTCATAAACTATTTAAGTAAGTCGGATTAGAACATAAATCACAATTCTCTTTAGTTAATATTCCATAGACATGTTTTTTGTGACCAATATTCACTAACCTATTCAATATTTAATGGGCTATTTTAATCCTAGTGGTGGCCCGACAATTGGAAGCCAACTATTATTTTATTATTCATATAGGGCTAAGCTTCATGCATTATTTCAGTGTGGCACAAACTGAAATTCTGAATTTATTACAGTGTCACAGAGGCATTGAACAGCTTTTGCCATAGAAGCGGAAATCAGAAACTGTCAGAATGCATCTCAAATGCACACATTTCAATGCAAACTGACGCCGCCTCTGACAGCGGAAGGGGGTGGCGGAAAAGGGGGTGGAAAGGGGGGTCGAAAAGGGGGAGGGGAGGGATAACACTTGCCTTGCATACACCATGTACATACATACCGATACGCCACTGCCAATATGTTTCGCTTCAACAGCATTCAAGTGGCCAAAATGGGTAAAACTGAAATCCGACTGAAACTTGCAAACCAAAATACTGGAAAAATAAAATTGAAGCGAAATCCATGGCGCCCATTTAATTTCCTGTACCCGACAGCCCCCCAAGGAGAAAGGGAGATGGCAATACAAAGGGGAAGAGAGAGAAAGCAGGAGCATTGAATTCCATGGGGCATTGCTGTGCCACCAATATTGCATGGAAAAGTACGCGCAGTCATTGAAAATGGTGTACATACAGTACAGGGCGCACTCGAAAACTAAGGAACTCTCTGGGGAACTTCATGTCTATTGTAAGGGGTGTATTCAAAATGGTTTCAAGGCCATAGAACAGCATATAGTTCATAAAGTAAACAATAGTTAATAAGCCTTATTAAGCTTCAAAGAATAACAACTAATTGTAGAAGTCAATACCATATAAAAACCCATATAAAATATTATTGGAATATATAAGTCACCTTTTATATTATTATTATTATTCAATTAATAAATCAATAGCATTATTTCTAAATATTTCCAATAATGTATAGGTTTAGAAACCTATAATCAATTAATTTAGAAATTGTTATTTATGTAATAATTAGTATTCCTTCTTTCTTCCGAGTGACCACTGTATGTGCACATAAACATTGGCATGTCTGTGCGTTATGCAATCGATTTGGCCACTTGAACTTAAAATGAGTTATCGAATGCTTCGGAATGCCTCCTATAAATGGCTTCCTAAGCATTGTTATTTTTCCCTCCATTATTGTTCCGCCAACTTGTGTTTTGCTTTGTTCTCTTTGGTTTTTATTTTTGTTTTTATTTTTGTTGGGGCAACATTTTTTAGCTTGGCTCAGCTGAATGCCAATGCCGATGAAAAAGAGATGCTTAAACTTCAGGTTACGCCATCTCTCGCTTTATCTCGCTATGGGGAATTCCAGGAAATCGATAAGGCCCCCTAAATGTTTCCACATTATATCTTCATATGTATTCAAATATGTACATATAACTGCAGTGGAAATAATAGTGATGCTCTCCTTTTATTTCATTTAGATAATGTTCTCTGGTTAAACAACAACCATTATACGAAACACACACTTTGGTAATTATATTATTTAATAGCAATAATTTTTAGTAATAAATGAATAAATTGTGGCATATTTTGCTTAAGGCTTATATTTCAATATTACTGAGTGACAGTAATTAATTTTAAAACAAAGCATTTTTGCAAATCAGCTTGTTTACTTGAATATTTTTCTTCACAATGTACTATTATTATTTCAAACGCAATTGTATTACTGCCCAGCGGGAAAGTGAGAAGTAGGTTTTTAGAAGTAGGTTTTCGGTTTTAAGTCTACTGGAAATCCTGCTTCTTTTAGCAGGCGTAGGGGTAGGAGTTGAAAATTTCGCTCCGCTAAATAAGGGTGGGTTTCTGAAACCTGTGGATTTTTACATAGAAACCTCCTTTACCCCTTCCTTTTGTGTGTCACCCCCGTGTATTTTGAAAGGAGAGACGGCAAAAATGTAAGGGGTGAAGGAGGTTTTTGCCCTTCCGCTTGTATGAAGAAATCTCTGGAAAATAGCATATCTTCCACATCGTTTTTCCCGCTGGGTGCACGACTGGTATGTATATATATACACATATTTGTATCTGTACGTGTAAGTATCCTGCGGATGATTTGAATTCTAGGCCAATTAAATTGGGATTTTGGTCGCACATGGCTCTTCATGACCTTTTCTACCCCTTCAGAACCCCTGGTGCATCCTTATCTCTACCCTTCGCCTTAACTTGAGTGCCAATTGTTGTGCCAGTCTGACACCGAAAGCCAAGGATGTGAAAATAAAATATAGAGACAAAAATGAATATCTCTTCAAAAAGTCTTACAATCTTAAATAAATAAAAGAAGGAACTCAACGCTAAAGAGATGGTTTAAAAGTGTTTAACTCATACGCAACGTGGTCCCCACTTAATTAAGAGAAGGAAGAAATGCACATGCGTTAAGTTATTAAATAGGTATTAGCTTAATTTTATGCATATGTATTAAATGGTACATTATTAAAATACAATTTATTAGGTCTTCCTTTTTTGCCAGCACTACAGATTCAATGCAAATATTCCCAACAAAGTCAGGAGGGAGATAGAAAAAGCCGGAGAAAGAGAAAGAGAGAGACAGAATGAGGCTGAAACCGAACCTTAGGTTTAACATTATACCCAAAACACACCCACACCCAGGTGTTCAGTGTGTTGGGATGCGGCTAATACCTTGTTAATTATTTCACACGCACACACAACTCAAATTCAGTGGGGTGGACCTTAGTTAGTGGATAAATTCAAGGTTGCATCCCACTACCACTAAAATATTAATACTGGCGTAGATTGTTTTACACTACCTTTAATTTTGTGGCTTATTCATTTGATTTTAAATATTAATATTGAATGTCTCATGAAATGTCCTAAATCTACAACATAATAAGAGAAAATCAATGGGTTTGGACAACCCATTTCCAGCGTGGACAGATGTCCTTCAACTCGCTTCCGCTGTTGATATATTTGTGTACATAGAAGTGCATGTTTTCTTTCAATTTCCGAAGGATCTCAATCGAAACGAAAGAGTCAAGATTGAATCGCAACATAGTTTGTTTCCTTCTATATTTTCAAATATAAAATAGGACATAGGACATGCCCTATGAATGTTAAACTGATAACGGGATTGTGTTCTATTGCGCTACACTGACAGCTTTGCTTCTAACATGTCTGATCATGTCCTATCTCAGTGTGACCATGCGACTATTACAACACAGGTTCACCTTAATGCTTAGCCATATAAAAGCTCCTGTTTTCTAAGGTGTCACGTGTTTGGCTTGTTTGCATTTGAGTTTGTGTGTGCTTGTTAGCCGTTTAACATTTCTGACACGCCAAGCGCAGCCACTGAAACTGTAACGGTAACAGGAGAAGAGGAAGCACCAGGCGGGATAGAAGGAAGAGCAAGAGGAAGAGCAATAGCAACAGCAACAGCAAGGCGAAGAGGAGAAGGAGGAGGAGAAAGAGGTAGAGGATGAGGAAGAAGAGGACTCTAGCGAAACGAAACCAAACGAAACGAAAAGGATTATGCAACTGCCACTGACAACGGGCAACACATTTTGCACCCAGGGGGCCAATAGAAAGGGACGGGGGCACACCGAGCGAGAGGGCCATAGGGGGCTAGAAAGAGATGGGGCGCGACACAGAACAGAACTCTTGCAAATTATACAACAGGCAAGCCCCGCAAAACAGACAACTGCAGACCACCGCCCGTCTCAAAATGGATGGACGTATGGACAGCGAGCAAGACGGGGGAAGGCAAAAGGGGAAGGAGATGGAGAGGGGAATGGGGAAAGAAGAAGGGGATACAAAAGAGATGGGGCCAGAAAAACATCAAGCAGCGAACCCAACAAACAGTGCTGTCTGAAGTCCAGCAAACAGAAGCTATGTCTAGACTCTAGAAAAACCTCTCTGAACATTAAAAAATATATATTTTCCCAAAATGCATTACCTAAAAAATAGTTCTTGCCTATTGTTTAATCAAACAAGTAAAGTTTGGGTAACCATAAAATACATAAATTCAATTTGAGAATTAATAAACTAACTGCATCCCAATCTTAATAGAGTCCAAGATATTCAAGTTTGTTATTAAAATAGATTTATTTACATATGTGTATTTTGATTTATCTACACTATCGATGATATTTTTTGTGGTTCATAAATGTAATACATATATATATAACCATTTTTAAGAACTTAGTAACAGTAACTTACTGTTTTAATAAATTCGTTAGCTTGTATTACCATTTAATGTGCTTTTTAAAATACCATGACTGAAGCGGGGTCTGAGATTGTATTAAATATTGAGCCTGTATTATTAAGACAAGGCAAGCACAGATGCTAGTGCAAAAGAAATTTGCCTTCTTATTGACCCCTTTAAATAGCCAGATTTGGTGAGCAAGCTGAATTAGCCGCATTACTGGGAGACGCCTGCTGTTTTTAGCCGGTTCTATTGCTGCGCTGCTTGGGCTGTTTGACCCAAATCCTATGCAATATTATCGTTTTGCTGTCGCTGTTGTTGCTGTTCGTTCCCTTTGTTGCTGTTTGTGTTGCTGCTTGTCAAGTGAAAATAATTTCCAGCAAGGAGGAACAGAACAGAACAAAAATCGATTGGCGATAGGCAACTGTACAGATAAGAACTACTTTTCAAGGATCTTTCCGGCTCATCAAACACTTTTTAACAGTCTTGGCTAAAAGTTGGCAACTTTGTTGGAGTTTAAACTTTCGAACCCAGTACATATAGATGAGCTCGGTTAACGATTTTCATTGTGATTGAGAAAACTTATCCAAGTTATTTATTCACGTAGTGATAAAAGGCCAATATTAAGTGAATTTATTTATTTGTACTTTCTTATTTGTATTTACTAATTCATTTGAGTGATGCTGTTGACGAGATTAAAAGCATATTTTAAAAGAAAAAGTTAATGTGATATTCGCAAATTCCTCTTCAATACAAAACAAAGATTCCACTGCGGTTTTCTTGTTTTAAATGATTACTCAAAGTTTTTTGGGAACATACCGTAAACGCCTTCATTAAAGGTGTTCTTAGAAACAAACTTATGCAAATAGCTGGAAGAATGTACCATTGATTTAAGCTCATCTTGATTACTCACCTAAAAGCGCTTGAAACAAGCGAGACTTAAATATGCGTATAACGCGTTCGATTGCAATACGCAGCGCCCGATCCTGTGGCTCAGAAAGTCTGGCGTGATAGTCCTCGAGCAGCTCGAGAGCCCGATGAGCTTCTGCAAAACATCAAGAAAATCATCATCAGTATCATTGTTATCATATCATTGTTATATAATATCATTATTAACACTCTTCTGATTACCATTTCTTTCCTATCTAGTAGGTATAGTTTTCTTTCTTTATGTCAATCTAACTTAGTAAATAACTTTACTTACTTTTTTAAGTAACTCCTAACTTTCCATTATATTTGCTCATTAGTCGGAAATATTGCATTTACAAAATATCCTAACAGAGAAAGGACATTAAAATCATGTAAAGGTTCTTTGCATTTGTTAGCATACGTATATAATATTCTTGCTTAATAAGTCATTTAAATTAAAATCTTTAAAAAAGATTTATGTTTATGCTTGTTATTATTATTATCATATTAATGGCACGTTGTATTTTCCTATTATATTATTTATTTTTCAACTTTTTAGTTCATTTTTGAGACTTTTTAGTTATTTAAAACTCAGTTCATATTTAATACAAAAAGAAAACATTAATAACTAAGTTGGGCATCCTTCATTTGTTTTTGTTTTTGTGCTTGTATTTTTTATAAAACATGTTTGGGGTCTTATATGTAGGATGGATACACCAAATCCAAAATAAAATCCAAAAATATATTTATGCGGTCTGTTAAATTTCCTTTTCGCGATTAACTGACTTGTTTTTTGCACTGTTCTGCCTTAGAAAAGATTAACTGAATTCTATAAGGGCGTTTCTAATGTAATATTATATTTAGAAGGAAGTATGCCTTGTTAGGCCGTACTTTGTATATCGGCAATCCGCTCCTCCTCATCCTGGCTCATCTCCAGACCCGCCTGCCCGAAGACCGTGGACCAAAAGCCCCTTTCCGATCCCTGGTCGGACTCCTGGATGTGGGATCGCTGCTTGGGCTTCGGTTTCGGCTTCGTTTTGGCCTTCAGCTGTAGTTCCGACTGCGACTTTTCGAGGCTCTCCCGCTCGAGGGTTTCGATCATGGTGCGAAAGCGACTCAGCTCCATTCGCAGTCCCTCGGAACTGTGTCGACTCGACGAGGAGACGGACAGACCGGATGCTCCGGATGTTCCAGATACTCCCGATATACCAGATATGCCGGACAGCAAGCGACATCGAGCTGCTCCCGAGGAGGAGGACGAAGGGCCCTCCCACTCATCCCGGGAGGCATCGCTCTCGGACTTCTCGAAGTAACCCGACTCCACGTCCGGAGTTCGAACCATCGAGGTGGAGGAGAGCATGTGTCCGTATTCCAGGAGATCCTGGGCGGAATAGAAGCACTCCACGGACTCGCGGACACTGTCGCGTAGCGAAGAAGGACACTTCAGTGGTTCGGGATTGGGATCGGGATTGGGATCGGGATCGGGATCGGTAACGGGATTGGGATTGGGATTGGCATTGGGACTGGGTTCCTTTTCCACATCCCCAACATGAACGGGTATTGCCCGCCGATTGGCCGCACCATCGATTTCTTCGGTAACTTCTACGGCTTCCGCCGACGTTTGAATCAAAACCACCAGCGGTGGCTGCTCTTCGGCCGCTCGAATCTGCGGTTTCTTCTGCGGCAGCAAGGACTCCTCCTCGGGCTCCTCCTCGTCGTCGGCAGGGGAGGAGTCCTCCTCCTCCTCCTCGCCCTCCTCGTCGTCGTGGAAGGTCTTGTCGTCGCTGCTCAGCAGACCCTCGTTGGGATCGCTGCTCTTCTCCCGATCTGAATCCGAGTCGGAATCCATTTCCGAGGACCAGCAACGAGACCTCTCTTCGCCTCCAAGTTCCGCGGCGAACTGGCCCGACTTTTCAGCTATATATCATAGCCATAGTTCGGGGGCTGCTACCGCCGATAAATCAATAAAGATTGACGCTTTTTAAACAATTTTCTCTACTTGTTGGCCCCAGTTATTCCCTTTTATGTTTCTTTAATTTTTTTTCTTTCGACTACACTTGATGCTAATTCTTTTTCTTTCTTTGGTGAAAATAATATGTCTAAAGGTAGAATAATTGATTTTAATAAAACAAACTTATGATATGAAACCAAAATATCGCTGTAGCTTAATAAATCATAGTCTCGTGTATGGAATATCATATCATATGGATCTAGCATACCCCACATTACCTCTCGGAAATGAAAGAAAACTATATTTATCTGAACACCGCTAAACAGCTCCTGAAAGATGTTAACTAAACCAAACTAACTAAACCAAAGGTTTTAGAATGTTTCGAATGTGATGTTTCTGTTTTCTGTTCGAAAGCCTTGCAAACAGTTTGTTATCCCCATTTGGAAAGGTCAGCGGTCAAGTCCCATCCTGTTGGTGATTGTCATTCGTCCGACGTTTGCCAAAAAATTAAACACATAATTTATTATTATAATCGAGTCGCATTATGGCCCCTCCACACACACATACATACATGCATACACACGTACATGCATACACCCTTAAATAAGTATGTGAGGCAACAATGTATCTGTGTCCGCAGTTTGATGTCCTCAGAACGCGTCAAACGGCGACGTTGACCTTCACTGACCATTTGCGAGGCTGCTGGCATCCCAGACCGTTTTCCCATTTCCCTCCGTCTCGTGCAGCTTTTCTTTTCGCCGCTCTTCTTCATCTTCTTCTTCTTCTTGGCCATTTCAGTTGACCAAATATGATTTGTATGTGACATAATCAAATGAAATTCTTTGTCTGCATTAATTTAGTTTTTGTGGTTGTTGTTTTAGGGGTTCTTTAGAGGCAGTGGGACATTTCTGTCACAAAAGTCCCATTATAAGTAATTAGAGCCACTTTTCAGTGAAATGTTAAGGTATAACAAACTTTTGGCACAAGCGAAGTTAAATTATCTACCGAAATTACAATTGAAAAACTAATACCAACTTTCCTCCGCATATAGTTTAAAACTTTCCCAGCACATCAATGTTGCTTTGCATAAACTTTTTAGTGCACTATTGTGCTGCAATTTGTAGCTACAACACAAAATACTCTTAAGGCGAAGATCCATTTGGTTGGATGTTAAATTCTTCTTCAATAACATTTGATAGAAAGCAAGTTAATTTCATTTGGTATTATTCAGAATTTGAATGAGTTTCTCTGTTTAGAAAAGGCTTTGAAACACAAAATCGAGTCATAATATCAACACTTTAACTTATAGATTAATCTAGTTAACCACTTGTAATAAACCATTATAATTTCTTAAGTCATGGTAATCAAATCTATATTGTTTGTAAAATAAACATTTTGTTATTATTATTTCTTAAGTATCTGTATCTGATGGTTTTAATTACTTAGAGGATTTATTTTGAGTTTTCAATCATTTGCAAGCATTTGATATTGTTTGCTTCTCTATGAACTAAACAAAGTTCCCACTTCGCCATTATTTATACGGCAATTAAATGGATTTCTACGTAATGGTAAAGAGTGATATATACCGCGAAATATAAAAAAAAAGGTGGGAGTGGAAGGGGAGGGGGAAAATATGTGCAATTTTTCGCTTACCTTGCTTTTTCACTGGCATTCTGTGAGCGGTGTTTCTGCTACTATTTATGGTGGTGCTCGTGGAAATGGCAGCGGAAATGGCGGTGGTGCAGCAGCTTTGAGTGTGGTTCAACGCCGCCGAACTCGGAAAAGCTTGGGTCGCAATTTTGAGAATTTACTGGAGTCGCTTTCGAGTAGAAATATGCGGAGATATCGCTTCGGCTTTTCGTCCTTTAGTTCTGCGGGCACATATATGTATATATATACTATATATATATATATTTGATGTATATACTTTTTGTATATAGCGAATATAGTGTGTTTTATGTACAAATATTATTGTTTTGGCTTTCAAACGAAGTTGGAGATTTGTTTTCAATTTTGCGCTTCTTAGTTTGTTATTTTTTTTTTGGGCAGTTTTACGGTTACATTGACGTGTGCGTTTTCTTTCGATTTCGATTTATTTGAGAATTTTACATTTCAGTGGCCCGTTCTCTACTTCTGGTCCTATAGCTCTTGTATTGCACTTGAAATTCGGTTCTCATCGAAATATAGTTTTTTTCTTCTTCTTCACAACACAACACCAACACAAAGATCTTCGATAGATTTATTTATTCACTTTATGTTATTCAATACTCCATCCACCATCTAGAAGGCGAAAAACAAAATAGAACTGTTAAAAAACAATAACCCTTTGTCTTGGGCATCAAAACAAATTAGTTGTATAATCATAAAAAAAATTACGAAAACGGCAGACACACGAGGTGCAGTTGAATGCGCTTCCGATTGCAACGAAAAGTTTGCAGTAGAACCTCAATCAAAGAATATTTTTATTCAGAAATGAAATATATTTTTAGGCATATGTTGTAAAAGTTTATTTCTTATAGCTATTTTAACTATTAACTATTTTTACTCGAACAGAGTGCATCAAGTGCTTGTGATCAAGCTCATTTATCATTGATAACAAATTTCTATTAAACTTGTGTTACTAACAGATAAATGAGATACAACCATTAACATTAATAAGATACTGATTTGGTTCAGTTGTTTGCGCTTCTGTTCTTGTCACGGCGGTGTTTTTAATTAAGGGATCACTGTACTCATTTTTTTCAGGCACTCATATTTGGGAAATGAGAAAATTGAGAAAGCAAAAACAAACAGCGTCGCGGCGATGTTGAAATTTTCGTCTGGCCGTTTGTTTTGCGATCGCTATTGTCGGGCTGATTTTATTTACATATTTTCGCCAGTCTGTATGAGTGCTGGCAACTTTTTTGCTATTTCAGCAAAATGTTTTTTTTTCTTTTCTTGCAGTTGCTCTAGTTTCACAGAAAAAAACCAAACACAGAAAAAAATACAGTGGAGGTAGAGTTGAAATGTCAAAGTTGGGTTCTTTTCTCTCCCATTTTTTTTTTTTGTTTTTTTTTTTTTGCTTTGGCTCTGGCTTTGGCTTGATAACTTGTTACATTGGCCAGGTTGAAATTCCGAAATTCCGCACACCCGCACCGCACACAGACACACGTCCAACTGAGGCAATAACGGTGCTCTGCTTTTGGCCCTCAGTCGCCTCTGCCACTCTGCTTCTTCTCTCTTGGCCCCCTTTCTCTTTCCGACCGAGAATCCCGAGCGGTTCTCAGTCGGTCGGTCCAACAATTAGTGTTTGCATATACACCAGATACTAGATATATATCAATGCTTCTTTCTGCCTGTGTCGGATGCCTTTTTTGCTCCTTTCAAAAGTTGCCAACGCGATATAATCCAAGCCAATATTTAACCAAATAAACGAGAATGTGGCCCACTGGTTTGCGATTTATGCCATTTTTGCATCAAATGCAAATAAATTTTAGATCGAGATGTTTGCTTTTCATTCAAAAATAAAAAATTCGTATATATCATAAGAATACGTATCCTATTTTATTTAATAAAAAACTAATTTTTATTTTGTAATAAATTAACGTCAAACGAATAGTTGATTTAGATCCAATTTGGTTTTAATCAAATAAATTGTGAACAACATTTAAAATAAATTGAAAAGTTATTGAATGGTCTTTGGTAGTTAAATTTATCACAATTCAAAATTTTTCAATGCCACCCATAAATTCTCTAGAAACACATCAATTAATCTAAAGTGTGCTCAAATATGATCTATAATATTCCGATCATTTTAAATCAAAACAAACCTCACTGTGCGATACTGCGGTTAGCTGTATTATTAAACTCTATCAAAATTTGTTTATGGGAAAATAAATAAACAATCAGCACAACACAGAATTGGTTAGGGTAGTCCCAAATTTGATTGTTAACAGGAAAACAAATCAAAATAAAATATGTTTCGGCGAGGATTAATTAATAAAACATGTTTTGGTTTTGAATTTTTTCAAAAAATTTTAAATAGAATACTTATTTACTTATTGAGTTATTGACCTAATCTGCCTTTCAGAACTTTTAATTTTCCCGATAACGGCTTGTTAAAATAACAAACGCTTTCTGGCTGTTATTAAAAAAATTGACACAAATAGCTGGAAAATGTCTAAGCCGGCAATTTGAGCTGCCAGGTTCCCATTATTTTGACAGACAAGACTGGATCCTTGGGTCTCTATTAAACGAAACCCATCAGGCAAAGTCACTTTGATTAATGTTGTGTACGTCAGTGACGCGAATTACTTAAAAACAATTGAAGAACTAGACGGTCAATATACAACGCCAAGGAGGGCAGACAAAAAGGGGGAGAGAAGGAGGAAAAGGAGGATGAGGAGGAAGGAAGTGGCCAAAGGGGAGGCCGAAAGAGAGCTAGCGACTGGAAACTAGGAAACGCGCAGCGGGAAAGACAACAACAATAATAATAACACTAATATTAATAACGACAGGGGTAACGACGGCTGGGTTCAATCACCTTTGGGAATTACGTACCGGTTATTACGGTTATTATTATTATTATCCGACCCGTACAATTTCCAACCGTTGTGTTCAAGTATTTCACCCTGCATTGCAAAGCGGATATTTTACATTATTTACAAGCAAAAATGTTGATTCCACTTAATAAAACTATCAATACAGCGGTTTGAGGCGAATGCCTGTGAATCTTTTTAGAGCTTTGGATAAATGAATTTTAAATTAGTTCCATTTCAAAAATATTTTTCACATTTACCCTCTCAATATTTCTTTTTGAATAGTATTTAAGCAGCCTAAAGTCGAGGTTATTTTTAAATTGGCACCCCTATTTTCCCGTGTACCTACGCTTTGTTTGATGTTATGTGTGAGTTGGATTTCTATACATTTAATTTATGTGCGTCATTTGTTTCCTATTTTTAATGTCTTTCGGCCGCTTGAAACACTTTTTATTATTTTTTCGACGCACACACGTCGTATAATTGATATCTACACTTTTACACACGCACATCTATGTACAATTGTATTGCCTATTTTTATGGTGCTCGGGTCCTTTTTGGTGAACATTAGTGTAAGAGATTTGGCACAGTGATCGCTGGAAAAGACATTAACCTCAGAATTTATTTAATCCATCCAATTTAATCTTTCGAATAAAATCAAATGGATCTTTTATAATCTACAAATAATTACTCTGTAATATGCTATTTGTACTTTTAACCTTTTATTTCTATAACCTTTTAACCTTTTATTACTATATTTATATGAAGAAACTTTTAAACAAGTTGTTTTAACTGAAACAATTTGTTTATAATAATTTTTTATATTTTAAATGTTCCTTCTTTTTATAATAGAGAGTCCTTGCTTGTAAAAGAACTATTAAAAAAATAACAATTAAATATAGTTAACAATATAATTTTCGAAATATTTTTTTTATATTGGTATTAAATATAAAATCATAAAGATAAAATACTTATTTTTAGCAAAAATAACGAAATTATCTTTGTTAGATTTTGAGCACATTAAATTGGGGCTTTGGAAATTAACCCCAAATATAAATAATACCCCTAAATAAATAATGATACTATTTAGAACAAAATTTTAATTATTTTGGTAATCTTTTTTTCTTTAAAGCCAGCGGCCACTGTGCCCCATACTTAAACTCACACACATGCTCGCATTTACCTGCTGCAGGCGCGAACCCAGAAAAGTATGCAGCATAAAGGAGAGCATATGCAATAAACACTCAATTTCACGCACACAAACGCACGAAAACTCACACTTGCAGCGAGATATTAACCGTTACGGATTGACGTTCGCCTGGCGGATTTTTGACCTTGACATGTCGCCCGTGGTTGTAATTGTAGTTGATTTCGGTGGACCGGAGTGCGAGTATGTTGGAAAAGGGGCAAATCGGAGGAAAATCGAAGGGACAAGCGGGCGGAAAACTGGGTCGCAGATAGGTGGTGATTAATTATTCAGCCGCAGCATAATTATTCGAGCGTTGTGGTGTGCGTGTTATTTATAGACTAGCCGAAAAAACAAAAAAAAAAAAAACGAAGATACTACAATAAAATAATACACACATAATGTATGCACAAAAGAGGAAGAGAAAGAGAGCATGTGGGAGAGAGCGAGAGAGCATTGTAAACTTATTAATTCTAATACCAAAATTTGCACTCACGCACACATCTATCTCAATTCCCATTATTGTAAATTTTTCCCACTAAACGAATATTCAAAAAGGGATGCTGTGTGCTTCACACTCACACACACTAAGTGCAACTGCAGCGGTACACACGGAAAAAAAAATCAGCTGGCTGCTGTACCGTCTCACACACATATACACGTGCCTCTTTGGCAATTATTTGATTTTTCCTGTATTTCCTTTACATCATCTGTATTTACAACAACATCCCTTGCATACACACGCACACGAAGGCAACCACCGCACACACACAGAAAGAGCAAAAAAAAAGGAGCACCTTCAAAAAAAGTTTAATGTCCCTTTTTTATTCCTGCAGGCCAATCAAGGTAAATTTTCATGTTTCTTCACTTTATCCTTTTCTTGCTTTTAATTTTTCTTTGTTCACTGACACCGACTGTATTTTATGCTTCACATGCACACACACTCACTGGCAAAAAGGACATGCGTTTGGCACAGCCTTCGGGCATTTTATGTTTAATATAAATAAGTAGCGGCAGCACGTTGGAGAATATATATTACGATTTTCTGCTCTGCTCACGGGAACACTAGTTCTAGTTGGAAACAGTGTTACCAGAGCCGGTCAAAGCTATAACCCCAATAAGAATTCCTGGTCCTAAAGTTTAAAAGGAGCGCGCGAAATGGGTATATTGTGAGATTCCCTAGAAAGGTTCAATGTACGTTAAAAGGTAAGCGACTGATTGTTGTTGTTATATAATTAAGTAACTTGATCTTGTTAATTATTAAAAAAACTTAATTTACAAACTTAAACTTAATTCCAATGGTATGTTACCAGTGCGGTAACCCAATTTTTACTAATACTGTCGAATACACTTAAATTAATTGGCAACAATGCACATTCAACAACGAAAGACTAAAAACTATAATGTTTAAAAGATTGCAGACTATAAATAGACAAAACATTTAAGTTAAATAAATGTTAGCTAATCCTATTAACTTATAAATTTTTTCATTTTTGTGTATAATTCGTGAAGAAAAAAGATATAAGACTCAACAAAAAATCTGTAACAATCTAAATCGTTTTGTTGAAACATTTAAATTTGAATCTCTATTTTCCCTAAGTTTTGATTGGTTTGGTTCGGTAACACTTTAATTTGGTAGATTAATCAGAGACGCGCAACTTCAACCCAAATTAAAAATTGTATTATTGGCATACAGAATTAAATATTTAAAAGGAATATAAGAATTAAATATTAACCTCATATATGTATAACTTATGCTCCTGTTTAAACAGCACTGGAAAAAATTAATTCAATTTTTAATTACCATTGTTTTTTGCCACAACATAATGTAATATCTTTACATAACGTAAGGAAAGGTTTCCATTATATTTCATCATTATTTCGTAGATCTAAGTGGGTAATTAGAAGACTTTAAATTTTAAACATACAAAACGAAAGTTGTATTTATTTTTGAATTCGCTAGCGTCAGGCCGTCAAAACAATATAGTTATGGTACAGGATTTATGCTTCGTCCGGCTGGCACTTTTCCCGGCTGGCGGGTTTCGGATTCCATAATCCAGAACCCGGATTTCGGGATGCCTGCAGCGGGCGCAGCTCGGAAAAAAAATGCTTACATGATAATTTTTTGTTTAAAAATAGTTTTAACAGTAGGTCAGTGGCGGAAGCTCCCAGGGTTCCCAGATCCCTGATCCCGGCTGGGTAACTTAGTTTGGGGAACACCTAGAGGTCGCCGCCGCCGCGCTTTTGTAGCATCTGGGCAAATCGCTGGGTGATCAGCAGTGAGGTGTCGATAAATCGGTCGACGCAGTTGCTCAAACACGTCTCGGTGGCATGGTCCAGTTTGGTACTCGGCTTCCCGATGCATTTCTCCCAGCAGATCTCGTTGAACTCGTGTATCTGGACCGAGAAGCACCGGTTAACAATAGGGTTTTTGTTATGATGTTATGTTTGTTACGTCCTCACCTGCGCGTTGACCTGTGCCTTCTGTTTCTCGATCATGAAGAACTCCTGCAGCTCCTTGTCGTTGCTGGCCTGGTTCTCAAATTCGGACATGGTGTGATTTTCAGTTAACAATCTACGAAATAACCAGAGTCCGGAATTTTATATTTTTTGAGGTTTGAGTTTTGAGGTTATATAAAGACGGCAATGACAGCTGTGCGGTGTGGCCAGGCAACTCTGAAAAAATACCTCAATAATGCCAGAAAAATTTAAGTTTGAACGCATGTTGAGATCTTAAATAGAAAGTTAACGTTGACTCAACTCGCACTGGAATAAAATGTATAAGAGAGAATTAAGATCTTGATAACAAAAAAAAATCTGGCCATTTCCGAGGATGTAATGTATTGGGTCAGCATAAATTTGCGTGGTGTATTCTTGTAATTACGAGGATGGGCAAATAATTTAAAACTACTTAAGAGTAAAGTTGAATACTTTATAATTAAAATTCAATAGAAATTAAAAATAGTTAATAAACAAATAAATATCTATAAATAACAAATGGTTTTTTTGGTCCTAGCGATACTTTCGTGTCACGGCATCTGGACCAATGTTTGCGCCGATGTTGAGTAGGTGCTGTTCGAGGAAAATCAGTCGGCCACACTGGCGCCACCAACTTTTTAGTGCTGGGAAGTAAACGATAGGAATATTTTGATTGTTTACAATGTATATTTTACATGCATATATATTTTCCTTATGTATAAAACAATAAGTGTAATTTTAGAATCTTCTATATTTTGATCGGATACATGTTGGCTTGCAGAAAATATCTGCAAACATACATACTTGATGAATCTTCCATTTCTTATATCCTCTTCTATCGAAACTGATAAACGCGATCGAACTAAACGCGAATATTCGATTCGACGATACCATCGTTAGTGGATACCCATCTCTGAAACTCGGGGAAAATATTCGCTATTCGTGGCTTGCTAGCTTCGCAATTTTTAGCTCCGCTTCACCCGCAGACTTGTTTTTGGATCGAACGCGACTATAAACAAGGTGCGACTATATCGTCGGCGGTGCCAAAAGTTTTCCTGCCGTCTCGCCACCCGAAAGTTCAAAATCTCGCTGGCGTTTCGGGTTTCCAGTTTCAGAGCGGACCTCTGAATTCCGATTCTGCTCATCGGTTCGTCTTCAGGGAGTTGGCATATCGAACTCCAGTGCCAGTGACTCTAGGAGTCGAGGGAGGAGCAATCCAGGAGACCCTCCGCAGGAGGAATCCATGGAACTCCAGTTGGACGTGTAGCCCTTGCCACTTTCGAAAAAAGGCAGCGGAACGGTGGGGGAACTCTTTCTAGGGGTAAAAAAAGTGTAAAGGAATCCCACGTAGCCAAAACGCAGGTATCTTCCTTCAAATCTGAGCGGGACAAAGTTGCAATCCCAGGGGAAAATCAGAACATCCATGCCGGAGAAACGCAGAGCGCTAAAGAACACTTATTGGGTATGAAGAAGGAGCAGTAGTTATTTTTTTGTTCCGAAAAGGAGGCACACCAGCCGAAAACTGGGACTGCAGGAGGAGCACAAGGGAACCCAGCCAGAGGCACCACCAACCGGCAATCCTCTGATGGCTCTGGCCAGCGGAGGAGACGAGGAAAATGGACGACAGCAGCAGCGGACGCACTTCGCTGGCGGACAGCGCCAGCCTGACAAACTCCTCGATGCGCAGCGGTGCCTCCTCGCAGAACGTCTTCGACAACAGCGATGGCATGATCCGGGTATTCAACTACTTGACCAACGAATACGAACGCTTCTATCCCAGCATGCTGTGCGAGGAGATCTGCAACGCGATGTGCCGCCAGCTGAGCATTGCTCCGACGGCCCAGCTGCTCTACGGGATTCGGGAGCACTCCACCTCGCGCAGGCCCGCGCCGCAGGTGCGTCTGGAGCTCACGTGGGCGCTGCCCGGGGAGCGTCTGAGCCCCCAGCTGGTGTACGTCTTTCGAATGCGCTTCCGGGTGCCCGAGCTGGACAGCCAGCTGGAGCTAATCGACGGGCGCAGCCACAAGTTCCTCTACGCCCAGATGCGCTACGACATGCGCAACGAACTGATCCTGGAGATTCGCTATCCGGAGCACAAGGACAAGTCCACGGGATTGGCGGTGATGGATATGCTGATCGACGACCAGGAGCAGACGGACGACCAGCAGGCGGCACGCTCCATCGAGAAGCTGTACAAGCTTTACTTGCCGCCGAGTTTGTGGCGGGCGCACAGCTTCTTCGTGGGCTCCAAGATACGCGAGGTGTTCCGCAACCTGAAGGCCAACTCGCCGAATGTGGAGCGCCTGAAGTGGCACTACGTGCACCAGGTCTCCCACCTGGCGCCCACCTACATGACCGAACAGTTCACCTGCACCGTTCAGTACCTGCCCAACGAGGAGATGCCACGCGGCGGCGCCCCCATCTCCGCCAGCCTGGCCCACACGGTGAGCAACTCGACGTCGACGCTGGCCAGCTCCGGTTCCACCAACACGCTGGCCACGCTCACCGCCAGCTCCACCCACAGTGCCAACGGCGGTGGCGGCAGCGGCAAGAAGGGCAAGCGCCGCTCCACCAGCTCCGGCATCGACGTCTATGTGCGGGTCTTTCCACACGACTCCCTCGAGCCGGGACTCAAGGTGGCCAGGGTCACTTCGGAAGCCACGCTCAAGGTAAAAGAGATTACTCTGAAGCTATTATTTCGGTTTCGTCTAGACTTCTGATCGTTTATTACTTGCTTTTTTCTCAGTGCCTAAAATTGAAAAAGCTTCTCATTTACACATTTTTTGGATTTTATTGCATTTTTAGAATGTTTGTTCGATTGTGAGCCATTCGGTTTATTTGTGATTGGGAAACCATTCGCTTGTTTCAACACGTTCGACACGTTCGTTATAGGCTCTGCCATAAAATTATTAGAGAGTTCCTTTATACCCATGTATTGACTTTTTTTGTAAATAATACCCGTCTTTATTTCAAAAGTAAAATCTTTAACTTCTACCAACACCAGAGAGAAATTGTCCTTAAATTACAGCATAAAATTAAATGTATATTTTGTTGTACATATGTATGTACGTATATAACTTAAATTTATGAAGAATAAGCTCACATATTTGCTGGTAGATATATTGTGTGAATTTGAATGATCGTTAAATTGAAAAGGTTTCATTTTCCAACTTATTATAAACCAAACCACCAACCATCCTGTCCACGGACTCTCCTGCTTCATCTTGAAAAACATGTTTATTGGTTTACCAGTTCAATTATAAACGTGCCGCCCGATTGTCTCGATCAGGGAAACAGCAATAATGGCTTATCGGATGCTAATGTGCGACTTTCAGGGGGCGGGGTCAAGCTGCTGAAAAAGGCAGTCACACACAACGTATAAACAAAAAAACTTATAAAAACAAACAAGACAAACGAAAACTGATAACGATGTTTGCTTGCAGTGGATTCTGGTGGGCGGCGTGGAGGGTATTTTCATGATCTCCAAAATCAGCGACACTGATGTCAGGCTCGAAATCGTTGGACTGCCCAAAGGCTACGAAATGCACTTCCGGACGGAGAAGGAGATGAAGTCCTTCATTTCCTACCTGGGCATCTATATCAGGTGAGTATCTATATTATAATAGATATTGGTAACTGAAATCAACTTATTTTTGATATCGCATCGATGTCTAACTTGTTAATCCCATTAAACTCGATCATTTTTGTGATCCCCTTGCAGATTGTCCAGCAAGTGGATGCAGGACCTGTGCCACTCCTACCGCACGCCCTCCCTGGAAGAGCTGAGCTCCCTCTACTGCCACGGACCCATTGGAGGCGCCTACTCCCTGATGAAGCTTCACGAGAACGGCGACAAGTGCGGCAGCTACATTGTGCGCGAGTGCGATCGCGAGTACAACATCTACTATATCGACATTAACACCAAAATGTGAGTAGCCTCCTCCAGCGAGTCCCAATCTCAGATCTGTACTTATACTTAAATATTAAGTAAAAGCCAGTTATCGGGATGTGACACAATTAGGCACAATTACAATTACACAAAAACTAGTTTTATCAAATCGCTCTGCTATCGGTAGTTTGTATACCCTTGCAGACGGTATTTCCTATAGAAATATGTCTATTATGTCTATGTCTATTATATTATGTCTATTATGTATATCTATTCAACATTTGACATTTGAACTTTTTAAATAATAGAAAATGAACTTCTGTTCAGCATTAATGCAGGTATCTTTTAATATCAATATGTACATGTCACTCAAAACTTCTTACTCCAAACATTGTTATTTAGCTTACGTAGCAGGATTTGAACTATTATAGGAAAAAATACATGGTCTAAAATAAGTTTGAACCATTGTTTTATATACCAAAGCACCCTTGTATTGGGGTTATCTTAATCAAGTTAAAACCTAAACCTAAAATAGGCCAATATTTTAAAAAGTTGCATATTAATAGATTAGCATTTGTCTTGCCAAGAAACGTGGTTTATTCATATCAATCATAATTAGAAAACAACAAAGAACTCACCATACATAATGACTTTTTCGTTTACAGCATAGCCAAAAAAACGGATCAGGAGCGTTGCAAGACGGAAACGTTCAGGATCGTGCGCAAGGACTCGCAGTGGAAGCTGACCTACAACAACGCGGAGCACGTGCTGAACTCGCTGCACGAGGTGGCGCACTGCATCCAGGCGGACAGCCCGGACCGCTTCCGCATACCCGCCTCCAAGTACGACAAGCCGCCGCTGCTGCTCCTGCTGCTGCCAAAGAACCTCAAGGCCAAAAAGACTGACCTGCAGCTCAGCGAGGCGGAGCTGCAGCGCCGCAACCCGCAGATCTTCAATCCCAAAACGGACCTGCAATGGTATCCAGGTGAGTTACTGCTTCTAAAATCTTCCTAAGGTTTTGTCTGAATCCCATATCTTCCGTAGACTCGATCTCGCTGAGCGACGACGGCATGATGTTCACGATGCGCGGCGACTGGATTCAGCAGAGTCCCGTGAAGGACGTCTCCGTCACGATGAAGATGCTGAAGAGCGACGGCAACTTCATGGAGTTCTTTCGACTGGCGCAGACCTGGAGCCTCATCCAGTCGCCGCAGTTCCTCAAGCTGTACGGCCTAACTCTCGCCGATCCCTACACGATGGTCATGGAGTACTCGCGCTACGGCCCGCTCAACAAGTTCCTGCACTCGGTGCCCAACGTCAGTCTGCACTGCCTCCTCGACCTGATGCACGGATTCGTGCGCGGCATGCACTATTTGGAGGACAACAAGATCATCCACAACTACATACGCTGCAGCAACCTGTACGTGACCAAGTACGATCCGAATGCGTACGTGCTCGACGCCAAGATCAGCGATCCCGGCTATCCACGTCCCTACCGAGAATCCGAGTGAGTACCTCTCGATGGTCATGTTTTTCTTTTTAGTTGTAAGAACGGTGAGAGCTTTGAGATCAGCAGCATTCGTCACATTCATAGTTTCCCATTGCAACACAGGACGGAAAATGACGTCGAGAGTCGAGCTATTTATAAACCTATATATTTTCCATATAAGAAGCATATGGCTTATCGCTCTGGTTGCTCAAATATGTATTCAGATATTCGTCACAAGGGGTTGTTCCCTTTGGTTTAAATGTTAATAGAACATATGTAATAAATATTTAGTTTATTTAGTTATTTAGTTGCTCTGAAGTTAAGTATATATTATTTATTTACTTGTAAATATACTAATTCACATTGCAAACTCCCATTCTTCCGGATCACAGCTCGCCGTGGATTCCCACCAAGTATTACCGAAACCTGCAGGCGGCCAAGCTGGACCAGAACACCCAGCTGTGGGCCTTCGCCACCACTATCTACGAGATCTTCTCGCGATGCAAGGACGACCTGCGGAGACTGCGGCAGGATGAGCTGATCCGGCAACGGAATCTCGATGGCAACATACTCAAGACGCTCGATCCGGACATCTGCCCCTCGCTGATATTCGAGACGATCATGGACGGGTGGTCCGACGACGAGGACAAGCGCTTCAGACACCACGAACTATTCTCCCGCCTCAACACGATCAAGGCGGAGATACTGCCCAACTACATGCCGCCACCCGAGATCGCAACGAGTAAGTGTTTGCCGATCTGCAAGTCCCATTAGTTCACACAAGGCCACAAATGTAACCGGGGATATGCCTCTTTTGAAATCCTTGATATTCATTGTAATTTGAGCATCGCATAAAATAGAAATTGTGATTAGAACTAGTACAAAACTTTATCATACATTTAAACAGGCAGAGAAATGTTACGAAATTGATAAGAGATATTTTTTATATTGGTTCAAATTGCGATTACTTTGATCTCATCGCTTTAAAAGCAAAGCTATTAAAAACTATTGGCATTTAAAAGTAAGAAAACATATTTGTCTTATCTTTATATTACTATTTATATTTGAGGAAAGCATTTAAAATGGGATGCGAAAGGAAACTAAAAAACTAATTATTTGAAGGGAGAACAATTGAGTTTTGAATGGTACAATTCATACCCTTCAGACATATATTTTTATAAAGTTAATTTCACTAACTGATTGTGTTTAAACTCTATGTAATTTGCCTTTCCACAGATGGAACGGGGGACGAGGAAGTGGTGGAGAAGAGCGCCGACCTGCCCTGCCACTATCCGTTCCCCGGCTCGCACATGCTGATGGTGATTCCGCTGACCCACGAGTGCCGGGTGATCTACAACATGGCGAACAAGATCGGCCAGGGCCACTACGGCACCGTCTACAAGGGCCACCTCGAGTTCAACGACAAGGACCAGCCGCGCGAGCAGGTGGCCATCAAGATGCTGAACACCACGCAGGTGTCTACTGATTTCCAGCGCGAGATCGGCATCATGCGCAACCTGGATCACCCGAATGTCGTCCGGTTCAAGTACTGGGCGGAGAAGTCGCACTGCATCATCATGGAGTACCTGTCCGGTTCGTTCGACAACTACCTGCGCTTCGAGGCGCCCAATCTCAAGGATCCCCGCCTGGTGGGCTTCGCCCTCGACATCGCACATGTAAGTGGTTTCAGGGTTGAGATTTCTCATCAAATATAGTTTATACTCGGGTATGTCTTACACACTGATGGATTTTAAATAGTATCTTATTCAATTTTAAATAAACTGGGATTTATTAATTTTAACCTTGTTGATAATGAAATCGCTTTAAACTTTTAAGAAATTGTTTCCCAAGTACATACCAAAAAATCTTTACCATTGATGGTGTCGTTAAATTCTTAAGATCACGAATTTCTGATAACTTCGGTGCCCCTTTTGACTTCTAATCACATTGACGTCTTCCTTTGAAATTCTTTACGCTGCAGGGCATGAAATACTTGTCCGGCATGGGACTAATCCATAGGGACTTGGCCGCACGCAACATTCTCGTGGATCACAACGGCGATGGCGATCGCGTCAAAATCTCAGACTTCGGACTGGCGCAATTCGCCAATTCCGATGGATATTACTACGCGAAGAGCAAGCGAGATATCCCCATTAAATGGTAAGAGCAAATGTTGTTGTACTCTAATCTAGGATAAATAAGATGGTTTTCATTGCTGGAGTTTAAAGAATATAGTTAAAAAGAAACTAAACTATTGATATTTATACAAAAAGAAATTAAATTATTTGAGATCTTGTTTCTTTTTCCGTATAAGATCTCTTTGAAATCCAACCATGATTATGAATCATTCTAGTTTTAATAGTGATTTAAGAGCTAAACTTTAAAAGTAATATGTGTTAATCAAATACGTTGTTCTTATTTACGGACAGGTACTCCCCGGAGGCCATCTCCACCTGCAGATTCTCATCCTACTCGGACGTCTGGAGCTACGGCGTGACGCTCTTCGAGATGTTCTCCCGGGGAGAAGTTCCCAACCTGGTGCCGATGCAGACCTCGCAGGAGGACTTCCTGAACCGCCTTCAGAACGGCGAACGGTGGGTTCACTTGGCATTTACCCTCGAGGGTTATCTGTTGCCCAAATTAGCCAATCTGTGTTCAGCTGTCAACAATTTGTCACATGTTTCGTGGCCTTTTGATAACCTTTCAAAAAGTGTGTCGCCACGGGCCATTTTTTTATTGTATTAAAGTTCATAGCTGGTGGATCTAATTTGATTAGCTTTTATTAGTTTGGGCTGGAAATACCCGAACGTTATTTTGGCGATAGAAGAGACTCACGGATTGAAATTATTCTTCCCATACGAAGCCAGAAAAAATTTGTTGAAATTTAACAAACATATTTTAAAGATCCCTTATCAAAAGATTGGTCATTAAATTAAAGTAGACACTTTGTATACTTACGGGTGCGCATATATATAATACATATTATAGATAGTTATCTGATGTTTTATAGATTTGATTGTTTTTGTTTTGTTGTAGACAATTTCAATATATTTATTAATAGAAAGACAAATCCATTTTAATATGAATGCAAATATGTAATAGCAAATCTCGGACATATTTGCAGCTTGAATCGGCCGATCAGTTGCCCCGACTTTATGTACGACCTGATGCTGTTATGCTGGCATGCCACGCCCCGTTCCCGCCCCAGTTTCGCCACCATCGTGGAGATCATCACGCGGGAAGTGGCCACCAAGGTGGTGCAGCCCGCCGATGGCCACCAGTCGCCGCCGAATCTGCCGCCGGAGGTCGAGTAACAGGAGATGAGTGTTCGGAACACCTCCAGAATGATATACACCTATCTAGGAATAAGACTTTTTAAGATGTTAGCATTTAAACTGTACGTTTTTAAAACAACAACACAAGCGACCCCGCACCATTCGACGCAAAAAACCTCATACCAAAACCCAAAAACTCACGCCTTTGCAAGCCTTTTCGGATTCTCGCCAGAACTTAGTTTTATACTTGTGCTCACCATTGGCGCCCTTCCTCGTCATCACCCCCCTCTTGACTAAGCGAAAGTCCCGGCTTTAAACATACATATAAATATATAAACAATTCTCAACCTACTTTGTGTTATACCTCTTAGCCCCCTTTGTTAAATATTGTTAAGCCTGGCTTCAATTTTTTGTAATGCCCACGCATAAACACTAAACACTAACTAAATATAATGTGTAAATAATAATTGAACTAGTTAAGGGTTTAAACAAAGAAAAAAACGGCAACACACGGTAATTTATAGTACGCGAAAGATTGCGACCGGAACGAAAGGATCGGATTCGCAATTTGACTAAGATAAATCTACAAAACATGTGCACATATAGTCCTAAGGTATGTCAATTAATGTTGATCAAATGCCATTTTAACCTACAATACTTCGAAACAGAAACGAATTACATATACATATATTTACAAGCTATACAAGCCACTATACAAGCCGGTATATGCACAATCACACCCGCAGGCACAATAACTTATTATTGATGTTAACGAGAAAGGATATTTCCGAAATAAATCAATTTTCTTACGTGTTTAAAAGCGAGCTTTTATTTAACATCATTGAACACAATATCAATATCGGGATTATCTGGGCGAGTTCACAGGAACCTTCGAGTATCTGGCTTCAAAAAAATCCTATCTTTCAGTTTTCAGTTAGATTTTCGGTTGAGAGACTCACATGTTCTGTTTCACTACATTTTATCAACAATCATATTAATGTTGTTTCACTTTTTTTCTATATTTCTTAAAGGTAATGAATTCTTCTTGGAACCGCGTATTTATATATGTAGTTGTTTATTAATATAATTTTAGTTAGCTTCTAATTCCTGTAGCTAAAGTCCTAAATCCTATATCCCATTTCACTTTTTTCTTAATAGAGGGAACGAAGTTGCCATTTCATTTTATGAACAATTTTATCGTGACATTTTTTAACAGTTTAGTTTACAAAAAAATTTCAAAAATTGTTCTCTTTCCAATCAGGAATGTATGAATATTTATATTATTTTGCGAACAGGATTTTTTTCTCGAACCGTTTTCTTACACTGTTATGTATGTTAAGCCACAGAAATGAAAGGGATGGCAATACCTATATTCTATATTACGTTTATATTTTAATTCTGAATTCTAGTTTTACATAAACAATTATTATTTCTCTAGGAAAGATAGATGACATCAAATAGACCTTATAGAATTATTTGGAATACATATGTGTTGATTTCAATAACTTGTATTTACTCTCAGACACGATTATAACAGCTTTTTGTGAAATTCAGTTGACTTCTTTATATATACAGATCTTTACCTATCTTACCGTTTCAACTTATAGTTACTTGTTACAAAATGGTGTATGAACTTAGATGTTTGAAGGCTTTCTTAAGTTCTACAAATGCTTTGTGTATGCTAATATTTTAAAAATGCTTGCGTTTGTCTACTAAATTAGGTATCATTTAGAGTATAGCAAATACAGCGCCACCGAAAATGTTGTGTTCTTTTGCCTTTAGTACATTATTGTTATTCGAAACTTTGCTGTTACATTAAATGAACTCTTATATCAAAGCTTTTACAAATGTCAGTGCAAGTAGTATAGTCGGAGTGCTAAATGTGATGTGTAGATGATCCTGGGGGATCTTTAACTGCCTTAGTCTCTGGAATTTTCGTGGATAATTCTGTTTGACACCCTAAATTGGAGCTATGGCTGAATCTGGTAGTCATTACTGATCTGGTTTAAGTGACTATCTGCGCATATCAACGACGATCTTGCCTGGGATGTCCATTCGATTGAGCAGCAACGAGTCTTTTAGGTGCGAACTATAGCCTGACTGCCGACGTTGCTCGATGTGCCCATTGGTTTTGTACATGAGGGTGTTTTACTCGATGGCCAGTGCCTCAGCCTCATGATCTGATAGAAGCACTGCGTACCCAGGTCAACAGAGGACAAAAACGCAGTCTCCTTCCCAGCGTTATCAGCTGCACATCGAAAATCAACTCCTCGTGCATCGCGTTGCAGTTATCCGTTATCTACTGTTGTGACTTCGTGATGAACTAATGGTTTTGAGACAATTGATCCGCTTGCACTTCGAATGCCTTGAATTTTAGAAACACCTCCTTGGTGTCCCCAGGCACGTGAACGAGGCACAAGAAGCCCGCCTGCAGTGAATCTGAGCGGTAGTACGTCGGCTTCTGGTGGCAATCAAAGCTAGTTTAGAGTTGATTAACTGTTGGTGACATAATCTGGATTCTGGTGGATCTCTGCACGGGCGTTCTCTTGGTTTCCCTACCTGGTAAATATTGGCCATGAACAGCCACTCGGTGCCAGAGCAATTATACCTCGTAATTGTTTAACTTGCTCCTATAACTTGGCAAGACTATATTTCCTTTATAAAATTGCAGGGTTAATCTAATCTGGCTTTTTGAGCTTTCCAGGGACCGTTGTAAATTTTTTTTAAATATTTTTTTTTTTGTTAGAGGAGACCTTAATGAGTGAAGTTTTCCTGGATTAGGTATATTCTTTTTAGAAAAAAATGTAAGCTCGAGAGTAAAAATTAAAATTTTATCAGAACTTTGGAGGAAGCTAAAAACTTTAACGATTTGGCGAGAACTTCAATTTTGCCTTCACCTTCAAAGACTGTTAAACTTTGTTGTAGACAGAATTTCCTCAACTGGTCGGCATACGGACACCATGGCCTCCTCTTAATAACAGAAGTTAACGGTACAGAGTCGGAATTCTTGGCGTGATCAACATCAGAATTTTGGCGGGTGCTAGGAGCTCTCCGCGTTCTTTTTCTTCAGAGTCTCCATGACACCGGCGAAGTTGGCTGTTTTCTTTTTGGCCGACTTGGGCGTGGACGTCTGACTGCGGACGCGCATTTGTGTGGGCGCCACCTCGTCGCTGAAATCGAAGTCGTTGGCCTTTTGGGGTCTGCAAGGAGAAGTTCGAGGGCTAGTGGGTTATGCTCCTTTATACAACCAAAAGTTTAGATAATCTTACTCCTGCTCAATGGCATCTGTTGTCTGCTCCAGTTCCTTGCTATTTCCGCCGGACCCGACCTCCGGCGACGGAGCTCTGCGTCCAGGGAATTGCCACTGCAGCTCCGGAATAGTTCCCGCCTCCAGCATCAGATAGTAGTTCTCCAGCTCCTCTGCATTGGCGGAAAACTTGTCCGGTGTATTCGACGCCGGCTCCACATCGGTGGCCATTTTCGATTTATTCACTTGATCTAAAGAAACATGCGAATTTTCTGGTAAAATCAATGAAAATCGATGTGTGGATGCTTAGATTGTTGTTGTTTGTTTTCGATTAGCATTTCGATTATTCTGATATCGATTGGTATACAGTGCTGCAAAACAGCGAAAGTGGGCGGTTGTTTTGAACTGCATCCGCTGCCCAAAGTGGTTTGTCTATTTATAGGTTTCTTTATGCACTCAAGTGCATACCCATACCCGAAAAATGTCGGTTCTGCATATAGAGATCTTTCGAGTTTTTAGATGCCGCATTGTTTGTTTTAGGAGGAAGAAAAATATTTACCCGAAAAATCTACTCTTTTAATGCAAAAACGTTTTTTTTACTTTTACTATTTATGTTGTTTAAGCGTTCTTTTGTAATATAGTTGGATTGATTTATAGATGGGAAGATATTTTGTTGGCTTATCTGTTGCTTTTTAGCTGTAAAGAGATTTAAATATTTTGTAATTTGTTTACAGGCCTCCAAAAATGCAATGATATTACTTCCTGATACCTCACACCACATCATAAAAAACTGGAATAACGCAGAATGTTCTTACTACAAAATTGATAAAAAAAAAAACTTGTCAAATAAAAAGAAACAACTTTTAAAAGAAAATAAATTCAACATTAATAAGCTGTGTTCACCGAAAAGTTTGAAAAGGTAATCATTGATGAACTTTTAGGTAATTTAAAACGAAGTCCCGAAGAGTTAGTTACTTTTAATATAAATACATAAGCAATTAAACAATTCTGGGTCTCAGGTGCGGAAAAAATAGCTGAAAAGAGGGAATACACGACCACAGTGTTCGACGAGCGCAGATAAGACCCGACCTTCTGTACGAAAAGCCATCGATTATTCATTTTATTTGTATTTATTTACTTTGTGATTACTAAATTCTTAGAACTTTATTCAAAATCATCCTCGTCCGTCGTGCTGCCGTTTTCGCTGCTCCATCCGCTCCTGCTCACATATCATATATCTCAGTTGATCTGATCTGATCGTCTCCACAACCGATTGATGCCGGACACGGATATCCCTGTGGTGTTCCTTGCTCCTCCTCTGCTCGATCCCGCCGATCCTATTCTTTGTGGCTGGGTGGCTGTTTAGCGTTCGTTCTCGTTTTCTATGACTTACACGTACCATACATATACATAAGTGTTATTATTATAATTATTATATTGTTGTTTGCTGTTTGCTTGCTTTGTATACTCGTATATAAAAAAGAATAATCGTACATATTTAATTTAATTAATTAAAACACAATTTGATTGCAAAAAGAAAGGTTTCTACAATACGTAATTAAATACGGATACGTCCTGATCGTTGGTATTGTTGCCGCCGCCGCCTCCGCCTCCGCCTCCTCCGCGATTGGAGGAGCCGGATGACTTATTGGAGCCATGGGCGGCGATGGTCAGCTGGTTGGCCTGGTGGATCACCGAGGTGATGTCGCTCTGCGACGCCGAGATGTCCTTGCTGGTGAGCACGTCGCTGCTACTCGACCCCGACGAGATGTGTCGCTCGGCGATGCCGTACTGGATCGGCTGGTAGCCGTGACTTGGATTGTACGTGGCCGAGTATGGCATGTAGATGGGCGGGTTCGGGAGCGGCCCGATGTCGCTGGTGATGCTCTCGGTGTCCGCGTGGCTCAGCGCATGGCCGCCGTGCCCGTGCGGCAGCTGGTGCGGATGCAGGTGGCCCTGGCCGCGGCCCAGCAGATTGGGATTGCGCTCCTCGTTCACCACGTAGTAGCACTGCTCCGAGAAGGTCAGCTTGTTGACCGTGTGCTTGATGTAGTTGCTGCGCAGCATGGCCGAGACAATCCGTCGCGCCTCCCGCCTGTCCTGCACGTCCTCCACGTTTTCGAGCACCCAGTTCACAGCGTCGGCGCCGATGAACGCGTTCGGGATCGTGATCTTCAGCCACATGCGGTCCCGGATCTCCAGGCCGCTGTCCGGCTTCGTCATTGCCTTGACGATCTCCTCGAGGTTGTTCTGGTCCAGCCGCTCCTTGATCGGCTCCGCAATGTCGGCGATAATACTGTCGTGCGATGTGAGGGCCTGGGTGTGCGCCACCCAGGCGCCGGGATCGATGGGCCGCACCGGCTCCGTGCGCGGAATGGTGAAGTAGCCCTTCGGGTTGGGGTCCCAGCACTTGGCCACCACCAGCTTGATGGGTCCCGGCTTCTGGACCACCTCCCTGAGCACCCGTACCGCCTCGTCGTTGGTCATGTTCTCGAAGTTGACGTCGTTCACCTGGAGGATCATGTCGCCGGGCTCGATACGCCCGTCCAGAGCCACGGCGCCGCCCTTCATGATGCTGCCCACGTAGATGCCGCCGTCGCCGCCGCGATTCGACTGGCCGACGATGGAGATGCCCAGGAAGTTGACGGCCTCCATGTTGATCGAGACGGTGATGATGTTCAGCGACATGGTCGAGTCGGTTATCGAACTGTACGAGGAGGTGCGCGACATGCTGGGCGCTCGCTTTTTGCGCCGCTGCGGCTTCTTGCGCACCTGCAGCCGCTGGACGCTGCTGTAGTCGGTCATGTCGCGGTCGAGGGTCAGCTCGGATTCGGTGCCGAAAAGGCTGGTCGAGTCCAGATCGCTGGAGAGCACGGAGGCCGATTGATATGTGAGCGGTGGCGGTTGCAGCAGCGGATTGCCCATCATCTTCTGGTGATGCAGCACCTGCTGCTGCTGCTGTTGCTGCGCCAGCTGGACCGGCTGCACCTGCTGTTGTTGCTGCTGCACCTGCTGCTGTTGCTGCTGCTGGATCTTCCTGGTGGTCAGGCCCAGGCCCAGTTCGCACTCACTGGTGGGCAGCTCGGAGCAGTTGTCCGACTGGTTGGTGCCGTCGGCAGAAACCAGCCAGGAGACCACTCGCCCGTTGAAGCAGGGCAGGATGGTCGCGTCGTCCGCGATCTCCTCCTTGACCACGCCGAAGTCCGCGTCCATCGACTTGAAGAAGTACTTGTAGTTGTTGTTTTGCTTGTTCAGCACCAGCTTAAAGTCGCGCAGCGTCACCTGGGCAGAGGGAATGGGGATCTTCACCAGATACGGCGTCGTCTCGTCGTCGATGTGGTATATCACCTTCGTCTCCTGCCCACCGCCCCTGTCCGCGTCCATTTTTCCGGCTGGGGGAAGAGGAGCACACGGAAATCGGGGAAAACGGGTAAAAAGCACGGAAAACACACACGGGCGAAATGCAGGAAAAGCCTTTACAAAAAATCACTCGCTTTTCTCCCCCTGTCTCTCTTGCCCTCTCGCTCTCGCACGCGTTTCTTGTCTTTTTCTTTCTCTTTTTTTGGGCTGGGTGTTCGGTTCAATGGAAACAGCAAATGCAAATTCTAGCGAATCGGCTGGAAAACTGCTCCATTGACTTGGTTTCTAGCGCGTAGACTTCGAGCGGGCAGTACGGTGCACGAAAATCGGGGGCAAAACGAGCATATTGCTAGTTTACCAATAATTTTGTTAGAATTTTGAGACTAAAAAAAACTGACCGACGCAGTGTGTGAGCAGCTATTTACGCATAGAATGCCAAAACGCCTGGCGGCAGTAAAAGTCCTTTCTTTTCTACCGTGCAGCTGGTCACACTGGCATGGCGGAAAATCATTTCACGCTAGTTCATGCGCTTTACCTTAATTTTAAATGAAATAAAATGTACGCGGGTGTAGCCTTTTTTGTTTGGTATAAAAGTGGAAATATTTTCCTTATGTGGGTAATATTTTATTGGGGAAACGGTGCTGCCAGATCGTTCATAGAGTTCAAAAATAAAAATACCAAAAGTGCAACCTAAAAAACACTGTTATCGATATTAGACGTTAAATTTCAATAGCTCCTTCAAATTAAACTAAATTGGATAACTCAACTAAACTGTTTCAAAATCTAACTTAATTTTATTAGCAAGAATTTGCAAGATTTTCTTTACAACACCTTCAGTTTCCATATGAAAAAATGATGTTTTCAACAAAGTCATCCCATTGCTAATTAAAATGGTACCCAGCTAGTTTTTTATATTTAAAAAAAAAGCTAAACAAAACAATTGTTTTTAGTAGTTTTTATTCATACAAATGTTCAGTAAGGTTTTAACAGTTTAGTAATTTAGGAGGTGAAAACCTAGAATATCCTAAAAGCATGTGGGTTCACCGGATAGAGTATCAAAACAAAAGTATAAGGATATAAAAATACGAAAAAAATGTAGTTATTAATTTTATCAGAATAGTCTTACTTAGAAAGATCCCTTCCCCATCGAAATTTGTAGTTAGCATAGATTGTTTTCAAACTCTGGTAATTATGTATGTATATTATCAAGAACATCAATGGAAAAGTACGTTAACGTGAAAAATATCAAACAAAATTGATAAGCATTCGTGTTCATTTACAAATAATCCCTTAAGGAAGTTTGGATTGAGTAATAATTATTGTTCATATTCTAATAAATATACACTAGTCAATGAGACGAAAATATTTATTTTATTATAATAACTTATTCTTAACTCTAAAAACCATATACTCTAAAAACAATATATTTTATACATTAGCTGCTCAAGATTTTATTATAGTTAGCAGTTTTAACAAAATCAATATGCCACTCCTATACCAAATGACTGATCGCACAGCTTATATTATATTACTATCTGGAAAAATCGGCGAGTCTTGTTAGTTATCACTAAGTATAGCAACAAAATGTTGAATATATAAAAAATATGTACCAATTAAGGTGCTTTAATAGAAATCAGGTAATCATTTTAAAAGGTTTCAGCCGAATTCCCATTTACTCAGAATGCGAAAAGAAGCCATTGCATGATTACTTGATATGTGAATTACCCATCATTTCTAATAACTTATAGTGCTGTTGCTTTAAATCTGTCAGTTAAAACCATTTAGAGCTTGTTCCAACTATTAGAAACAATTTTTCTTTATTTAATGCTGTATAAAAACGTTGAAGAGTTTTTGGTCTTGTTTATCTCATTAAAGTTACAGATAAAGAAATCCCGCATATGGAAAGGGTTATTTATAGCTCTACGTTTTCCGGATAACCCCCACATGCCAATTATCACGCGCCCCCGTTGAGATTTAAGGAGGCACTCGTTATTTAAATCAGTTTTCTCTTTTATTTGTATACTTTAATGGGCTTTCAATTAAATATACACAATCCTTAAAATCTATATCTCCATTCCGGCGTAAACAAACGTGTATACGCCCTGATTTACGTGTATTAATGAACTACGATTTACATAATTGCCGTTTAAAAAAGTGTTCGATTTGTGGGTTTTTAAGGGGAAGTCGTTTGTCGTTTGGCGCTTGCACAATCCTCGCCAGACATTACAATTAAAATCAGGATTGATTCCTCCGCGGAACTGGTGATTCTGTTCGGTTTCCGAGACGCGATGCGTTAGGTTTAAATTTGTAGTATATAGTACATAGATACACCCGCTGTCTGTATTTATGTATGTCCGTCTGTTGTTTACGATTTAAGGTATAGATAATTACGCTAAACTACCTATTAGAACTAAGTTAATGGTTTTACAAAAAAAAAAACTTGTATAATGTAATCGGTTTGCTACTGCATCAAACAAATTATCGCGTGTCCGTTTTTGTGTGGGTGTGGTGGTGTGAATTATTTTTACAATGTGATACGTGTCCTAGTGGCTCCTCGTCCGACTGCTCGGCTGCCCGCCCGGCTGCCACACGCTGCTGCTGCCTCACTTGGTGTTGACCATCTCGACCAGGTTGCTGCCGAGCGTCAGGCGGTCGACGATGTCCAGCAGGATCTCGACGTCCTTGACGGTGGTCACCGTCTCGGGGGCTCCCATCAGATTGACGTGCTTGCCGTCGATGTTCGCGTAGAAGCACTTGTTCTTGAAGATGATGGCCCGGTCGTAGGGCACGCGGCACTTGTTCCTGTCCATAACGGCGCGGCGGAAGAGCACGCACGACGGCTGGTACTTGTGGCGCTCCTCCTCGGGTATGTTGTACGCCTTGAGATCGCCCGTGAAGATGGTCATCGTCTGGCGGGTCATCAGCGTCGGCGACACCTTGTACAGGGTGACCTTGCTGGACCACTTGCCAGATGGCACCCGGATCCTGGCCGCCACGTTGGCCAGCTTCACCAGGGCCAGCTCCAGGCAGGTGCGCTGCTGGCGCGTCGCCTTCGACGGCGTCTCCTTGGGCGTGCTGATCACATGCCACGTCTCGTAGCAGGTGATCTTCTTCACAACGCGCCCGTCCTCCTCGCAGAAGGTGGTGGTCTCGGGCGGGAAGTACTTCGGATTGCTCATGTCCTCCGCTCCGCCGCCAAGGACCAAGGCGCCGCCAAGCTCCTTCTGGCCGGCCACCTCCTTGTCGCGCTGCTCCTGCTGCTGCAGCAGCTGGTTCTCCTTGCTGCGGCGCTGGGGACTCAGGCCGGGCTTCTTGAACACCGGCTGGTCGTCGCCGTCGCCCAGCAGCTTGGTCAGCTTACGGTCCGCGCGGGCGTTGGCCGACGAGGCCGTCGTGGATAGCACGGGGCGGCTGCGGTTGCTGCTCCACTTGTTCAATGCCCCACCAGTGGCAGTGGAGAGTGCCGACGTGGCCGATGATGCCGCCGCCGGTTTGGGAGTCTTTCGGGTCACAATCGATGCCGGGATCTCGTCGATGTCAAAGTCGAGATCCGGATCCGGGTCGTCCTCCTCGGTGTCGACGTCCGTGGGGCACAGCTCCTTGCCCATGTTCATCAGCGGCTTCATCGGCTGCGTCTTCTTGCCCATCTCCGCGTTGAGTATCCTCGGCCTGGGCTTGGACAGCTGCGTTTGGCTTTGACTCTGACTCTGTCCGTAGCTCTGGATGTGCACGGGTCCCATTTTGGTGTTAACGCTGCTGTTGCTCGACAGGATCTTGATGCGCTTGGCCTGGCCGCCAACGGTTGAGCTGTTGTTCACAGGAGCGGACGGAGATTTCTCCGGGCTGGTGGCAATGGCCTTCTTCTCGCCGCTTCCCACATTGCCGGATGGGATGGGCCGGGTGCGCGGCCTGCCCACAGGCTGTTTCTTGCTGAGATTGCCCCCTGTTGCGGCTGACCCAGCATTGGTGGACCTGGTGATGAGCACATCGTCCTGGTTGATAATGTCGTCGATGTTCACGATGGTGAACGTGGGCACGTCCTCGCTTCCAGACTCGTTGTTCTTAGCTTCGCTGCTGGAGGCTGCTCCTCCGCCCGACGAACGTGTTGTGGACGTGGCGCCGACCGAGTTGCTGGTGGCGTTCGTCGCGGTGTTCGCCTTGTAGTTGCTGCCGCGCCGCTGGGGCATCGTCCTGGTTAGCAGGCCCATCTTGGGTCTCGTGGTCGCGCCAGCCATGTTTGTCTTGCCATTCACCACCGGCACACTGCGCACCTGCTGGCCACCGGTGGACGAGAGGACCATCCGCTTCCTGGCCACGGGACTGTCGGTATCGCTGATCTCCAGCTTGCGCTTGGCCGCCCCCGACATGGAACCAGAACCAGATCCCGATCCCGCTCCCGATCCCTCTGTCAAGCTAGCGTTGTTGCGCGCCACATTGACGGCTATGGCGCGACGCAACTGCTGGAGGCTGTTGGGCGCAGTGCGTCCGCCGGCCGAGTTGATGGACACCTTGTTGGCCACACCGCTGGGCGTCTGGCTGCCGGCTCGGGGCGTCCTGGAACTCGCACTGGCGGCATTGGCAGTGCTGGCCTTCGGTGGACGTCCACGCCCACGCTTGACCGGCGGCAGCTTGCGACGCAGTTCCTGTTCGTGCTCGGCCTCGCTCAGATCCTCGTCCTCGTCGTCGTCATCATCCTCGTCGGACTTGTGCAGTTGCGGATTGAATGCGGCGTCCGCTAGCTCGTCGTCGTCGTCCTCGTCCAAGTCGAGCTGGTCGCTCATGTCATCGTCGTCCGTTGCGTAGTTCTGCTTGCCCTGCCTCCCGTGACGACCAGCGACGGACTGATTGCCGCCGTCGCCCAAGGAGGCCATAAACTTGGGCGTGACGATGTCATCGCTGGCGTACTTCGGGTTCGGCTTGATCGAGCGCCGGGAGCGACTGGCCGCAATGGTGGGCGGTGGACTCGCGGGCGTGTGCTTGGCCGCCGGCGACTGCTTGTACATTTTGGGCGTCGTCGTCTCCTGCTGAACGAAGCGCCGTGGCTTGATCAGTCCCAGCTTGTGGTGTGGAGTCGCGGCGCCGGCGCTGCCGCCCAGCACCATTGTGCCGCGTCGCTTGGCCAGGTTGGCGGCCGGCTGCTCCCTGGTGATCTTCGCACGCGCCGCTGGCGGTGGCGATGGCGAGATGGCCGCTGGCTTAACGGCGTGACGGGTGCGCGGCGTAGCGGTCGCTGGCGGCTTCTCCTGGACTACGGAGCGCCGACGTGTGCGGGTCTCTCGCAGCTCCTGCTGCGCCTCCCGCTGGTTATCCCTCTTCCTCAGTCTGCCGGCTGGCGGCTCCTCCTCGTCGCGCAAATTTCTTAAGTAGACGATGCAAGGACGTGTCTTGACGATTTCAGCTGCCTGCTTTTTTCCAGCTCGCATCTTTCATGGGTAGCTGCAAACGGGGCAAAAGACAAAATTGATAGTCTTATTATTGTGTCCATATAGGAGGGTGAAGATTGTTTTTCTACGGTGGAACTTAATCAGGGCAAATATATTTGCAATTGGGCAAGCACAACTCCAATCTTGACCGCTAGTGTTTTATTTTACTTTATAAGAAATGCAGATACATGCACTCCGCGTCATTTAGCTGCGTACTGGGCAAAATAGTTATTTGACAGTAGTTTATTGAGCGTAAACAATCCTATCTTATAGGGCAATTTATGGAATCACGTAAACACAGATATTCGAATGCGCCTTCTGTCAACCTTAATTACTTTTAAAATACTTCACAAAAATATTTTCTTGTCAAACACTTAACATTTTTTCTTGCAGTGCAAAACACACAACACTTCTAAATGGCGCTCTCTCGGGGACGTCTATTCTTAGATTGCTGAAGACAATGTAATATGGAAGTGTTATTACAAGCAAACTGCGTTGATTCCATAACAAATTTAAATAAAAACCCGGATTATAAGAAACTACACATTGCATATAGGCAGATCACACTGTTCTTAATGGATATGTATGTAACGTGCCGCAGCTCTGGCAACTCTGCCGCCTATTTTCGTCACTTTTTCGCGCGCCAGTCGGTGCACATACATGCACACACACCCACATATGGAGAGCAGAGAAATTTGCACTAAATCGTTGCTAAAATTCACCAGCTTACCTATGCAAGTCGCTTTACATTTTCTCTGGCGTTTGTTTTTGCCTTTAATAGCACTTTTTGCTGGCACTTTCACAACGCGGCGCTCTCGTTTCTCCTCTGCGTACGTCTTTGTTGTTACAACGCTGGCTCTCCGGCTACGATGGTCACACGTCTTAAACTTCCAACCAATTTTGTTGGAATTCAATGGGCTTCGATTAACTTTGATTGTTTTCGGCGAACGAAAAATAAAACTCGCAAAGATGCACAACAACAACCGAACTGCAGAAGCAGAGCAGCAAAAGTGGTGGCAATAGTGGTCAAATTGAAAAGAGCACAACCAGGTGGCAACCCGATATGGCGATGTTTTTCTACCCAACTGTACCACACACACACATGCACGGCGACCCTGTGTGTTGTTGCTTTTTCAACGGAAATTTTGGGGTTTTGCCGCTCGAACTCCACTGTATAGTAGGCACTAGTAAATTTTTCTAGATACCCTAGAGGCTATGATTATTATGCACTGAATAGTAGTTGCTGTTTCACACGACTATCACGAATCCGATTCCCGCGCTCGAAATTGTTCGCTCTCGGTTAAAAACTGGAACAAGAATGAGGGGAGAGGGGTGGAAAAGAGAGAGAATTGGTGCTGGAAAGCGTCAGCTGGCCAGTGTTAAATAACTTGTTAGTTGCGCTGACACGGTCACACTGGGAATTAACCCCTAAGAAACCATGGTTTTGAACTCTTTAACTTGATTTTTTATTAACAATTACAATTTGGTTGCATTATGAATTTCCTACTTCAGTGCCGAGGGCTGCGGGCAGCGATACTTGGCCATCTCCACCTCCGCCTCGGCGTAGCTGAAGCGATTAAAGCTGTAGTATTCGGGCACCTTGTAGCCTCCTGTGGCAGAGGCCCCAGGTCCCACGGGTCCAGTCGTGGGCTTTACACAGTTGCTGGTAAGACCCACAACCGCTGGCGAGGATGGGCTCGTCTGGGAGGAGCCAGATCCTGATCCTGTTGCACTGGCTCTGCCGCCGCCCGAAACGGGGCCACCCTTGATCTGACTGTAGCAGCGGCCCAGGGCCGGGCGCAGAACACGCGTGTGCGAGAACATTGTGGGCTGAATTTAATAGGAGTCCGTTTAATTCGCAAAAATAATTCACGTAATCACGTATCAACAAAGTGTCGGGGTTGGACAACGCCAATAGTCAGCTAATTGGCAGAGAATCTGGCAAGGCTTTGTAATGGGTAAAGTAGCCGTCTTGTCAGAATATGAAATGCTACATTAAATGGTCACATTTTTAAAATTATGTTTAAATTTATTTAAATTTTGTTTTTGGGGCTTAGGAACATGTTATCAAAGAAGTTCAAACAATATACATATAAATAAAAACAATTTTACTAGTTCAAAAATCAGTTGATCTCAAGTTCATCTGACCAAGTTACAAGGAGCTGCTAGGAAATACAGGAAAGGGTATTTAAAATAAAAGCTTTTGATTTAAAAAAAAATAATGAAAAACCCAATTTTTTTTGTTGCTCATTTAACAAATTATTTATTATAGTTATTCCTCAAATCACTATGAATTATGAGTCGGAGTGTAGTCCGAGCGATTACCAAGCTCCTGAGAACAGCGGTAACTCGACGTTTTCGACTATTTTTGCCCGAAACGCAAGCTTGGTTTTCACAATTGAGAAGTTGTTTTGAATACAAAGCTGAACAATTTCAGCGCGTTCCTTCGGAGTTTATTGTTCCATAGTAAAAATTGTCTGCGAATAAAGCTACCAGAACATTATGACATTTGTCGATCTGGTAGGATTGCCTGTTGCTTCCTCTTTAAATGGCCTACCCTCTACTTATGCTATTATTTTATAAAAAAAAAAAAACATGACTTAGAATTTACTACAGGCAGCATTTAGGGTTTCACCAGAACGGTTCGCATTACGTTGTGCAAAATATAGAAATTCTTTGTACTACTACATATATTAAATTACGTTTATTATTAGGTTTACACTAGTTAACAACTATTTTTTAGTCTTAAACTTGGGCTGCGCCTTTCCGTAGTGCTGATCGATGTTGGACACCGGAGCCCGCTTCTTGTTATTGCGATCCTTTTGCGATTTACTGCGACATTTTACGCTGGCTGCTCCCGTTTGGTTTTTGCCCAACTGATGGAACTTCTTGCGCTCCTCGCGAATGTTTTTTAGCCGCTGACGTTCGTCCTTTAGTTCTTTGTAGTTCTTGGAGGCTTTCTTTAAGGGCTTGGCGCCCAGCTTAACCAGCTGGAACATTTCCATCTTCTGCTTGTTTTTTATCACCCTCTGGTTTTTCATGGCGAAGTTGAGCACCTCATGGCGCGCCCTTTTGATGTCGAACTCGGGATTAAGTTCCATTCCCGCTTCTTTGCTTTTGTGGAGCTTCTGGGATCCTTCATCCTGGTTTTTCTGAGCACTTTTTGACGGAGCCTTCGGCTCGTGAAACACCAGCGCCTGAAAACCAACGCTTTCTTGCTTTTTTTGTACTGCAAGGGCTGCTCGCGTCGGTACCGGCTTGAAATCCTCGCTGATGTTCATTATTCAACCAGAACTACTTAGTTTTAATAAAATGAAGCAAATAAAACAAAATCAAAATATTGTGGGCACATGTAGATCGAAAAAGTACTACAATTGCCCAAACGCCTGAGCCTGTCTGGCAACGTTAGCGTGAGTGTTTGTTTGAAAGGTGACGCTGATACTGTTTTTATTACGTCACAAGTTCAGCAAGTTTTAAAGATTATTTTGTGGTTTGTTTGTTGTTGTCTTTTACATTTTTACTTAGACAAAGCCAACACCTAATCAGGAAATAATACATTTAAATAATATATACAAGGATGCACATTTATATATTAAGAAGTACTACAATTTTTTTTTAATTTAATACATTTACTTATTTAAATTAAATACTTAAGTATGTATGCATATATAAAACGGGGTCATACTTGTATATTTAATTTTTATTTCTGCGTAAACTAGTACTTCTACTATTCGACGCTGACAAAAGATTTTATATAATTTTAGTACAGTTTAAAAATTTTTTACGGTCGAAAATACATATATATACATATATACATATATAACGCTTAAAATGCTTAAAATAATTAAGACATTGCTTTAAATTTTTGAAGTTTGAACCTCATTCCCATTAAGCCCTGATTTAAGCAAAAAGGATCTTAGGATATTTTTTTTGATTTTGGGATACTTCTCTTTTATTTGCAGGTAATTCTTAGTTGGCCCTACAATGGTAGAAGCAGTCTTCTTGGAATATAAGGTTATTAAAAGAAATCATCTTCGTTAATTGTAAATGATTCTATCATCTCATCGATTTCGACATCGGAAAGCTGCATCTGAACATCGAGACCATCGTGTTCACTGAAGGGATTGGCATCCAAAGGAGCTGTGGCGCAGCTCATCCAACTTTGGATGCGGGTAACCGGCGGAGCAATGGGCGTCGACGGCCTTACAATGTAACTGAAATCTACCTTCTTCTGGTCCTGATCCTCCAGTGGTTTCGAGCAGAGATCGTTGTCTTCGATAGTGGTTTCTCCGTCATCGTTGAACGAGGATGATTCCGCGACATCGACTATGTAGCTGATCGGCTCTAGCTGGATGCTAGGGGACTTGGTAGTGGTCCGACTGCAGGGTCGCATTCCGAGCTTCTCCTCCCGGCGGCGACGTGGCTCCCGGACTTCCGGCTTCCCCTTTCCCCTGACGACTTTTTTCAGGGACGCCTTCACCTGGGAGGAGTTTCCAGGCTTGGCCACGTTGGTCAAACGACCGTCCACGTAGTCATTGCGCGGCTTGGCGAAGATCCCCGCCAAATACTTAAACATTTTCGGCTAACTGACAATTTAAATCAATGCTGACGATGCAAAATCAGATTCTGCTTTGCAATAACTACAGTTTATCACTCTAAATATAAAATAAGTTTTGACTCATTAATCAAGGAGTCCTGATTAACGGCAACTGTGACCCAAATATAATCTTTATAACTATGTATATCTCGTATAAAAAAGGTTTTTTTTTTGTTTAATTTTTAAAGATAAAGCTTTGACAGATAACTTTTTATAACGAGGAGGCCAACATCATCTAAGCTTATTTCTGTTATATCAAAACTTTAAACGTTTACTTTATAAAACAGATTAGAACAAATTATATTTAGACCCAAAAAGGCAATTATTTGAGGGGCCCAATTATGTTTTTATGTATATGGGACAGTGCTCGTGCCACAATTTTTTAAGTTTAAGTTTATTTATGTAGGTATATGCCTAAATATGTATTTTTTCAAATACTTTATTCAAATCCTAAAGAAACTTTCAAAACTTACAAAATCCTCTATTTGCGACTCCACTGTCACTGCTGGTTTAAAAGAATACACTGGGTTAACTGTAAAAATTTTGGTCAAAAATACCTTAACAACTTTTTATAAAACGGTTTCTCTCGTTTGTAAAAAAGGCAATCAGTTAAGATAGTATCCGTTTTATTACAGGAACATATTTTTGTCCATGAATTGGCTTTCTGACCCACAGTGCAGTGTTTAATTTACGTGGCCGTTGCCACTGCAATGTTAACAGTGCTCGAATTAAGCACTCTGGCAACGCCGAGCGAATAGAAAAAAAAACAATGCGCTGCCAGGAAAACATAAGCAGCGGAAAACTCGACGAATACCGATAAAGTAGACTGAAGGAAAAGCGGAAAATGGCCAGGAACACGGGCAGCTCCTCGGGCTCCACGCCGGCGTCGGCAGCGGCGGCGGCAGCTGCAGCGGCGTCGAGCGCGAAGCAGAAGCGCGCTCCCCGATTCAGCTTGTCCTCGAACATGATCCTCGACAAGTGGAAGACCATGATCGGGTGCGTGTGCCTGGCGATAGCCTCGTACTTCGGCTACCTGGGCTACCTAGAGACGCGGGTGAATACGCCGTTCGACCACCAGAAGATGGTGGTGCGCGCTGGGTTGGAGCAGCCGGACCGCTACTGGGGCTCCTACCGGCCGCTGAACTACTTTGGGATGAAGACGCGCGACCCGCACTCGCTGGTCATGGGTCTGATGTGGTATACGCCGAGCAACCTGGGCCCCGGCGGTCAGGGCATCCGCCATTGGTGCGAGCAGGGCGACAAGCTAGATTCCTACGGCTGGACGCACCACGACGGCCGGACCTTCGGCGTGCAGGAGATCCAGGACCTGCCCTTCGAACTAAAGACATCGTTTGTAAAATACCCGGAGGGCAAGCAGTATGGCGGCGACTGGACGGCCCGCATCTCGGTGAGGAACACCACGCGCGCCTGGGACAAGAGCATCTCGCTGGTCTGGTACGTGGCCCTGGACGAGCGCACCAATGGGCACATCAAGTACGTGTCGGACGACAAGAGCCCAGAGCCTGGTGTCTACGGGGAGACGCAGGGCCTCGGCGAGTTCCAGGTGCGCTTCCACGCCGTCAAGGGCAAGATCCTGCACAAGTCCTACCTCAGCACGGTGGCTCCTTCGCTCAGCAAGCTGAAGGACACGCTCTTCTCGCACTTTCGCGCCTTCGCCGACAAGCGGGGCAACCGCTTCATCGGCTTGCCCGGTGAAATAGTCTCCCAGAACGGGCTGCCCTCCTCCAATCCGGAGCCCAACTTCATCGCCATTCAGATCACGGCGGAGGTGGACTTCACCCTGGACATCACGTACCAGTCCACGTCCGGTTTCTCGCTGGGCGAGTCCATACCCAAGCCGCCCACCGGCAGAGCCTATCAGGAGTCGCTGCAGGCGAAGATCGCCCAGTTTGAGCAGCGCTTCGAGGAGCGTTTCCAGCTGAAGAAGAAGGGCCACTCGCCGGAGGAGGTGCGGTTCGCGCGGAACGCCTTCAGCAACACGCTCGGCGGCATCGGCTACTTCTACGGCTCCAGTCGCGTCCAGTCGGTGCACACCAAGAACCCGGTGCCCTACTGGAAGGCACCGCTCTACACGGCCGTGCCGTCGCGCAGCTTCTTTCCGCGCGGCTTCCTCTGGGACGAGGGCTTCCACGGGCTGCTGATCAGCGCCTGGGACGTGGACATCGAGCTGGACATTTTGTGCCACTGGTTCGACCTGCTCAACGTGGAGGGCTGGATACCCAGGGAGCAGATCCTGGGCGTCGAGGCGCTGGCCAAGGTGCCCGAGGAGTTCGTCACGCAGCGCAACAGCAACGCGAATCCCCCCACCTTCTTTCTCACGCTCCGGAAACTGCTGACCAGCCATCGGGCCGAGTTGTCCCAGAACGGACGCCTGGCCACGCTGGAGCGGCTCTATCCGCGCATCCAGGCTTGGTTCAACTGGTACAACACCACGCAGAAGGGTGAGTAGCTGAGGAGTTTCTGTGATTCCTCCCATCCCTGTCTATTCAATGCTGAGTGCTGTGCCTTTTAGGTGAGGTGCTGGGCACCTACTTGTGGCGCGGGAGGAACGCCACTGCCACGCGGGAGCTGAACCCGAAGAGTCTGTCCTCCGGCCTGGACGACTATCCCCGGGCCTCCCATCCCACGGACAAGGAGCGCCACCTGGACCTGCGCTGCTGGATCGCCCTGGCGGCCAGCGTGATGGCCGAGCTGTCGACGCTGCTGGGAAAGGACGACGTCAAGTACTACGAGACGGCCTCCTTCCTCACGGACAACGAGCAGCTGAACCGCCTGCACCTGGCGCCGTACAGCGAGCAGTACGCCGACTGGGGCCTGCACACCGACCAGGTGAAGCTGAAGCGGCCGCCCAGCCTGGCGCCGCAGCAGCAGCAGCGCCACCACCACCAGCAGCACCAGCTGCCCGAGATGCGGCGCGTGACCGGCGAGGAGCCGCGCTACCAGTTCGTGGACAGCACCTTCGGCTACGTCAGCCTGTTCCCGCTGCTGCTGGAGCAGCTCGACCACGACTCGCCGTACCTCAGCAAGCTGCTGCACGACCTCCGCGATCCCGAGCAGCTGTGGACGAACTACGGGCTGCGCTCGCTCTCCAAGCGCTCGCCGCTGTACATGAAGCGCAACACCGAGCACGATCCGCCGTACTGGCGCGGCCCCATCTGGATAAACATCAACTACCTGGCCGCCAAGGCGCTGTATCACTACGGCAAGATCGAGGGCCCGAATGCGGCGCTGGCGCGCGAGATCTACGCCGAGCTGCGCGACAACCTGGTGGGCAACATCTTCCGACAGTACCAGCGGAGCGGCTACCTGTGGGAGCAGTACGACGACACCACCGGCGAGGGCAAGGGCTGTAATCCCTTCACCGGCTGGACGGCCACCGTCGTCCTCCTGATGGCCGAGCAGTTCTAGACGCGATCGGCGGCCCGACGCCGAGTAAAATCTGCTGTGAGTTCCTCGCTGAACATCCCTCTGACCGGATTCCTGAAATGATCTATGTGTTTGTGTTTAGGATAGGTGACTCTTCTTCGACCCAAGAATCGGAAAAGCCTACGTTACGTTAATAACTCAAGCTTAAACCAGCCAAACAAATAAATGTACTTCAAATTTTACAACCTGAACATCTTCAAATGTAAAATCTTTGGCATTCGAACAAGTGATCTTTAGTTAAGGAGAATACATTTGGCATAATGCGAGCTTCGCTTATCTTTTTTTTGAATAGGTACTTAGTGGCCAGTAATACTTACATGCTGCACTCCTTTTATATTACAATAGATCTTTGGCGATTCTGCGTTGAAGAGGAAAGGCCACTCATCCTTACTATAATTGTGTGTAGTCCTTAGAAACACCAGTCTCCAGTTGCTGTACAATACTTAAGAAACTTTGACAAACGAACCGAGTGAAAATTACTGTCATTTAGCGTTAAATAGACGAATTTTAAAACTATAACAAATATATATAAAGACAAAACCAAATTTGTAGTTTTCTTCTGCAGAAAGAGGATTCATTCTTTGAGAAATTATTTAGATTAATTGATGAAATATATGAATTTAATTGAATTTTACCATATTAAACACAAAGAGAAACAAAGATTTCAGTTTTCAGCGTTTATTTACTTTTTTGTTTAAAGAATTCCTGCCATTTGGAATACTCAGATATTACTACGGCTATATTATACACGATTTTCTTAACTATATAGTACACACAATCGCACACACTTTTACAGACATGCACACACTCACAGGCAGATATATTTCGTCTCCTCCTCCATTGTTAGGTGTTTTTCTTCTTTTTAATAAAAAAGGTACAAAAATGATATATGCACGATATACTTAATGCAAAACTAATTAGATAATTGTTTCACGTGTTGCAAATTACACTAAAAAGAAAACGAAATCGGTTAAGGTTCTTTTTGTTGCAAAACCATGCACTCAAGTAAAAAAGTTAAGGTAAAGGTTCTCTTTGTTCGCGGTTTGACTCAAGTGTGGGCTGGGTAGTCTTATTTGGGGCTAATTAAAAAGTTTATACGCCTTACGACGACGAGTGCATTACTTAAGTGATCCACGCGTCCGGATTTCATTGAACTTGAGATGTGACTAACGACTAACGAACGAACAAAAGGAACTGGGGCTGGGAGACATTTACAGCTTACAGCGATTGTTTAAGTTACGTGTAAGTATGATCCTACGGAGATATATATGGCGCCGCCTATACATCGTGAAGTACATGGAACAAAGTCTTTATATGGCCAGAACCAAAGTCAATCTGTTAATCTCTCTATACTCTATACGGAAATGGGATTGACGCGCGAGGACCTCCTCCACCGGGATCACTCGTCCTTCTTCTTGAGGCGTCTCCTGAACGACGGCAGGCGATCCAGCAGGGCCAGCAGAATGCTCCCCGGCAGGCGCTGGTGCTGATTGATCAGATCCTCGATCGCGGTGGCCACCTAAGTTGGGGAGAAGCCAAAACATTTCGTTGAAATAGGTTATAGATTCATTTAAATAAATGTGAGATAAAAATATTCTTGATGCTACTAACTAACATTATGTTTTATAGTCGAGTTTCAATAAATCAAGAATCGTTTTGTTATCAAAGTATAGAGAAATATGTTCGGATACACCTTTCTAATAGATTTATTGAATCAAAACTGCAAGTAAGGAAAGGTAGGGTAAACCTTGCATTTTCAATTAGAAATAATCTGTGAATCGTTAAATTTAAATGTTTAGTATATGAAAGGAGTTACGTATCATGTATACAGAAAATGACGAACGATCGTTTATCTTATCAACTGAAAGGTGAACTTCACCCATTGAGATAAGGGTAAGATAAAATAGTAACGAGATGCTTGACTTCAGCTAGCTTTGCCTAGATTCCTCCTTTAGAATGCCTTCAAATAATCGTAAAGGGGAGCCCCTTTTAGTTACCTTAACTTGGAGGTCCTGCGGCGTGAGGCTCTCGTCGTACGGAATGGGCTTGCCCAGGTACGTGCGGAACTTGACGGGGAATCCGCCGTAGATGGGGTACACCGGGATGCGCACCTTGTTGTAGAGCCGCATGAAGAAGGTGCGGAAGATGCCCACCTGGCGGAAGCCCTCGCGCAGGTTCTGCGTGAAGCAGGGAATGATCGGGGCCTTCGCCTCGATGGCCACCTTGGCGAAGCCGACGCGGTTCCGCCAGAGGAGCTCGTAGTAGTGGTCTCCGAACTGCGCCTCATAGACGCCGCCCGGCGAAATGGCCAGCAGGTTGCCATCGCGCAGGATGCTCACGCACGACTGCACGGTGCCGGGACTGACGTGGAATGCCTCCGAAATGGTGCCCCAGCCGGGCAGCTTGAACAGGAACCGGTCGCCGATCGTGTAGATCAGGCGCTCGCGCTGCAGCAGCATCCGCGAGTTCAGGTAGTACATGTCGATGGGAATGGCTCCGTGGTAGTAGACGATCAGCGCCGGGCCCTCCTGCGGCACGTTCTCCAGCCCGATCACCTCGTAGCCGTGGTAGATCCGGGCGTGCGCGTCCCAAATCGCCGCCACAATCTTCCGGCCGACCCGCCAGAAGTTGCGATCGCCCTGCACCGCTCGCATGATCACCTGCCTGCAAGAAATAGCAAAACATACTTTTATTTGGCATTCGTAATGGAGTTAAATGTTTATATAAATATGGATATAATATATAATATGTTGTATATGTACATATATTTATTTTCGCATGATCACCTGCCTGCAAGAAATAGCAATACATACTATTATTTGGCATTCTTAAAGGAGTTTACTTTTATATAACATTTAATATATCATATTAATATTGTATACATATATTTATTTTCGCATGATCACCTGTCTGCAAGAAATATTATTTGGCATTCTTAAAGGAGTTAAATGTTCATATAAACATGAATAAAATATAGAATATATTGTATATATTTATAGTTAGGTATATTTAAGAGTCCTACATAAACTTTAATTTTCTTTCCTTAATTGGGAACTGATTTAATACAAATACATTACCGGAACTTAATACAACAAAATCACTTTTAGACTTTTGTAAATAATATATAGTATTATAAATATTCTCAGAATGTATATGTACAGCAGCTTAAACGTTCTTTAATTAATTTTAATAGCAGTCTCAAAGAGATGCAAAGGGTCGTAAAAGGTTCCATAAAAAAACTTTAAGTTCAAGTGGAAAATAAAAATAAATATGCTTACATATTTGCATATAAGTAATGCCAGAAAAAGTTTAATGTTCATTCTTAAAGTTATCTTTTCAATTAGTTAAGGTGTTTGTTGACACTTTTACCAAACATTTTGGAAATTAAGGAAAGTTTATGCCCATTCACGTTTGCTTGGCTCATCAATTAATTGGCAACAATAAAAAGAAATCTGGCAGGCGGCCACTGATAATTATGTTTAAATTTAGTTGGCTGTCCGCAGGTGTTATCAGCATAAAATGGTCGTGTCTCCGCAAGCATATCAAAGAACTTATAAATCAATATGCACACAAACAAAGTACGCATCACCTTGGCAAAACTGCGTTTAGTTTGAACTGATAACAGGGTTCATCCAAAAGTCTTTTGCCCCTTGGCGACCAAGTCCAAGTCGTGCAGGAATACATAATTCCCCACATCATCCCCTAGTTTCAATTGAATCTACATTCTTTGCCACAACAAAATTGCATTAAATCAATTAAATAATTTGTATAATTCAATATGGAGCAAGAACATCGTTTCGGAGAACCTGATTCCTGACCTTGATTTAAATTTACCATTAAATAAAACTTTTAATATTCATCTACTTATTATCTAGACCTTAATTTCGTTTTAATATCAACAAACAAGCACCGGATTTAGGTACCCATTACTTTCCACTCAGATCTTTGATTGCCGGTGTCGCCATGCGATTTTGTAGCCCTACAAAATTATAAGATAATTGCCAGTCGGCGAACACGACAGTGCTACATTTTGAATTCATAAAAAGAACATCGTTTATGCATCGTCAAGCTTTTATTTTTAAGTTCTTCCACTGCAAATGTAAAAATACAATCGCGGAGGGATCAGGTTGCGGTGTACAGTTAATTGCATTCGAAGCCCCCACCGACGGTTCATTTATGGACTTATAATTTCTGTGATTACGACCGATAGCTCCGCGGACGGAGGGCTTTTGGGGGCGGGGCTTCAGTGACCATGAACTGATAGACATTAGTAGAGTAGAGCAGAGTAGAGCAGAGCGTGTGACGCTATCGGAACAACAATATAATGACAGCCGCAATATCGGGCAGCAGGAATGTCTCATGGCGCGTTTGGCTTTGTGATTTTTTCAGTTCATTTCCACTGCTTATCGAACTGTTTCTATTTTGCTTAGAACTCTGTTAAGGCTGTCTGTACTGAGAAAAACGCTTTATATAAAAAAAGTTTGGTTTTTTTTGTAAGGCCCCGCAATAAAACGCAATCACATTGCGAATTAACGTTTGACAATAAAATTGTGCAAACATGTTATAAATTGATTAGCTGTCTAAACAGAAGCCTAATCATTGTAACAATTTTTAATTACATACTTTAGATGAGCAATGTTTTATAAACGAATTGATTCTGAACATTTTTAGTAGGGGTTCGGTGAGCGCAACAGGTATTAAATAAAATCGAATGCAACGAGTTTTCTCTGTTTGCATCTGTAAACTGCAGATATCGTTAGCCATTATAGTTATACCCATTAGGGCTAGTGACGCTAAAGCTAAAAAGCTTTTCAGTTAATTAGCATGCTAACCGGTTAGGCATTAGAGAGTTAGAAATAGAAAATAAATAAAAACACGGCAACACAAGCACACCTGTATATGTATTTGGAGTAAAAGTTGGCACTGCCGATAACCTTTTAGAAAGATTTTTGGTATTGGTGCAATGGTCAAAAGCGTAATGTTCTTCAAGGGTTTGTGCAATAAATGGCTGCCAAGTGCTTTATTTTCCCTCAGCTCTTTTAATACTTTTAAAATTAAAGAACCATTAAGTTCATAAACGATGGCTTGTAATGTTTTGTATTCGAAATTATAAGCCTTATTTAAATTTGTTCAGATGAGCAAAAATGTTGTAAAATTGAAATGCTACGCAAATAAATTTTGATGATATTACAAATTACCATTTCAAGGCTTTTTGTAATTGCTGGATAAGAACTGGATTTTGTTGCTTCATAATAAACTTAATACATCTAAACAATAATTTACATTTTTGTAATAACACCATATCTCATTCTATTACGTTGTTTAAACCGAGTGAGCACTGTATTTCTTGGTTTTGTTTTTATCTAGCTTTTACTTGTTAGACGGCTACACTCCCCAATTCCCCTTCCCACTATCTCTTTTTTTTTTTTTTTTTTGTACGCTTTTTGTTACAACTGAAGAGCGGACAGAAGAAGCCGGCTGAAGAAGGAAGCGAAAGAGTGGGAGGGGGACCCAAAAAGTACGCGATCAGCATGAGAGAGTTCATTAACAGTTGAAAGAGAGCGCAGAAATTACACTGCAGTCGTAATTACCCCCTTTTTATTTTGTCCAATCCACAATTTCCTTTTTACTCCGCGTTCTTATTCGCTTACCTGTGCAACTTGTAGATGAAGAGCACCAGGAACGAAATGTATATGAGGGCGACGAAGACCAAAGGCAGCAGAAAGGTGACAATTAGCGGGGTCAAGAAACGATAAAGCCATAGCGAATAGTCCAGATCGATGTAGGAGGCTAAAATTACGAGAATATCCCCAAGATGAATATCAATATTTGTCCGATTACTTAGATCCAATTGTGTTATTACTCACACAGCAGACTTTGCAGCGTCTTGTAGAGGTTCTCCAGGAATTCCATTTCAAGTGCGGTGTTTCATTTGTTATTCTTGCTCAAAAAAGAAAACCAACTGAAGCCACACCACAACAAAAATAAAACAAACAAAAAAAAAAAACAAATCGGTTTGGCCTTATTTTTTACTTTCTTTGCCTCTCTTTGCGCTTCTTGAATTCTTTTGATTCTTCCTGCTCTCTTCTAAGCGGTCATCGTGCACCGTGTGTTAAATTTAAATCATTTATTTGCGCCGCCTTACGTTTTATTTGCATGTTTCATTGTTATTGTTATTCGATGCTATTTGTTGTGGTTTTCTATCAGAACGTAAACAACCGCTCCGCTTACTCGCAAAAAAGACAGCCGCCTCCGTTCGCAGTCAGAAACATTGTGGGCGCGCCGCGCTTTTCGGTTAATAATACTATGAGTAGCGTTTCTTTTATTGTTGTTTCTCCATTTCGCCTTTCTGTTGCTTTTTTTCGTCGGCCCCACTTTCGTGGCACCTGGCAACGTCGGCTCAGCTGTTCGGGGCGCGAGCGTTGCCGGATTTCATCTCTTATCAGAAAGAAAGCACCAATGATGATGTATTGGCTATTTTATAGCCGCTTAAGATGGGGAGGTGAATTAGCTGCATAAGGATGGTGTATTCGCTAACATAGGAGGATACATTCGTTAAGTTGGGATGGTGTCTTAGCTAAGCTATCGATGTTTTGTTTTAAAGGTGACAACGCCACAATAGTTTCCGTTAAACATCGATGACTGCGAAGTATTTAAAAACATCGATGTTTCCATATTTCAGTGTAAGCAAACTCCGTCTCACCACCACCTGGTAACACTGAATCGAGCGGAAATCGGGAGTCGCAGCGCAATCGCATGCAATTTGTTTTGTTATTAATTTTGCAAATAATCTCGGGCTTGGTGCTGCTGCCAATTGTGATCCACTACGTCTATTACATAATAAATGCGATTGCCGGCGACTTGTGCGAGCAAAAGAGAGCGCAACGAGAGCAGCAGCTGCAAAAGAGTCCCAGTCCGCGTCACCCCCCGCCGCCGCCCACCGAGGAAAAGCTTGGGGCTTTCATAAACAATTTGACAAATTCTTTGCGTTCGCCAACAACAATGCAAACAAACGATGACGCCAAGTTTATTAAAAAGTGCGTATGTATGGTTTAGAGCGTGCGTGTGTGTGCGTATTTGTTTGTTTTTTGCGTGGGTGTACAAGTGGCAGAACAAAAGAAATAGCAAAAAAAAAAAAAAAAAAACACCGTCATACGTCAGAAAGAGAGCCGAAATCACCTTGCCTCTGCTCGTTATTGATTTTCCATTTTGCCTTTACGTTTCCCCGTTGTCATTAATAATAGTTTTTGTTTGTTGAGTTTGAATGGTCCTTTGATATTTTATTCATAAAGGCATAAATTAAAGAACCCAAATGTAGAATCACTTCGTTTGGAGTGGAGTGTAACCAATAGCAGTACTATTACCTCATTACGCATTGACCCGCATAATTTATGATTGATCCAACAAATTGTTCGTTCTTAATCCATACAAAAACCAAAACAACCAGGAGGTGGAAAGGCGGATCCATCGAACCGCATCCCACGGATAAGGCGCTGATTGTCAACTACCAATTGGAGGCCACCGTCTTCGGGGAGCCCAACAATCCGATGATCGAGGAGAAGAAGGTGAGAATATACAAGATGCTTGGGTGCACTGAAATAAAGTTGAAGAATTAAAAGCAAAACACAAAACCAATATTGGTTCAGGAAATATATATATGTACAACAAAGTTAGGTCAATTATTACAGAAAAATAAATTTAAGGAAATTTTAAAACTAAAATTATAGTCTGAGTGTTACAATTAACTAGAGTAACAAACTAGGAAAACAATTAAAATTAAATCATGACAAATTTTGAATGTCTGGAAATTTTTGCAGAGGACAAAAATAAGGTATTAAGTAAGCCAGTTCTATAAATATAAATATAAAGCCACACACCGTTACTTTTAGAATATTTCATTTTATTCTTACTTTTGATCCATAACTTATGAATTTAAACTTCTTGATCTTATAAGACAGGATTTTTTCTCTGTGCACCACCTGAAAGGGTTAGGGGGCGGGGGCAGTGGCTGACATTGAGCAGGCCAATCGATAACGCAACAACGGGGTCGATGACGGGTCGCGCTCAAGTATCGAGTAGTGAGTAACGATGCCCAAAAGCAGTTGGCGGGTCTTCAACCTCAATTCACGTTTTCAGGCCTTTTTTCGCTCTTTTTCGTTGGTTGTTCACTACCATAAATAAATAGTAAGTCTTTTTTGTTGCTTATTTGCCAGAAATCTTGGCGACCGTAAAATTTTTTACTTTAAATCTGATGCGGTCATATGAATGAATGTGTATATACATAAGTGCCCACTGAAATATTCCCAAACTATTTCCTGAGTTTTAAACTATCTCAGACGTTGATTTAAACATCTTTAAAAGCTTTAGAAAATTAATTATGTATACTCAAAAATTCTAAGCATTAATATTTGGAGGGCATCTTGTAGTGGTTTTAATGATTGAGTTAAGTAAAGCTTGACTTACATAAAAAAAAAAGGCATCTTGTTTGTAGTGGTTTTAATAATTGAGTTAAGTAAAGCTTGACTTACATTAAAAAAGGCGTCTAATTAATTTGTATTATTTTTATGAAAATTAATATTTAAAATATTATTTTCGATAGCAAATCTTAAATAATTGGGACCTTCAAAATATCCGGAAAAAGAAATATTTTAATAAGATAATAAGAACTAGTTATACGTTAATTTCTGTTTAAATAGGAGGTAAATAAGAGCGACGTATCAGAAATGTTGGATTACTTGTGGATTATTATTGGCCTTACTTATTAAGACGATCCTAATAGATTACATTTTTTCAATTCCTTAAGCACTGTCAAAAAATCATTCGACTGCGCTCGTTGAACGCAAAAACAGATCCGGCGGCATTAGCTCGCGAGGTGGTGGAAAAGTGCGACCTCATCCACAAGTCGCAGCTGAATGACGTTGAGCAGATCATCTTCTACCTGAAGAATCGCAAGGACAATGCCAGCAATGGTAATGAATCATTCAAAACCCCAATTGTTCTAAACAAGATAACTAATTAAGTAAACTTCAATTAGATATTCCGGACAACAACACTCACACCCGGCGATCGGCGGCGCTGCACACCTCGCACACCCGGTCCTCAGCCCGATCGCACAGCAGTGTGGCGGCGATGAGCAGCAGCACTGGGAGCGCAGCGGGATCCACAGGAGCCACCAACGGTGGGTCGAATGCCCTGAGTGCCGCCACGCCCACGGCGGATGTGTCCATCAACAACATCGATGAGTACGTGGAACTGTTGTACGAGGAGCTGGGCGAACGCATCCGGGGCTCGGCCATGATTCTCCAGATGGCGCGCAACCCGGATAATCTTGAGGAGCTGGAAAAGAATGGTGGGAAGGAGGAAGAAGCTAAAGTGAAACTTTGCTCATGAATATATTTGACTATTTTAGAAGCCTGCCTCAGCGCCTTGTCGCGTGTTCTCCGCGAGGATTGGCGCAAATCCTTGGATCTCTCCACCAACATAATCTACATCTTCTTCTGCTTCTCCACCTACACCAAGTTCCATCCACTTATAGTGCAATACAAGGTGGGTCTACCCTTGTGGTTAAATCTAAAAAACATATATAAATCATGTTAAAGAAAAATTGAGAAGGTGAATTTAGGTAAACAAAGCTAATGACGAACTATCGCAATGGCACTGAGTCATTTTAAATTGCAACTGGTATTTTGAAAAGGAAGGAAAAGATTGATTTTACCTCTACCCAAAGCACTTGACTTTGTTTTCAACTCTGATTAAAGCTTGCAAAGGTTTAAAAGCATTAAACTTTTAGTTTCCTGCCCACAAATAAGTCTTGCATTAATGTCTTCGAAGTGTGTTAAGCTATTTAATCCTAATTACTATTCAACATGCATTAGATTGGATCACTGTGCATGGACGTGATCGACTACGAGCTGCGTCGCTACGAAACGATGCGGAACGAGCTGGATGTGCGCAAGCAGCCCAACGGATCCTCCACTCCGCACTCGGCGAAGGCCAGCAAGGAGAAGCTGAACCGCAGCACCGACGACTTCCTAGACATCATGAACGAGGAGAAGCCCAAGGAGGTACGTTGTCGATTTATGCTTTGAAAGAGTCAAATAATTGATTGGGTCACTTGCAGATGGAACCTCCACGCCGTCGCATTCCGGAGCTGAAGCAGCGGCCCAAGTCGGGCAACTGGAGCAGCTTCCACGGCTCCATGTCGTCGTCGCTGATCAAGAGCCAGATCCTGAACAGCAGCTACCATGAGGCGCTCTGCGCCGGCGGCTCCCCTGCCGGCGATCCTCCGGCCGTGCCCGCTGAGTTCAAGGCCCAGAGCAACGAGTCGCTGGACAGGAACGATCCCAAGGTCAAGAAGGAGGAAATCGACCGGCTGAACAAGCAGCTGAAGATCTTCGCCAAGAAGCAGGAGCAGCTGCTGCGCGTGGCCTTCTACCTGCTGCTGAACATGGCCGAGAACGTGAAGCTGGAGGAGAAGATGCGCCGCAAGCACATTGTCAAGATGCTGGTCAAGGCGCTGGATCGCCAGAACATCGATCTCCTGATGCTCGTCAGCACGTTCCTCAAGAAGCTGTCCATCGTGGGCGACAACAAGGACGAGATGGGCGCGCTAAACATCGTGGCCAAGCTGCCGCGATTGTTCCAGAGCACGCACACGGATCTGGTGCAGGTCACCTTGAAGCTGGTCTTCAATCTCTCCTTCGACGGCGGCCTGCGTCGCAAGATGATCGCCGCCGGCTACCTGCCCATGCTGGTGATGTTCATCAACGATGAGAAGCACCACGGCATCGCCGTCAAAATCCTCTACCACATGAGCCTGGACGACAAGGTGAAGGGGATGTTCACGCAAACGGAGTGCGTGCAAATGGCCACCGACGCCATAATCCTCAACCTGAATGTCAAGGTCGATCTCGATCTCATTGCCCTGTGCATCAATCTCTCGCTGAACCGCCGCAACGCCCAGATCATGGTGGAGGGCCAACGGCTGCACAGCCTGATGGATCGGGCCTTCAAGTACCAGGACGCCCTGCTGATGAAGCTGCTGCGGAATCTCTCGCAGCACGAGTCCCTGCAGCTGCAGTTCATCGACTATGTGGGCGATCTGGCGCGCATCTTGACCATCTGCGACGACGAGGCGTTCATCGTGGAGTGCCTGGGCATCTTGGGCAACCTGGCCCTCACCGACTTGGACTACTCGCAGATCCTGCAGAACTTCCAGCTGATTCCCTGGATCCGGCAGCTCCTGGTGCCCTGCTCCCGCATGGACGACCTTGTGCTGGACACGATTGTTTACCTGGGCACCTGTGCCTGCGACGAGCTGTGCGCCCTGCTCTTCTGCCGCGCCAAGGTGGTCATTTCGCTGATCGAGCTGCTGAAGGCCAAGCAGGAGGACGACGAGATCGTGCTTCAGATCATCTTCGTGTTCCAGCAGATCCTGCGGCACGAGAGCACCAGGGAGTACATGATCAAGGAGACGGAGTCGCCCGCCTATCTGATCGATCTGATGCACGACAAGAACGAGGAGATCCGCAAGGTGTGCGACTACTGCTTGGACATAATCGCCATAAGTGACAGCGAGTGGGCCAAGCGCATCAAGGTAAGTGGGTCGCCATTTGCCATTTGCATTATGGCCATGCTGGGTGAACCTGTTTTGTAATTTACTCATGGATCCGTTCCCATGACAGCTGGAAAAGTTCCGCAACCACAACTCGCAGTGGCTCTGCATGGTGGAGTCGCAGCAGGACCAGGACAACGAGCAGGACTACGCCGATCAGGAGGACGAGTGCGACAACGACCTGGACACGTACCTGCGCTCCGAGTACTTGGACAACTGCGATCTCTACAACCACGACAACGCTGACAACGACAGCAACAGCAACAGCAACCACAGCAATAACAATCCGGCCAGCCCGGCCATGTCCACCTACAGCAGGCCACTTAGCACGTGAGTCCCAGTTGAAATCCCCTCTTGCATTGAACCCAAATCTAATCTAAATAATTGCTTTGCCGCAGCTATCGCCGCAGCCAGGACCTCGACGACCTGTATAACATGACCTCCAGTTCGAAGTCGCAGGGCTCCAGCGACAACAACTTCATGTTCAAGTCGAACAAGTCCCTGGATGCCGACGGCCTGCACGAGGAGCTGCTAATGGCCTAGTGCAGAAAAAGAAGAGAAGACAGGCGGGCGGTGAACCGAGCCGAACCGAACCGATCAAATTTTTATTAAGAAGCTTCTGCTGATGCCGATGAACCCGTGTACATGTTTAGTCACTACCTAATTACGACCTTCTGCTACGATTTATAGAACATATATATATATATATACGATACTTTCACGCTTGTTAGTCAAAGACGTTAAATGATTTTAGCGACGCGGCAACTTTGTACTCAAGACATTCAAGTCGAGCAACGGCGCACAGTTACAAATTTAACTTTAGTTCGGTTACTTTTTACTTACTTACTCATTACGGATTACGTATTAATTGTGTTTTTGTTATTTATTAATTTATTGAGGCCTTGTATTAGTACTATTTATCGCTTAGCTTCTCCTCGGTTGCTTGCAATGCAATTACTGTGCAATAATCTCTGACTCAAAGTATTACGTCGAACGTTTTTAGTTGTACTCGCTTTTAGTTTTAAAACCGATCCTTTATTTTTTTGGTTGTTTATTGCATACCTTACGAACGAAAGTCAAATTGTAATATTAAAGACGGGCAAAAAATGGACAAAATGAAACCCCGACAAAATATATACAAAGCTAATGTAAATGTTTACAAACTTTGTTTTCGTTTCTATCTGGTATTTCAAAAGGTAAGTTTAAATAATTTCTTGAATCCAAAGAAGTTTCTACTCGTTGCACTTTTACAGAATATAATAATTCTCCAAACTTGTTGAATGTACAGATGAACCTCCCTAAAAACTGCAGTGAAATAATCAGTGGAGCAATTCGAAATTGGTTTTTTATTTTGTGTTACACAATAAGGAATATTAAGTTGCAGTTCGTTTCCGAAACATACTTATGACAGTGGCTAGACCGATCCGATAAACATGCATTATCTATGTACGTGTATATATAAATAGAAGAATATGTTCTCTAGTTCACTATATATCATGGATATCCATAAGGCGAGGCCTCCTAGCGTTCAATGTTAACCTAAAACTAGATCCCCTCTTCAGCATTGGCATTCCCCTTCGCCGTCGATTCCTCCTTCTCCGGATCGCCGTGACTCCGTGAGTGCACACGGGTTGGGTTGGATTGGATTATGTCTCGTCTGCCGCAGTTCTTAACTTAGCCTAGGGTTCAACGAATTTTTACACAAACATCCGACAGAGATACACATATAAATATAGAAAATCTCGAATGGAGGAGTGGGATAGGTAGGTGTGCCTACAACACAACAAAGCGCTAAAGAACTCTACAAAGACGGCGGCCACCTAACCCCACCAACCCCGGACGAGTAACGCTAGTCCAGGTAGTCCATGGTCTTGATGAACTTCACCACGGAGCCGAAGAGCGTCCAGTAAAACTCGTCCTCGCCCTCGAGCTTCTTGCCCAGGAAGCAGCTGATGTACTCCACGGTGGACAGCAGATAGGGGGGGTTGGCCTGCAAAGTAGAGTACGAATACCCAATTAGTCGGAATTAGTGGAATACATTCCTTGGAACACTCACCATTATCACTACGTATATGAGAACGGGCAGCAGATCATCCGCCGCGGGCACGCGACCACTGGACATTCGCAGCAGGCTCATGATGCTCGAGATGCAGCTGGTAAGATTCAATGGTTAGTTAAGCAAACACTGCTATGGATATGTATGTCCTTCACCCACTTGATGATGCACTGCAGCTTCTCGCGCGGCGTCTTGTAGGCGGCCATGTAGCACAGCTGCTGTTGGGCAAACGTCCAGGGAGCCTCGCCCAAGTATTCCTGGGCGATGCGCAGCGCCGGATGCGCTGGATGCACGAACCGCTGCAGCTTGCCGATGTGCGCGGAGAGCACCTCGTCGCGCGACACGTCCGCGTCCTCGTTGGGGAACATCACCTGCTCGTACATCTGCTCCAGCAGCATGCGCTCGATGGCCACGCGCGCGGCGCTCACCTGCCACTCGTCCTGCAGGTCGGCGCTGGAGCGCAGCTCCTGCAGCAGCGACTCCACGAACTCCTCGGTGAGCTCCACGCGCTCGTCGCTGGCGCTCAGCTGGCCGAACTCGGCCTGGAACTGCTCCAGCTTCTCCTGCTGGCGCGCCCACGCCAAGTACATCCTGACCAGCGCCTGCAGCAAGCACCGCTGACTGCTGCGCGCCTCGCCGCGCAGCCGCGCCTCCAGGTGCTCCAGCTGCTCCGATCGGAGCAGCAGCTGCTGCCGGTGGCGCATCAGGTACTGCAGGTAGCTCTGCCGCCGCTCCAGGTCCCGCTGCAGCTCCGCCAGCAGCTGGCCGTGCTGCGGTCGCTCCAGCTGCGCCAGGCAGCGCAGCGCCTCCGCCACGTGCGAGATCTGCGGCAGGCGCTGCAGGCTGATGCACTGCGCCAGCTGGATCTGCAGGTAGATCTGCAGCGGCGTCGCCATCGTTGGGCTCGTGGTCGAGGTCTGCCGGAAGTCGCCGCTGTGCAAATCCGTTCGGGAGAGCACCGTCCGGAGCTTCTGCTTCACGCTGGCGAAGGCCACGCCAGGGATTTGCCTAAAAAGCAGAGCAAAATGAGTTAACCCCTTATTGGAGTGATTTGGCGAAGATCCTGTTCACTCACCCTCCATTCATATGCTTGTGGAGGTGGACAGCCGCTCCGTCGGAGCCCGTCAACACGCCTCCTCCTCCGCCTCCGCCGCCGTTGCCCGTGGAATCCGAGTTGGTGGCCTCGCTGGAGCTGCTCACCTTGCGACGGTACTTGGCCAGGATGTCCTCGCTCGTATCACAGTAGTGGGTGCCGAAGTTGTCGCATCCGGCGCTCGGATCAAAGCTAACGCTGCGATTGTCCGTCTGCGGGTTGGAGCTGACCACCATGGGCGAATTGGCGCTGCTCTGGTTCTTGGCACTCGTCCCTCGCCGGTTCTTGAAGATGCCCTGCTTCAGCTTGTTGAAAATTCCAGCGCCGTGGTGGTCACGCTCGCGTTCCCGCTCCCGATCTCGCTCCCGATCCCGATCCCGCTCGCGATCTCTTTCCCGATCGCGTTCCCGATCCCGATCCCGCTCCCGATCTCGCTCGCGATCCCTGTCCCTGTCGCGGTGGTAGGGCTGCTTCTCCTTGTCCGCACTGGCATCGAAGCTGATGCTCTTTGGTATGGCGCCGGTGGCCTTGGCGGGCGGCTTCAGGCCCGATCCTCCTGCGCCGCCGGAGGCCTCTGTTTCCGGCCTCAAGTTGCCGGATCCCCGTCGCTCCTCCAGCTGCAGCTGTTGGGTCTGCACGCACAGCAGCATCTCCTGCTTGTCGTCATCCGTTTTGGGCAGCATGGAGTTTAGCATGATCTCGTGGTTCTCGTAGTTGAGGCTCTGGTGGCGCCGCATGCTGCCCGCCAGGATGCCGTTCCGCCGCCCGTCTATGATGGCCGAGCGTTGCTCGATGGAAATGCGCCGGTGCTCCACATTCGGCGTTGAGCTACCAGCTCCAGCTCCTCCTCCGCCGACCTGTTCGTCCTGGCTAATCATGTCCAGCACCTGCTGAACCAAGCCGGGCGGCTGATCCAGCTCCTTGCTCCTCGCCAGCTCCTCCTTGTCCTCGCTGCAGTCGCTGAAGTCGATGAGGTCGCGGTGCTCCTTCTCGTGCTGCTGGTGCTTCTTCTTCTTCAGAGCAGATCGCTCCCGCTCCCGCTCGCGGTGGTGGTGATGATGGTCGCGATGGTGGTGCTCCCGGTGGTGGTGGTGGTGCTTGCCCATCGGCGCCGGCGGCTCCTCGAGGTTCAGGCTCTGGTTGCTGATGCTGCTCTCCGCCGAAGTTTGCCGGCGCATGCAGGAGGTGCCCATGAGCGGCGTGGTCTTCCGCCCACTGGAGTCCGCTCCGCTGCACTTGTACTGCTGCTGGAAGCTGCTCTCGCCGCCCAGCACATGGTAGCTGGTCCGCACCGAGCTCCTGGCCAGCGACGAGGCGCCCTGGTAGAGATTGGCGTCCTCGTACGAGTTCACCGCATCGAAGAAGGCCGAGTCCTCCTGGCTGCGTTCGCTGCCGTTGCCCCGATCCCGATCCGGATCCGGTTCCCCGTCGCCACTGCTGCCTGGGGTCTGCTCGTCCTCGTCGTCGTCGTCGTCGCCCAGAACCGCCGCCTGCGGTGCCGCCGTATCAGATTTGGCCGTGATGGAGACATTGTCGTCCGTGTCGATTTCGGCCAGCTTCTCCGAGTCGCTGGCCAGGACGTCGGTGCTCCAGTTGCTCTCCGACCGCTGGTCCGAGGCATCCAGCTGGGGACCGTGCACGCCCGGCACGCGACCAGCCCGAGCCAGTGCCTCCACCACGAAGTTATTGTCGCCTGGCAGGACCACGGCGGAGGGTATCAGCGGCGTGGAGAAGTTCCTGTCCCTGTCGCCGCGCTCGCTCACGGTGGCGTCCAGGGTGTTCTCCGAGTCCGAGGCCAGCACATCCGTGGACCAGGTGTCCGAAATGATGCTCACGTTCTCGTCCCCCTCGAACTTCTTCAGCTCGAACTTGCAGAACTTGTCCTCGATGTCCGACCTGGCCTTGGAGAGCAGCATCTTCTGCATCTGGGGATTGGCGGCCGCCCGGGCATGGACACCGTGGTGGTGGGCCAGGTCCCCGCCAGCGCCATCGCCGTCGGTCACCTGCGAGGAGGGTGTGTCCCGGCCACTGATATTGGGCGTTCCACGGCCCGAAACGTTTGCCGATACCATGTCGGACAGGTTGTCCTCGTTCTCGTGGACATCGCGCTCCTGCTGCTCCTCCAGGTCCAGCGAACTGGCCACCGAGTGCGCTGCCTCGCTAATGGCCTCCAGGTTGTCCGAGTTCCCGATCGAGGCATCGTCCTGCGGCCTCCGCATCGCCTCCAGACTGCTCACATCGTCGTTGTTCGAGGACGGCGCCAAGGGAGCCGTGGTGACCACCGCTGGCAGGAGATTGCTGCCGTCCTGACCGATGCAGTTCATCTTGAGCACCTCCTCCTCCGTCAGGGGCTTCAGCTTGTTCTTGGCTGCCGCGTTGTAGATGCTGAACACCAACACGGGCTCGGAGCAGGAGGACAGGTCCAGGGGATCGTTGACGATCGGTATGATCGGTATGACCGGTATGTTGGCTCCGCAGGAACTCAGGCTGGTGTTGCTGCCGCTGTGCGAGGAGCTTTGTTCGAGTTCACCGCCGCCGCCGCCGCTGCCGTTCGAGGTGTTCGCCTGGCCATTGGTGAGGAGGGGCTCCACTGGCGGCGGAGGATTGTGGTGGTTGCTGGCGCTGCCGCTGCTGAAGCTCATGCCCTTGGCCAGCTTCTTTTTGGTGGCTTTGCCCAGACTCATCAGACTCTTGTTGCTCTTTTTGCTCTTCTCGGGACTCTCTCGGGAAACATCTGGGACATCCGGTGGAACGTGCTGCTGCTGCTGCTGTTGCTGCTTGGGTATCCTGCTGAGAATCCGCTGCAATCGCTGACGCTCCTCGGCGGATATGTCGTACTCCTCGCGAGCGGTCAGCAGGCGAAAGAACTCCACCAGCTGCGCCAGTTCCCTTTGGTTGATCGCCAGCTGGGAGCGCTCGAAGTCGCTCTGTTGCGGCAGAATGGCCACCACGTCCTCGCCAGTCTGACCCAGCATCAGCAGCTCCATGAGCTGCACCAGCTCGCTGTCCTCGTCGTTCAGCGCCAGCCGCTGGAGCAGTCTCACGATCTGGTTGAGGTTGTGCCGCATGCGTTCGCTCACATTGACGTCGATGATTCCCAGCAGATCGGCACTCGCAATCGCTGGCGAAATAAAGTGTGTGAATACTAGATCGGTGAGCAGCTGCCGGATCTCCTGCTCCTCGTGCCGCAGCGACTGGCGGAGCTGCTGGCTCAGCGTCTGGAGCAGCCATCTCAGAGAGCTTGGAAAGAGGGCCCAGCTCTGCTGCAGACTCTTCACAAAGTGCTGGACATGTGAGTGCAGTTTGCCCAGCGTTTCCGCATGGAACCTGGAAACGTTCCGCTGGTACTCGTCATCGCCTTCGCGGCCAAAGCGTTTCTCCCTCTCCTTTGGCGTAAAGGTCTGCATCAGCTTGTGCGGATCGAGGTCCAGCCAGACCTCGTGCTCACTTAGCACGCCCATCAGGGGGGCGTGCAGGGCGGCGGTTAGGAATATTCTCGCCGAGAACAAGCTCTCCACCAGGCGCTGATACAGCCGAGCAAAGGAGCTGCTGTTGGTCCGCAACAAACGCCTGGGCTGTTCGCTGGTCAGCAATTGGATTTCAATTAGTTCCCGCAGCAACTTGAGCAGCAGCTCCACGTCCTTGGTGTTGATGGCATTGCCATAAAGACCCGCGGCAATGGTGTTGATAATTTGGCCAAGTTGGCTGGGCGAAAGCAGGGACAAGCGATCTGCGGTGGCCAGGGAAAGGGCCAACAAATAGGGTGTATTGTACAGGTAGTTGAACAGGTCCTCGTAGGCCAACGCGTGCTGCAAACGAGAATAGTTTTGCTATCAGTCCATTGTAGTAAGTATTATTGCAATCCTTACCTCGTAGGGCAGCAACTGCTTGGCGTCCACGAACTGGGCACTGTCGTAGGCACTCGCTCTGCGGCAGGAGAGCAAGGGATCGTGATCCGTACGCGCTAGAAGCAGCTCATTGAGGATCTGTCGCTGCTGGGCACACACAAAGGCCAACTGGGAAAGGTAGGAGTATTAGAAGCTATTGCAGTCACGAATCCCAAGAACCCACCTTGGTTATGGTCCCTGCATTGGTTTCCAACGCCCCTGTGAGGTGGGCAAAGGCCGCCTGTTCCTGCTGGATGAAGAGCTGCTCCTGGCGAAGGGTGCGGGCCAGGTCCATGATCTCCAGCAGATTGCCAGCAGCTGGGGGCTCCATGGTGCAGCCGTTGCTGGCTGAAGACCAAAAGAAGACAAATTTGATTTGGTTAAAATGGCACAAACAAAAGATTACAAATTCTACTTTGGATTCATGAACTAAAGCTTAAAGTTTAAATTTTAAATATTACCATACTACAAACAAAAAGTATTTGTTTGTTTTATTATGCATTCTATACACTGGTAATCCTGATTATCAAGTCGCAAAAAGCACGCTTGACAAATGCGTAGTATTTTTTCCTTTCACACATTTTATTCGACTTATTTCCTCATTTCAAGTATTTATCAATTTCCGGAAATATTTCTTAAATTTAAGCTTGTCCCGCAGTTGACTTTTTTATGTTAAATTGCTTATGCAAATTTTATTTTATTCTTCTATTTTATAAAAGTCTGAAGCCTTTATTGTGTTAAGTCATATTTCCTGACATTTCAATTGAGATTTAAGAATATATTTTATTCCGTTACTCTTAGAGTAAAATTCTAGAATAACATTTTTGTTGTAATTGTAATAAATACGCAGAGATATCGTTGTTTAAAAATTGACACGCCTACTTTTGTACGCATAAGCCTATCTAGCTTTTACTGTCTGTATGGACGCTGAGATTGAAAAGTTATTACGCCCATTGACATCTAATTAACGAGTATCTGATTGTCGATCCACTTGACTATAGCGTTCTGAGTTGTTTATTCTCAATTGCAAACGTTTTCCCATCCGCTTTTCACATTTTCCACTGTCTGTAGAACTGCGCAATGTAGGAATTTAAATAGCTTTGCATTATTAATGGGACTGTGTGACATTTGATATCAGTTTGTTACTGGCCTCAAATAGATCCCAAGCTGTCAACTAGTTCAATGGCTGGGCGCCAGTTAATTAATGAACATACATAAATATTTAACATTTAATGGATGGCAATGGGTAGTTTAAAGTGTATTTTAAAAGTGTCTGAAAAGAACTTATTTACATATAAGCAATTTTTTAAAAATAAGATTAGAAATAGGTGTGTATATTCTCACTATGGCTTTTAAAAAGTCCCAATTATACAAACATGCATAAAAGTCGAACCAAAACGAAGCAAAACACCACTGGGTGGAAAGCAAATCAGGTCACTAAAAAGTGGGTGATTGTGTGTACAATAATCGTGATCAAGTCATTTGAACTACGCTGAAATTGTCTCTGTACCCTGGCCCTATTTCCTAATTTTGTTTGTAACGTCTGTGACGTCTGAAATCGCATGGGAAACGCATCACGCGGTTAGCTCTAATTGGGATCTCCTATATACCGTGTGTAATGGCTACTTTAAAATAATTTAAAGCTTCTCATTTAACGGAATTCAAATGTTTTTAACCCAATTTTGTTACAAATAAACCACGCGATTGTAATTGATTTCTACCATGTATTTAAGAATTTTTTTTAAATTTTTATAAGGGCACTTTTTTTTACATATGTATGTACATATATAATCGATCTCGACTGTTTGAAAAAACAAAGAAGAGAGAGAGAAGTGTTTTGCTAATGCTTCCTTTAAATTCGCATTTAGATGTAGGAATGACTTAAAAGCAGCGTGAACAATGGTTTTGTTTGTAACCATGGTTTCGATTTCAGTGCCTCGGTTTTTGGTTTTATTTTGTTTTGTTTTTAGGCCTTGGTCAAGGGCAGACGTCAATTACGAAAGCCAATGCCCTGTCACTCAGCTTTCCATCTCGCTTGCTCACTAAAGGGAGGGACGAGACAGGGAGGAGACAGCAACAAATATTTGCGCCTCAATTAACGGCTATTTGTAATGCAGGTACAGTGGTGAGCAAACTTAAAACTATTTCACCAGAAACCCAATGCTATTTTTTATTATAACGGAAACTGTTAGACAAATACATATGAAATATTATATGAACGCCTTGCCTTGCCTTCGAAACTAAACATACAAAATTGTCATAATGTTTAAAATTGTTTGTGAATGAAGCCACCTGATATGTCCTTTAATGAATATTTAATTCCGATTGGGATTGCCGAATAAGTTGCGCATTCAAATAAGTTTAAAATTCACTGAGAAAATAAGACAGCTGTCCGTTTAGCACTATTATTTTAGCCACAGCTGTTGCATTATGAGCAGTTTAATTTACTTTAAATTTTATCTTATCGATAAGTGTGTGAAAGTCTTTGGGCTTCTCTTAAGATAAACAATGGGTCATACGTGGGAATATTGTTTATTGGCGGTGACTGTTATTGCACATATGTAAGTATGAATAGGGAACAAAAAAGAAACGGTGTGGAATGTGCAAAACGAGAAAAGCAAAACTGATTTGTTGCGATCATTACACACACACTGGGAATTGGGGGTGGATTTGCATTTGCAGTTGTGTGGGAGCTTTAATAGTTTGGTTTATTTGGTTATTTGTTGTGCCAAGCACTCAAAATAATACAGCGAATTACTGTAGAATTTCACAAAAACACTAAAAAAAAATCAAGTAACAAAAATGAAAAGTAAAACCAAAACGTAGGTCCGTTATGTGGGCGCTGATTGCACGAGTGTGTGTGTGCAAGCGAGAGGGGACTAGCAATAGACGAAGGCCAAAATGTTATTGTTGTTTCTGTTCCTTCATCTCTTCCCTTCGCCTTTCACTTCTCCTTCTCTTTCGCCGCCCCCTTTTCGTTATTGTTTTTTTATGAATGAAAGCTTGGTTTAAAAACAATTTTTTAAGTGTTACACACTTATGCACCCACACAGCAACAACACAATTGCGCACTCACTATAATTAAATTGGTTCTCGTTTTTTCACTAATTTTTACTTACTCCTGCTTCTGTGCTAAAACCGAATTTAAATTATAGTGCATAAACAAACGGAACGGGAAAATAAATAAATTATCACACGGGCAAAACACACACACGCGTCTCCAGGAAAACAACAAAAACAATTAAGTGCTATCGACTTGTGCTCCATTTATCGATAATTCGTGCTCGATAGGCGTGCTTGGCGTTTTTCAACACTTTCATGTGTCGTCGCTAGGGGACAGCTGTTCGTTTCACTTCACAATTAATTTTCAAGATTTTAATGAGATTTGTGCGTTGAAAGCTACATTTATACGTCCTAAATTGATTATTTAAAATGCCCAAGGTGCGGCGCAGTCGAAAACCCCCACCAGATGGTTGGGAACTGATCGAACCCACTCTAGAGGAACTGGAGCAAAAAATGCGCGAAGGTAAAAGAAGCGTGGCTTTTTCGGAAAATAATGTAAAACTAGCAAATTATCATATTTTTTTTAAACAGCCGAAACGGAACCGCATGAGGGAAAACGCATAACGGAATCGTTGTGGCCCATTTTCAAGATCCATCACCAGAAGACTCGTTACATATACGATCTGTTCTACCGCCGAAAGGCCATTAGCCGGGAACTGTACGACTATTGTCTCAAGGAGAAGATCGCCGATGGCAATTTGATCGCCAAGTGGAAGAAGTCCGGGTACGAGAACCTCTGCTGCCTTCGCTGCATCCAGACGAGAGACACCAATTTCGGGACGAACTGTATCTGCCGGGTGCCAAAATCCAAACTGGAGGAGGGTCGTATTGTCGAGTGCGTTCACTGCGGATGTCGCGGTTGTTCCGGATAGGTCTCTAAAATGATTCAATATATTTCCTTTACATGTCACATTTCATCCTCACACAACGTAGTTCAGTAGGTTCCAATATAGATTCCCCCTGGTTTTACCTTAGTATGTAAATACATTTTATAACAAACCGCGACCACATTTTAAATTTAGCAAAACATTGTAAAGCCGCTGGAATAAATCGATTTTGTAACTGACAAGATGCCAAAATGAATAATGTCAGAAATATCCTCAAAATAGAGGCCTTGAAAAGTTCAGTAGGTAATGTTGAATATGCTTTATATTCAGGTATAGTTTTATGTAAGAGGATCATTTTTTTTGTAATCGTAGAAAAAATAAATATTATTTAAGACAAGCTACAGTGTTTTCATCCTTGGACAAAAATCTTCAAGGATTAGTAGAGAACATTGGTGTCTCAAACATGTTAATTCAAAACTTGAAACATCCTTAAATCCCCAGATTTATATTAATCGTGGTGGAAGTAGCTAATACATAAATTTATATTGCTGAATTTCTTTATTAGTTAGCCTCGAGCTCAAAAAAGATAAGTTTGAATGATAAACTGAAAATAAAGCTAAAATTTCGCATTTCACTGAATTACTAAAATTTGCAAAGTTTGTGTATCTAGAGGAAGAAATTGAGAAGAATTAATAAGTACAATAATAAAAGTGAATACCATTTTTTTTAACCAATTATACTTAGCATTAAGATCTTTTATTTTAAAAGTAGCGATCTAGTTTTGCAACTCCGTCTAAAGAGCACATATTTATAGACTATTTCTATAAATATAAATAGGAAAGGACCAGTTTGGTTCAGTGCTAAACTGTTTTTCTTTATTTTGGACATCATCATTGAGGGGCTTACTCTAGTGGCTCTTATAATAGTGAAATTGAAATTTATACGTCCTCCTAATGCCTTTTCCGCAGTTTTTCTTTACCCGATATCTAATATACATAGATTTTAATTTAATGCCCTGGACAATTTATTGCTGCGCTGACATAATTCAAACTCAATGTCGTTTTGGTATGTGGGATGCGGCGAAGTCTCCTTCATGTGCGTGTATTTATGGGCGCTGGCTCCTCGATTTATAATGTCCTCGCCGAGGGTATTACGTTTTGAATTGGACAGCGATGGGAATCGAACCAAGAACCTTATATCCATTAAAGGCGAGGTTTCTATCTAAACAACAATAATAATTTCCATTTTAGATTTTTCGGGCTTATGATATCTGAATATACATAGATATTAAATTTAGAATTATGTATGTTAATGGACAGTTTGAATATTTAATGTTTTATTCCACATCCTTAACAAAAAAGGAAACTTTTAGGGTATCCTAGCCATCGGTATTTATTTCTTCTCCTATTTTATTTCACTTTCCCTCGAGCTGGAAACTTGTCAGGCTTCAAGTGTTCCTGCGGGGTTTTTGGTAGCAATAGTGGGAGTGGGGGAAGGTCAACTGGGATTTGCTTGAAAATGATTATAAATGGTTTTTTAATTATATTTGTCTGCATATTTTCTCATTTGCCACCCAAACGCAGTCGTCGATTTTATTGTCCACATGAAAAATTGATAATGGTGAATGGAAAATTGGAAAAACGGAAAATTATTGTCCGTCTGCCGCTGACAGCTTGCCCCCAGCTGGCTGACCGAGAGATTTCGAGTTAAAACTGCTTTCGGCCACTAAAAATACTCAATTGTTTTGCCAATTACCCAGCGGAGTTATTTATGCGATTTTTGTAATTCGACGAGTGTCGCATGTGGTGTGCGAATTAAATAATGTCTGACATATGGCGATTATCCAGCGGAGTAAATATTATATTACGAACTGAGAAAAATAAAACTGGAAACTAAAGGGGTTAACGCTTTTACGAAATGTATACAATGTTCTGTTCTTTTTACTACATTTGTAGTTTTAGGAATAAGTGAGGTTTTCAACAGGAATAATTATTATATATTGTTTTGTTATGCAAGTTATGCTGTCTTATGTATTTTTATGTGAACTTCAAGAAATTATAAACTTGCACTTACTAGATTTTCATTTGAATCGCATTAAAGGCTGCCTTAAAACTTGGTAAAGTGTTTTCGTACTCGAAATCTGTGAAAAAGAACCCCTTGAATATAATTTCCAGCTTCCAACAAGCTTCCTACACACTCACTATATATTGAAACACTTTACTACCGATTACTACTTACTAGCACAGAATAAATTTTAGATTTACTATAAAATCCGTCAATGGGTGCGGCCTTTTCTTCGTTGATTTCGGGACTGACGTCCCCCCCTTCATCTGACTTGGAATCGGAAACCTCAGAGTCATGGATGTCCTTCGACTCCGAGCTGTGTGCGGATGAGTCATTCTCCAGTCCAGAGTCCGTATACTATTCTCCAGTGGTTTCCTGCACCTTCGATTCTTCAAATCTCCGCCAAGATGAACCTGTAGATTCCGAACAGACCAACCGTGGATTTGCTACTGATTCTCCGGATTTGGTCAAAGCAACTCCCAATGACTGCCAGGTACTCCTTTATCCAGTTCCAGAATTTAAAGCATCCTCCGCCGATTCATTGGACATGGACATTGGACATATTGCAAGACTAAGGGAGAGCGCCAGCTCCCAAAAATGTTCCAGTTCCAGTAGTTATTCTATCGGAGATCTTCTGCTCTCTTCTCCAGCTTCGTTTGGAGAATCTACGGATTCTTGTGGCGAATTTTGCAGCGAAACTACCCAACCGACTTGGTTCCTTTCCACGACATCGTCCGGGGAGTATTTAAACAGCGATTACGAAAGATTGCAGTTTCCAGATAGTTCCCGCAGTTATGTTATTGGAGATACTTTCTTGAATACCCCAAATTCGTTTTCTAGCAGTTCCAGCACTGAATTCTTTCCAGCTTCGAGTGAAAGTGTTTACAGTGACTCCTCGCTTTCCATACCAACCATAGACCTGTCCTCCTTGGAATCGGAGAATACGGAGTCGGAAATGCCTCGGGTCTTGGGAACTCCACGGACCAGGACAGTGCGTCTGGATGCTCCGCCGGAATCCTTCGAACCGGGTGCCAGATCACCGGCTTTAACCTTCTCCCACGGCTTCAACTTGGCGCTGATCAAACTGTATTCGGAATACGAGTTCCTGTGGAACCTAAGGCACTATCTGTTTTTCGATACCCGTGGCAAAGTGGAGGCTTGGTTCAGTATTTCCCAGAAACTGGAGCAGATGGGATTGGGCAGTGTTTCCCCGTCATTCTGCCGTCGCAGGATCACGGAGCTGCGTCACTGGGAAAGTGCCGACCGGCTGAAAGCCATTCGGGGTTCTCAGATAATCATATCCGAAGAGGTTTCTCAAATCCGCGATGTCAGCTATCCTGGTTTGCCGAAATTACGACAGGATCGCGCGAATAAATTTGTGCCGAAGGGGAGTTATGCCGAAGCCTTCAAATTCCTTGACAAGATTTTTGACTAGCAACTGGTGAGAACTATATTCATTTCAGGAGTATACCTCTTTTTAAATTTCTATGTGTAATACAATTAAATATATAATTTTAATAGGGCCTAATACTCTGCCAAACTGCATTTCTTAAGTGTTTTCATATTTTATACATACAAACAGTGTATACATAAACAACACTTTTCACAACTATGATTTTTTTGTGCCTTTTTTAAAAGATGCAACCCATACGAAACATCAATATCATATTAAACTTGTCAAAACGATTTTACTTGCCAGTTAATCACATTGAAGTTCTTATCAATAGGATCGGGAAACTTATATAGAATTAATGGGAATAAAATGATACCATGGTTGTTTCCGTCATGTTTGAAATATTGAGTTTTTTAACGACTCTTGAATTTCCAATTAAATTCCATACAAATCGGAAGACTATATCATATATTTCTCTTATGAAGAACCATCGAAAATAAAATATAGACTATATATGAACTTCGGCTTGCCGAAACTAGCTTCCTTTCTTGTTTTAAGCTGAAATGGAGGATTTATACTTGAATGCCCATGCTCACAAAACAGGACAATGATACGAAAGCGTTGGTCCATTTCAGTAAGTCTTACTGATTGCTGCTATTTTTCCAACAACTTCTCCTCCATTCTTAAAATGGATAATCGTCGGTTTAACCCTTTAACAACTTTTAATCAGGTCGCTGAACTTCCCAATGTTTTGAGGGCTGTTAAAATTATTATTACACTTTATGCGGTGGGTTTTGTGGGTAAATCCCGCTGCCTGCAACAAGCCCTAACTTGTTTGGCACACTGACCAAGTTGACCCTCCCAAAATGGTTACCTGATTGGTAAACCCCATCCGCGGTGGGTTAAACCAAACAAGGAAAACAACAATGTGGCAGGTAGGGCGCCATTTGATTATTCGTTCTTATCTCATAGCGACGGCTGATCTGCCAGCTGGACAAATGTATATTTGCTCGAGCAGGTTGAATTGCAGGTTAGATAAGAAAAATCAGCGAGGGGCTGGTGATGATAGATAGCAGCTGAACTTGACCTCGGGATTACTCGGATTTATCGCACTATATGGGCAACGTTGTTCTACGACAATATTTGCATTTACATAAACATTTTTCAATCGAAATTGAAAATATTGCATTCCCATTTTAACGTAAATACGAATACTATTATAATAAATGTTCACATTAGAAAAATCATATGCTTTATACTCAAATTCAGCAATGTATTTTAAGCAAAAGTGGCTAAAACTTAAGGGGTTATATCCAGTTGCGATTTTGAAAAAATCGAAATTTTTTTTTTGCCTATTTTGAATGTATATATATCTAAGAAGATTATCTGAAAATTTCAAAGTATTCCGGTAAATAGTATTGGAGTAATCAGTGTATTTGTAAAGACGTCTCCCATGTAGTTCAACTAGTAGCCAAAACTTTAAATGCGTTTTTCTCGAAACTATGTCTTCAAAGTCGGTGAGCAAAATTTCTCAGAGACGGCTTGTCCGATTGACTTGAAACTTTCACATTCTCTTCTTAGATATTTTTTTCAGGTAATGAAACTTGGAATTTTGGCTCCGACAAAAACTTCGATTTTTTTAGCCACTTCAAAGTTGAAATTTTTGTGCCAAAAACAAAGTTTTATGTTTGGGAAGCCGCCATTTTGTCAAAAATCAAAATTTTGAAAATCCCAAGTCTCATTACCAGCATTTGTCTATTCTTTACGTAATCCTTTTGGTTTTTTGCAATTCAGATCATTTGGACCGGAGAAATTTTGCTCACCGCAAAACCTTTTTTTGAAGTGGACCCTCGGGAGATCCTCTACAGGACCGACGGAGTCCAACATTTTTTTTTTTTTTAAATATATTCTAAAACTAGAAATAATGACCTATCTTTTCATATATATTACGTATTCATACAATAAATTGCCTCTCCAAAAATAATTTTCAAAAAAGCTCATTTTTTTGGCCTCGCAACTGGATATAACCCCTTAAATGGGTAATATGTTCCTTGAATAAATAGTTTGTTTCAATAATTTATAATGTTTTTTATGAAAAATAATTTTTAAAAATGTATTTCTGAGAAAGTATTTCACGGGTATTACAAATTTCGTTTGTATCTAATATTAAGACCGTGTTTTTACCTTAAATCAATACTTTATAAAAATGGATAAATAATGGATTTCCGAGAAGGTATTTTACAAATTACGACTGTAGTAAAAGATTCTTTGCTTTTCACATTTAAGTAATACTTCACACACTTAAAAAATTCGAATTATTTGAACAATAATGCTTTCTTAAGAAACATTATCACATTTTACTAAAATCGAACGAATATTTTATTATAGTGGTGCCTTAGGATCAATCCGATTGAGATTGCATTATAGGAATGCCCTAAAATCCGTTTGATAATTGTCTCATTTAACTTACCAAATTTAGTACACAATTTAATTCCTTTATTTAAGCATTTATACATATTTGCAGATACAACGGCTTCAGTAATATCAAGTTCTCGTTTTGTTAAGAAATTACCAAAGGGTGGAATAATTACTTCACGTTGCAGGGATTACGTGTTATGGTTTATCATTGGCTTTAGCCACTTTAGTAACACACTCTTTAAGATGGCAGAGATGGCTTAGGGATGTTTAAGATCCCGTCGTATGCCCGAGACTTGTTTGAGATGTTCGAGTCATAGGTAGTATTCAAAATACCTGATGGGTGGATCGTTGAGGTCGCACTGGATTTTCGATGCCAACTTTTGACCCTTTATCAGGTAGGAGGTGCCACAGTGTGTTATCACCTTTAACCCCGCTAATCCGTTTGTTTACATGCTTCAGATTCGTCGACCAATCCGTGGCAGGTAGGCGGTGCCCCGAAAAGCGGCACAAACAAGATCGTAAAACCCACCGACCGACCATTCATGAAGGTAGATCCCACGCCCAATGGCAGCTACCTAGCTAGCTACCTCCCAGATGGTATATATTTGGCCTGCTGGGAGGGAGTGTCATCATTAGCAATCGAGAGTTCGACGAGAAAACATCGCATCGCCATGGAACGGAGCCACCTTTACTTGCCCAGTTTGAGCTACGCTGCCATGGCTCACGTGTACGCTCCCTACAACGGAAGCACCCTGCCCGCTCCTCCAGCCTCTTCGTCCGTTTCATCGAAGCCGGAGCAGATCGAGGAGATGGTGTCCCAGCAGCTGCACCACCTGAAGATGCACTACGCCGACGAGGAGCAGCGCTACGTGGACCAGATGCTCCTGGAGAACCCAATCGTTGTGGAGCGACGGGCACCGCCGCCGCTGAAAACGGAGATTGCCGCCGACCATGGAACGGTCTCCGGATCCGGATCTGGATCGGATGTGAAGGACGCGCAGCGCCAGCGGGCGGAGTCCTGCCGCAAGTCCCGCTACAACAACAAGATCAAGAAGGCCAAGCTGCGCTTCCGGCACAAGTTCGTCAGCGGGCAGCTGAAGAAGAGCGCCGTGATGTTGGACACGATGCGGGACGTGATCGCCCAGGCGGAGCGGCAGCTGCTCGAACGGGGATTCCCCGCCGCCGCCATCGAGCGCATGCGCAGCACCTTCGGCCTCGAAATGGAGCAGTGATACTCCACAGTATACAGTGATTATAGCGATTAAAGCCCGGACCGAGGAAAATCGGAGGAGGAGGAGGAGGAGGAGGAACGGATCCCTGACTAGTCCAGCATTAGCCATACCACACACTTTTTTTTTCTTGTTGACTATATTTAGTATTACTCTAAGGATATTATTAAATTTTTAAATAAATTAACGACAAATTGGAAAAACATGCGCTCTTCTCAATTCATTTCCACCTTTCAAAATAATTTACGAAATTTCAGCGGCGAGAAAAACTATAAAAAAAGATTTAGTACAAAACAATAAGGAAATACGTTCACAAATAAGGATTTTCAAATTCGAATGGAAAAAAACTATTTGAGAGTTCTGACACTATTTCAGTTGGCTGAAACATATTCAAGAGCCAGGAACCTTAAAGACAAGGAACCTACAAATTACGTTCTTAAAAAGTTCCTCAAAATCTGTAATAGCTAATAATATGTAATCTATGTAGTAAAAGTGTAGGGAAGTATATTCTTACGCTTTCATAATTTTCGTATTTTAAACGACTGTTGAATTGTATATGATGATATCATTAAACTGCTAAATAAAAAATATATGCACCGTCTATTATCTTTATGAATAACTAAGGCACAATAACTAAAATGCACCTGAATAAGTTTTTAGAAGTGCTCGAAGCAGACGCCCAGATTTACACTAGTACACTAAGCAGACGCCCAGATTAGTACTATGCCCGGATAATAAGTTTATATCGATTTTTAAACAACATTAAGAAATAAAGAAAGAATTGTGCGTTGCAAGCTTCTGACTGAAATTGTAATATGGTAAAAGGATAACTTCGCCAAAATGGTTGTATGGAGTGTTTATTAAAAAAATGGTAAAGGATAACTTCGCCAAAATGGTTGTATGGAGTGTTTATTAAAAATATGGTGGGGCAGGGATACCTGGACTAATCCTCCATCAGGGATCTGTCCATGAAGTATTAACACATCTGCCCGCTCGAATGGGCATTTGTTAGTGACCCATCACCTCCTAGTTGGTGTCCTCAGGGGCCACATTGGCCTCGTTTTCTTGGTCGCATTCGGTTTCGACCACCTCCTCTCCCTCCGGAGTGTCCTCCAAGGGATGGTGGATTTCATCAGGAGTCGGTGGGTCTACCGCATCGCCCAGTGCGGAAGCTTCCTGCTCGTCAGAGGGCTCCTCTGCTGCTTCTGACTCATTCTCATCCTCTGCAGCTTCAGCCTTTTCTGCTGCAACCGGAGAAGGTTCAGCCCCCTTCTTTTCCAGCTTGGCCCTCTTCGCCATCTTGGAACTGGCGACCGGGGACGAGGAGGACTCTTCTTCCAGAACCTTCTTCTTCTCCTTTTCAATGCCAACGTTGGCTGCCAACGGATCGTTCTCGTCGTTAATTTCTGTGAGGGAATCGAATGCCTTAAATGGACCCACTTTTCCTAGATAGAACTTACCCGGCATGCTCCTCGGCTTCACGATCTGGTCGGTTTCGCTCATGGTGGATCAAATCAATCGTCAAATCAAAACTTTTGTGGAAAGCACTTTCCTGCAAGGGGGAAGAAAAGTTATAGGCTCTGTTCACTTAGACCTCCGGTGGCAAAATGGCAGATTGACAACTAGCTTTTAGGTTTTACACAGTGACGAATCAACTTTCAATGTGAACGTCAAGAATTCAGAGTTGCATCGACTTAATATCGCATAGAAACGTGCTTAAAAAATCGATAGTTTTGGTTGGATTGTGATGCTGAGAAAAAATATAGATATTATCGTGTCGATTGGTCCTTGCTAACTTTGAACCGAATTTATACGCCCAGATTTACACTAGTGCCACCTAAAGTACTATGCCCGGATAATAAATTTTTATGGATTAAATGGATTTTCACACATTAAGAAATACAAAATAGAGCCAACATCAAACATTTTTGGGTGCAGAATTAAAATACAGAGAATAGGCTCTTTAAAAAATTGGCTTTTACATTTTTAGTATATTTTCTATGGTCAAGTACATAGTATAATTTTTTATTGACTATAAAGCTAATGTACAAAAAAAAATGTTCATCGCATACTTGAAGTTCGCTTGGGAAATATTTTTCCACATTTACCGCTTGGGCAGACTCCAGGGTTTCTTTTCCTGGCCGAAGGTAATCCCATGGAAATTGGGCCAATGCAATGCACCCATTTCGACTTGGTTAAGTTCAGTTCATTTGATCCGACATGATTGCACTTTGCTTCCCCAGTTTCAGTTTATTTTCCTTTCTTTTTCGCTTGCGAACAATTTGCGTTGCCAAAAGCAGCAAATGCAATGGAAGTAATGGCCCTAAGAGGGGTGTGCCAAAAGAATGAGGTAAAATTTAGTCCGGCCACCGAGAGGGAGTCTTTCCGACTATTCATTACAATTAAAACCCCAACAGGATAATTTTAAAGTAATATTTTTTAAGCTGGATATATCGAAGAATAAAAAAGAAAAATAAAACATTTGACGGAGAATTTTTCCTTAATTAATATTTAACTTTTAACAGAATACATGTTTTTAAATAGATACAATTAAAATTAGTTTAATAAAATTTTAAAACATTAAAACGTTTTTGTCAGAATATAATACATAGGTATATATTTTTTTTGTAGGATGCAAAAAAAGGTCAAATTTTGTGTGACTTTTGGTAACTTATTGTTTCTTTCCCATTTTTTAGTCATCCACTAGTCGTTGTGGCACAAATACAATATTAATAGGAGAACATTAAGGAAGAATTCGGGGAGCAAATAAAACGAAAAGCGAAAGTATAAAACGCTTCGCCACAATGACCAATCGAATTTTAAGCTCGCTCAAAAATTTCATTTTCACGTGCCAGGTTACAAATGATTTCATCTCCTTTTCGGTGCAGTTTCCTTGGATTTTCCCCGCATTTTCAAACTTTCTGGTGCTCCATACCTACGCACGTCCCACTCTGATTTGCTCACTCACTCAAGTGCATACAATGGCGTCCATGTCATCAGTGAGGATTTAAGTCCTTTTTTTCGTACCTACAACAAAGAAAGACAGAAAATTTTCATTAAAATAAAAATTCATATTTTGTTCAGTAACTAAAAAGGATTTAAATAATATACCAAGCCAAATGAAAATGCATGATTACACAAATTAGATTAATGTTATTGTAATGTTTATACTGCGAAATTTTTATTAGTAAATACAAATACTATTTGATTTAGGCCTTTTATTTATTTAGTTAAATCAAAACTTTTACTATAATGTTCTATAAATATTATATGTATTAAATAAAATTCGTATTAATAATACTCCCATGGTTTTGTATCTAACAAAGGAGTCTAATAATTTATAAACATGGTATTAATAAGTTTTGTAGAAGAATTGATAGGTATTTATAAATACGAATACCAAAATAAAATTCAAATGATGTATAATTATTATATATATTAAATAGTATCATTAATAATATTAGCAATCCAAATTTTTTAGAGAAATAAAGGAATTCTGTTTATTGATTTTTCTAATTGTTTTTTTTTTTTATCAATGTCTATTAAACTAATTAATAAATAAACTTTTTTTCATATTGCATTTTCTTGGTACAATTGCTCAGGTGGTTCCCATCACTGCTCGTCATAATAATAAATGAATGAAACGTTGCACCCACATTCTCTTTCCCTTTCATTTTGCGTCTCGCCCTCCCTTTCTCTCCTTTGTAAAGTGTCGGAAAAGAACTTCAATTTGATTTTATCGCTCGGCCATAAAAGCTCAGCTCGTTTGTGTTGAATGCAGTGCGCGGTCCAAGAATTTCCAAAGTGCGAGGGAAATCGCAGGGAGGCTTGAAGCTGATGGGAAAATGGGAACTGCAGCAGACAGTATTACCAGCAATAGATGCCAGTCGGAAAAAGATCGCCATAATAAGTGTTTTAGTTCCCTAACGATTTTGGGAGTGGTAAGGCATTTTGAAATCAAAAAAATAAAGAACAGAAAAACAAAATAATAGTTATCTTCAATAAAACATTAGGGAATAGAAAAGTTTGGTATAAACTATTTAACTTAAGATTTCAAGACCAATGCTTATTAGGCATAACTATCATATTTTTTTTTAATTTAACAACATTAATGAACTAGGTATAATTAAAAACAAAATGCAGAAAAAAGTGTACAATGCACACTGTGCTTATCCTTTTGTTCGCTATATTTAAGCGTTCTTTTAAAGTTATTAATTGTACGACCTCCATGTTTTTGTTTCGAAACAAAAGTAATAACTAAGAGAAGCTGCCAATCGAAACACCTTCCCGCTTCTGACCTTCATGAATGGCGGCCACACTTAACGGGAAATTAGCAGCGCTGGCAACACTGAACGCAGGGAAGGAACGTGAGCTGGAGTCCTAGACAAGGACCCGCCTCGGCCATTGTCTATTCGACGCACCTGGCACAAAGACGATAAAAACTCGCATTGTCAATGGGATCGTCGGTGTGGGAGCGGTATCAAAACATCCGCCTCGAGGCGTCCTCCTCCATTCACGGCACGTTCCTAATGCGATGAATTGCTTTTTCAATTTTCCAATTTATTTTTCATTTTCAAAACTACACAAGGCGAACTTTATTGATGGTTTTTGTTGCTGCAATTGGCAGTGGTTATCGGACAGCGGGCACTCGGTGTCCGTATATAGGATGCATATACATATATATATATATATTGTATGGCGGATGGGGAACTGAATTGGAAAAAGGAAGCGGTGGCCTGAACCCGAAACTTTTTAGCAGACGCACAAAAAACAGGAGCACAATGGAGTGCAGTGAAAACGTTTTTCTCTAATAGTAAAAACTTGACAATTCGAAATATGTTTATGACTTTCATAATACTAAATTTGTTTCCAACTACAGCTTGCAATTGTATTCAGTTCTTTTGAAATTTAAAATATATACATATTTGAGATAAGTAGGAACTAGCTTAAAATGTTTACAAAATGTGAACACATATAAAATTAATCTCTAGTAATTTAAAGCGAATCATATGTTTAATCTGGTGTACAATATAGATAAACGTGTTTGAAATATCTATGAAATCACATGAATGTAATGTGTTACTGTTTGACCAGCGGAAAATCTCGCTCGGGAAAAATCGCCATCGAGTTTCCCTTGGCCTTTCCTTGGATTTCCGCGTTCAGTCGAGTTGACTCGATTTGGCTTTGTATGAAAAAGCACAACAATGGGAATAGAAATCGCAGCAAGGTTCCGATAGAAAATAAAATACCTGTAGATACAAAAGAGGGTAAAATGGATTCTCAAAACTGCAATAACAAAGGCTATCTCTTTGTGGTGTGAATATTTTAAAGGAGTACCATGTTGAGTTTTATACAGATCGTTTCTTTAAAATGTTTTAAATAGAGAGCAATTACCTGTTATTTCATAGTTTTGTTTATTATTCAGTGAACTAAATTAATTCTTAAATATGTATGCTCCAATCGGTGAAGAACTTATGAGATCCGAATGGTTTTTTCGGGTAAGGGAAGGGATCCCCTGGTGTCAACATCAAATTGCAGGGTATGATAATGATGTTTGCCTAGGAGCTGTGCGACCCAAACACCTGACATAACGAGACTCTAATTGCGCGCAAGCAAACAGAAAAAATTGCAGGTGTCAAAGCAGGAATTGTGAATGGTGTTCTGTTTCTGGATTGTCTGGCAAAGGATAGAGTGCGACTGCTTGGGAAACTGCTAGACTTACCGGGTCACTTGTGATAGTGAAATCCAGTCGAATGGCTGTGCTAAGTTCGCTCTTCCTGCTCTTCATGCTGGAGAAGTCGCAGAACTTGACCCAGCTGGATGGACTTCTCGCGGAACCCACGAGGGATTTGCCCCAACTGAAGCTTTGGCTGCGGGCGGGTGAACAGCATCGGGATGAGACGAATCCTTACGTCCTGTGGTTCCTGCAGCGCTCCAATATCTCCCTGAGCATCCACACATACGAGGAGGAGGGTCACGAATGGACGGACGACCGTTTTGGCCGGGAAAATCTGGCTCTGGTGATGAGTTTCGACCAACTCGTCTCCAATCGCGGAGCAGCTGCACCCAGTCAGAGAGCTGGTGTTTTCTTCTACATCTTGGCAGACCAAGTCGAAGACCTCCTCCTTGAGGACCAACTCCGTTTGGAGGAGAGCTGCCGGCAGTTGTGGATACTGCACAAAATCTACAACCGCTTCTTTCTGACCAGAGATGGTGTTTGGATCTACGATCCTTTCAAGACTCGCGACTCCTCGTTCGGGCGATTGGTCCGGTATTTTGGCTCGGAGCCGTTGGACAAACTGCTTTTCCACGACATGGCCGGCTATCCCCTGCGGATTCAGATGTTCAAGTCCGTGTACACGCGTCCGGAGATCGACAAGGACACGGGTTTGCTGACAGGAGTCACAGGAGCGGACTTCCTGGTGGCCCAGATGCTCAGGGAGCGGATGAACTTCACGATGCTGCTGCAACAGCCCGATAAAAACTATTTCGGGTGAGCTCCTCGTTTTTTTCTTTTTCGAACGGTAAAGCTAAAAAAAACAATGTATGTATGTATGTATTTATCACATTATAAATAACATACATATGTATTACCTCTTTAAAATTAAAATATCTGTATATTCTTGATCCTTTATCATGCGAACCCGATCAGAACATACTGTCGTTTCTAAATGTTTATCAAGAAAATAAAAAACTAAAAAGTGTCGCCGCAAAATTTTTAAATCTTTAATCATAAGCCGTTTATTGCTTAATATTATGTTTATAATTATATTTTTTTATATTTTTGTCCTCGACGCCATCTTGATTTTGCAGTATAACGTGTTAGAACTTTTATTTTTAAAGTGTGGCCAGAGACTACAGACGGTAGAAATACTCAACTCTCGCACAAGCTTCTATGATAAATTAGCAACTCCGCGAAGCTGTAGCAAAAACATTCATAAGATTTCTAAAACAGTATTATTTGTTATTTCCCACTTCCTTTAAAATTACTTAATTTTATTGTGATTTCTTAACAGAGAGCGTTCTGCAAACGGCACCTACAATGGTGCCATCGGATCGATCATCAACGACGGCCTGGACATTTGCCTGACGGGATTCTTCGTCAAGGACTACCTGGTGCAGCAGTACATGGACTTCAGTGTGGCCGTCTACGACGACGAGTTGTGCATCTACGTCCCGAAGGCGAGTCGGATCCCCCAGTCGATCCTCCCAATCTTCGCAATGGGTTATGACATGTGGCTGGGCTTCGTCCTGACTGCTTTTGCCTGTGCTCTGGTTTGGCTGACCCTCAGGATGATCAACCTGAAGCTGCGGATCCAGAGTCCGGGCGATCGCCATCTGTTCGGACAGGCGTTGGCCATCGTGGTGGACACCTGGGTGGTTTGGGTGCGGGTCAACTTGAGCCACCTGCCAGCGAGCTACGCGGAGCGAATGTTCATTGGTTCGCTCTGTTTGGTGAGCGTGATCTACGGTGCCATCATCGAGTCCAGTCTGGCCACGGTGTACATTCATCCGCTTTACTATAAGGACATAAACACCATGCAAGAGCTGGACGACAGCGGTCTGAGGGTGGTCTATAAGTACTCCTCCATGGCGGACGACCTCTTCTTCAGCGAGACATCTCCGCTGTTCGCGAGTCTGAACAACAAGCTCTTGTGGAACCGCAATCTGCGGGCGGATGTCACCGAGGAGGTGGCCACGTACAGGAGCAAGGCCGGGGTGTCCAGGTACACCTCCCTGATCCTCGAGTCATCGCGTTTTATCCTGCTGCGGCAGATCTGGGTTGTTCCCGAGTGCCCCAAGTACTACACCATCTCGTATGTGATGCCACGGGATTCCCCTTGGGAGGATGCGGTGAATGCCCTGCTCCTCAGGATGCTAAGCGCCGGCTTGATCGTCAAGTGGATTCACGACGAGAAGTCCACGGTCGACATCAAGATGCGGTCGAGCATCTTAGAGGCGAATGCGGAGTCTGAACTCGTGCGGGTTTTGACTATCGGAGATCTTCAGTTGGCCTTCTACGTGGTCGTCGGAGGAAATCTCCTGGCCTTTCTTGGCTTTTTCCTGGAGCACTTCTGGCGGAAACGGTTTCCCCAAAAAACGGGGAAATAAGTTAAAAGTTTTTATAACTATTAATAGAATTTAAATTTTATTTATTTTTTTTAATAAACCGGCAGCGTTCACATTTTGTGATTTCCAAATTCACTTGCTACTTTTTCAATATGAATAATGGTGATTACTCGGTACAAATTTAAAATGTATTCAAAGAAATAAATTCACTGTCTTTTCAATTTTCTTGCCAATTTTCAGTATGATTAATGTTGATTACTCGCTACGAATTCAAAAAGTTGAAAAGAGTGAAACGAACCAAAACCATTGACAGGTGGGCACATTTATAACTTGTTTTTTTTGTCATTTATTCAGCGAACATTTCATTTTCGCCTGCACCGCTTGCAAATTTCATTTTGGAAAGGCCAGCGGTGAAATTGAGGCAGCAATTTGAGCACACACAGCCGAAACGGTGAGCACGACGGGCTGATATAATTTGGCCAAGTTAACAATGATACGCTTCAGCGGCGATTGCAATTCTGGCCGAGACCAGTTACAGGTCAAATCGAATTGGCAGCCTCCAAAACGCAATTGGCGGTTCAAGGCTCGCATTTCAAATGCACAACGACAGTTTCAACTGCTCTAAATGGATTTCAGTTCAATAAAGTTATTTAACATCTACTTCAAATTATAAAATAAAGAAGGAATAAATTTATTTCATAACTGAATGAACTTCTATTAATTTTGCTGTGTTTAAATTAAAGATTGAATATATTAAAGGTTTATTTTAAAGTGAATAAGGATATGAGGTATTATTTTAAATATCTAAGTATATAGGTACCTCAAATTTATAAACCCTTTTTAAGTATTAAAACAATATTCAACAATTTTAAGCAAGTTTTTGTTTCATAAATGTTATACAACTTAGAATATCCCATATCTATTGCGACTTATATGAATTCCAAATATGTCGAAGCTTAAATAATATGTTTTTGTATATTATCTTAAATAATTATAAACTGATTCACAATCCTTTTTCCATATTCACTGTGCCCATCTCACTCACAAATACTCTGGAACGTCAATCGGTGGCTCGCTCGCGTAAATTTGTGTTTATTTGGCATTTCGGGTTCTGCACACGAAATGACAATTAAACAGCCGCAGTGCGAGTGACAACAACAATTACCACGGTACACCAGTGAGCAGTTTATTTAAATATTCAAATCCGCGTGGGATGGGCGGAGTTCGGTGGGAGCGACAGGCGCATGAAATATGCGCGAGCTCAAGTCATCTTATCGTGACAGAAACAGCAGCGTTTAACAACAACGCTTACAACAATCCTGGCCAGAATGCCACCAAGGACGCGGGACATGCAGGAAATGGCAAATGCGCAACTGATAAAATGCCGATTTAAGCCCAATAGAACAGTGGCTCCATATTTGAAACCACATATGTATGAATGTATATACCAAATTATTAAATTGTTATTATTAAATAAATATCTAAAAAATGTATTACGAAAAATACAGTTATGGAATAGCGTTAATTATATTAATGTATACCGTATATAAACAGATAACGGAAATTACAAGTATGTATACTAAAATAAAAATCATATATTCGTCATAATTAAATAAATGTATATTAAAACTGACAACGGTAAATTTTACATGCAATGCCCCTTGTAAAATCCGTTGTTGCATCGATAGGTATTCAACTGAATTTGCAACACCATTAAATCAACACTTTTTAAAACAACATAAAGAACGCACGAGTCAATGAATTACTTAAAAACACTATTTAATACGTTTTATCCAACTGTTAATAACCACTTAAAAGAAAGTGAATCGAAACAAAGTTTCCAAGAAGGTATGAATCCATTTATAAGCATGAAAAATTCAATAAAATGTAAATCCAATAAAAAATATTTGATATTTCATCCAGAATTTTTTCGGCCACGTGCGTATGAGAAACATTTTACCCAAAATTTAAGATGAACAATTTGTTTTCTCAGCACCTTTCAAAAGTGAATGATTATATTAGCCAATACAGGTGAAAATGACGGGGCGAGTCTCAAAACAAAGATAAAGAGACTTGGCAGGACATTTATTGAGACACGTGACGGGCATGCTAATGAAGAACCGGAGGCCAGCCACTGATTTAAATATCGGAAGAGCGGGTGCTCTCTTCCCCCAGAGGAGAAAACTCGAATTTGATGATCGCGTTAATGGGAAATTGAAAAGCACGTAGCTTTTCCGCTTGGTAGTTTCGCCTAGTGGTCATTTATGGTTAATTAATGGGGTTGATTGGTTTTTGCGTCCAGATGTTTTATGTATTTCCATAAATGTTTTTCAACAGAAGGCTACAATATTTACGACCAAAAGTGAAAAGCCAAAGTCCATCAATTTTTATTAGCAATAAAACGAATTCGAGGCGAATTTGCTTTGCAAGCAGTTTATTTGTTTTTTTGTCTTTAAAAATGTCTCCATATTGAATTTATTTTTACAATGCTTATCTATGTATACATATATGTATGTTTATTTCTTATTATACTCTTTAATGGCATTAATGGCTGCTTTTGTAATATGAGGTTTTTTTTAAATAAAAATATAAATATATACTTTTTGCATCCCAAATAAAATTCAACAATTGCTGAAAAAGATAATAAAAGCTCTAAGTCTATACCTAATATTGTCAACAAAATTTCTACATATGTATGTGTTTAATTTCCTATTTAGTTCTTATTAGGGATATTTGACAGTGGAACTTTCTACTTTTGCCTGCTTTGTTTTTAGGAGAAATGCAGCGTGGAGAAATTGAGTAAAGTAGAATTCCAGAGAGCGGCCACCCAAGTAAATTGGAGTAGTTGCTGCTGCTTCTTCTTTCACTGAAAAATTGTTCACATTCCAGCCAAAAATAAACCGACGGATTCAGAAAATATTCGGACCATAAGGAATCGTAATGAAAACTATGTAAAAAAAAAAACGGTATAAAGGCAAGGCACGCGCGCTCATTGAGAAACATCAAAATTTTTGGTTTATTTCCAACTCATAACTTTTGTTTATCTTTGTCTGCTTTTTTGGATCAGCTGCCGCTTCTTCCTAATATGTTTCTTGATTTTCTCTCTCGCTGCCCTGCATTTTGTTTTTGTCCGCTGCCGCGTTCGGTTCCAAAAAAAACTCAGGAAAACCTCAGCCAATGTGCAAAATCAGCAAAATAAATCTCCGTTTTTCATTTGCCGGCTAAGCGCATTTATTTTAAACATAAAATTAATTTTCCCAAATCGATTTCCAGTCAAACGATTTGAACTTTTTTTTACTGGAAAAACCACATAAAAAAAAAAAATAAAAAGTGACAAAACTTTCATACAAACAAATACTGCATTGCCAGAACAAAGTGCTTAATTTTGTATTGTTTTTTCCATGTGTTTTGTGTGTAAAATATATAAATATATGTCGCAAGCCTTAGAAGCGTGATACTTTTTAATAAATACAATCATATTTCGTTATTGTTTTTGTTTTGTGGTGAGTAGCAGTTCTTTCTTTTGTTTTTTGTCTATTTTCCAGTTGGATTTTTCTATATTATTTGTTTTGCGTTTTTATACAAAACGAAAGTTTTATTGCGCCTGATAATGAAAAATTATCGTAATTTATTTCGAAAAAGCTTAAGGTGAAGACCTATTGATACTCTACATAACTTAGATATTTTGAAAATAATTAAAAATGATATAAAACTTTAGGTTAGCCTATTCAAATTAAAGATTTATATATAAATGTTTTTTCAAATTTTGATTTTTAAATTTTTTGTTGCGTTTTATGTACTAACTTTATTAAATAGATTATTTGAATAACGGTTTTAATACAAAACTTTGATTGTTTTCTGGTTGTTTCTGACAATCGTAAATAACCTCTAACACAACTACATTAAAAATATTTTTATGTTTTAATTACATTAAAGTAAAGAAATAAATGTTTTATGTATAGTAGGGGTATTTAATTATTTTTTTTCAAGTTGTATTTTAATCTTGTTTGCAACAAAAGTGTGAAAAGAAGGCTGTTTTTATACCGTTTTGGTTAAACTATCCTTTTTTTGTTTTGTTGTTGTTTTGAAATCTCAAAAATATATAGAGTACTTTTCGAACACAAACTGCGCTCGACTTCCTGAGTATCAGAAAAATATCGACGCCGGCAGAAGAGCACAATATTTCAATTAGTTTGTATTGAGTCAAGCAAGTTTTGTGTTATTGCTTTAACTCGCTTCCGTGGCGTCAGAGATTTCGATTTGAAAATTTGTCTGCCCTTGTTTATTTGATTTGTTTTCGACTTTTTTTTGGCCTCGCTTTCCCATTTTTAAATATCAACAGGCACTAATGTATTTAAGGAAATTATTGAATGCGCCCTGTTAGGCTTAAGCGAAGCCATTTTGACACCTCGTGTTAATGGGCGGAGTTACGCCCACTGGCGTTAAACTTAATTGCCAATCATAATAATTAATGCGGCCATTATTTGCTGCAAAATGGGATTGGGAAATGGGATTCGGAATGGAAATGGACCACGGAGATCTGAGAAAGCGATATGGGATCGTCCCTATAAATATTTCGAGCACTGTGAGTTATACGAAAAACGATTAATCACAGTACAAAATATTTATTGCAAAAGTCAAAAGCCAATTTTTCTATCAAGCAAATGGATTTTTTTATACGATTTATTGATTTCTTCGGATAAACTAAAAGTAAAAGTCTTTACAAACACATCCAAATTGAGTGGCATCCAATCCAATCAACACTAATCTGAAATAAAAACAAATTTGTTAATTTTTTATTAACAAGTATAATTTTCTAACAATTTAACACATTTATATTTCCTTAAATTTTTACTTTAAATTATAACTTTTTTATCTTTAGAATATCAATAATAAATTAAAAAAATGAAACCCTACATGATAAACAATTTTTTTAGTTTAAACAACACAAAAATGTGAAAATATCTAAAAAAAGGTTGAAAAAAATTTAATTAACAAAAAAAAATTAATTTTTTGTGAAGTTAAAAAAATCAAAGCATTGATTGAAGACACAAAACATTGAAGAATTTTGAAGCTATGAAGTTTTGTTAAGAAAACAATTTTTTATTTGACCTATTTGAATGCTAAAATCGGCAATTACTGACAGGGTGCCATCCCTTTTAAGAGGAAAAGATAAGTGACGGGTCATGTCTTTTAGCCGCAATTGAAATTCTGTACGAAAACCCTAACAGCTGGCGGTCGACTGATGCACGATGAAAATCCATGGAAAAGCTCAGAAATCTCAGGGCTCTCCCGCTCCCAAAACTCTCGGCATTTTCCTGTTCCTACGTATTTGTGTCTCTCTGTGTCCGAATTTCATAGCTTCCATTTGCCATTTTGCGTTGGCGTTGTCATTGCCATGTCAACTGCAAATGTGAAATGATTGCAATTTCGCATAACCTAGTGGAAGCAAAAGAAGCACTACAAATATGTCAAAATTCCGAAAAAAACATACAAAAACAAATCTATTATTTAAAACGAAGGTAAATAACTTTTTTTGTTAAGGCTTTACTAAAGCCTATTAAGTCAATGTTGTGTTAAACAGTATTTTAAGAAGAACAACTGGCTTAAGTTAACATTAACAAGTTTTACATTTGGAATTTTGAAAGTAAAAAAGTAAATTTGGGTAATTAAAAAAAAAATATAAATTTAAAAATGTGGCAATAAAAATGTATTTATTTTTATTCTTTTTTTTTAATTTTAATTTAAATAACAATAAATTACAATCAATTTTAAATTATTTCCGAAATTGTATCTAAAATAACTTTATAATAATATAACAACCATCAATTTGGTTCAATTATTGGGTTGGCAAGAAAGTCATGTCGTTTTTTTTCAATATTTTCAAAGATGATTTTTTTATATCAGGACTTATAATTAATCAATTATGTATTGGCCGTTTTGTTCGACCACTAATGACCATCTTTCGGGCAGCTGCATATTCCGCACTCGAAGAACTTTTGGTCTTTTCCAGCAAAGAATCGAGACAAGTGGTTTTCGACAGCCTCATCTGAATCAAAGTTTTTACCATTCAAAGAGTTTTGAAGAGAGCGAAACAAATGGTAATCTGAAGGTGCTAAGTCCGGACTATAAGGTGGATGTGGTAGCACTTCCCAATTCAGCTCCGTTAATTTTTGCCGAGTGACCAAAGATGTGTGGGGCCTAGCGTTGTCATGGTGAAAGACTATACCCTTGCGATTAGCTAGTGCCGGCTCCTTTTCTTTAGTTTTTTCCGCCAAATTGAATAACTGGCGACAGTACACATCTGAATTGATGGTTTCATTCCGTCCCAGCAGCTCAAAGTGCACTACACCCTTCCAATTCCACCAAACAGACAGCATAACTTTCCTCTGATGGATATCGGCCTTTGATGTGGCTTGGGCTGGCTCATCTTTCTTGCTCGATGATCTTTTTCGTTGGACATTATTGTAAACAACCCACTTTCCGTCGCCAGTAATGATCCGCTTCAAAAAAGGATCGTTTTTAATCCGTTGCAGCAGAGAATAGCAGATGTTGATACGCGATCACTCATGGCATCTTTACCATACACTTCGCACAATTTTTCGCGAGCTTCGACCGCTTTTTTTTCCTTTTTGGAAGTAAAAAAGCAAAATATGCCGAAAATGCTCACTTTGGTCCTCCATGTCTAATTTGCTATATCTTCCACAAATGTTATCGAATAATTACGAATAATTACGTCGATAGTACCTAAGACAATAACGATACTAAAAAAGACCCTGGTGCTCGATTAGTCGTAAATAAATTAGATTAAAAACGATTACTAAAAAAAACGACATTACTTTCTTGCCAACCCAATATTAAAGGATTTGATTTATCTAAACTCTACTGTATACGAGTATTTGATATTTTGTTCTCAATTTTTTTCCCAACTGATCTGTTTGCTTGGAGTAAATTACATTCCTGCAGTTTCCCTTTTTTCTTATTTTGGACTCTCGTTTTTCAACTCGGCAGGCAGCCGAGCGGAACCGAAGGAGAATCCGAACGATCGGCGACCGCTCTCAGCTGTTTCTCTTCCAAATTTTACCGTTTTCCTTAGATTTTCTCCCACGCCAAAATTCCAGTTTGAGAGCAACTGAACCCAGTGCTAAAGCCAAAGCTAAATCACGAAATGGAAAGTAAAAGAAAACATTAATCGGACAACCGTCAGTGCAAACAGACGTGATCGCAAAAGTCCGGGAAATCCAAAAGATCGATGCAATTTTTTTTACCTTGTGTTTGCGGCACTTTAAAATTCCATTCAACGCCAAATTTTTGAGTTAAACATTTTAAAATTGAGTAGTTTTGAGTGAAAAGTTCAAACGATTTTTATACGGCAATTACAGAAAAATTAAGTGCAGTTCTAAAAACCAAATTTGGAATAATAATTTTTGTTTGCACTTATGTCACAACTGTTTCAATAGTTTTTGACTCGGTTCTCGGTGTGTGCATTATTTACTCTTGGTTTTTTTTTCAATTTATTTTCTGTTGTTATTTTGGATTTGTTTTGGTCTTGGTCTAAAACTAATTTTAGCCTTTTCCGAATGCAGTCAACTGCGGGCCAAAAAAGAAACACCTGCAATGTTTGCGCAGTGAATAATTGTTGGATTCTAAAGGGAGTTCGTTCGTTCAGCACATGAACATAATCGTAAATAAACACAAAAATTCGAAAAGTGTATAGTCTAAAATGCCGGAAGTGCTGAATGCCATGGAAATGGAGGCGCCATCGGATGTTGTGGACATCTGTAAGTTTTGAAATTGATTTATTTGGCTTTTATTCAGGAATTTTAAAATTATTGATCAATAATCTCTATAAGCTATGAAATTCGTATACCAAGTATTTTTTTTGATTATGTCACTTACATTTTTGTTGAATGTAAAATGTATTGCTTTGGATTATTGAATTATGTGTTAAAAAATAAATTATTTTTAAGCTTCATTAAAAATATTTATTATATTATTTATATTTTTTTTTTATTATATATTAAATTTCCTTGTTTTTTGTATTTTTTATAATATCTCAATAATAATTTTTGTTTAGCAATTGCGAATTCATTGGAAAAGATATTGCCCTTTCAGAGGGTAATATAATAATTGTAGTCACATAAAAAGCAAAGTCTGGTAGTTTTGGGACAGATTAACGGTAGGCAATATATCAATAAAACAATTATTATTGCACCATAAAAAATAAATCTAACATAAAAATGGAAGGGACTCAGGTCTTCGATTATAGTCATAAATTGCTCTTTCGATTGATTGGTTCACCCTTCAAAATTGCGTATTATTATCTTTATGGTCTATATTTATCCATTGACTAGGCCAAATGCAAAACAAAGAGAATCGCCAGATAAACAACATTTTGGATAAAAACTCTCGCAGTCGGCGGTTTTAATTTGAATTCAAGCAATTGTGTTCGGATTTGCTGGATTTTGACTTTGCATCCCGAATGTTGTGTTTGCCCAGAAAATAAGAGGGAAACTTTCCCCCGGCGAATTCCTGTTTGTTTGTCCAGCTATTTCAACAGACCGGAATGGCATGGGGAATTTATTTAATTTCGGTTTCAAATGCACTTCCATACATACTTTATGCTGCCTTTCGCCCTGCCATTGCCACCTGCCGACATCAAAGCGATTTGAAAATGTAAGGTAAAATATCGAAAAGGAAAAGGAAAGAGTTTTCCTCGCAAACAGAGAAGTACGACCGCCCATGGCGTCTTGAATGGCCTGCGAATCACATTTGGAAATAGATTCTGACCCCCGAGAACACACATCACATGGCCCCATACCAAACATAATGCTGCTATATAGTGCGATTATCATATCTGAGTAAATAAATATATTTTAATGTTAATATCATCTAAAACACCTCAGCGAAACTTTTCCGACCATTAATTGGGCTGAAGCAACATGTGTTCAGGTCTTAAAAAGCTAACCGAATAATTTATTTCTTCTGGGAAACAAAATGCAGAAAGGGTTGCATATCTTTGGTTTTCTATATCATACAAAAATTGTAATTTGGTTATCATTGTTCCTCCTCCATTTGTATTTAAATGTTTAAGGTTATTTCGTTTTCAACTTTGTTGTGTTTCTCTTTTTTATCCTTTTTATAATTTCATTTTCTTAAGATTTAAACTTTGTCCATTTATAACAATACAATATTTATCAATTAATTTTGTTGAAATTTATACTTCTTAAAATTTCTTTTTAATAATCATTACACAACTTATAATTTGGCTGTTGCTAAAGATCCAATATTTTAGAAGAAATATATTACATTTTATTTGGCAAATGTGGAAATTGCACTCTCATGCATTCGTATAAATACATACATGAATAAAAACTTAGAATATTCTCTATATTACATCCTTTTTTGGCTGCCACCCACATCTTTTCAGTAGAAAGATTATCAAGAACCCCTCTAAAACCTTTGATGTTTTCCCATTTAATGACTCTCTTCGATTCATTGAACGGAACAAGATTCGCTCGATCGAAAGCGGAAATTGGTCAAAGAAAAAAAAGGATCGAATGTGTTTTTGTGAAAGCAATTTGCCGAGCTTTTCTATGTGCGTGTTCATGTGCGTGCGTGTGTGTGTGTTTATTATTGTTTATTGTCTTTTTCCCATGCAAAGGGAAAACGTGCGGGAAAATGTGATATGTGAAATGTGTTCATTTAACTGTCAGACCGCACTGCCCAAAAATTGAATCTCAATCTCGGCCCACTGCTGTTTGATCGATTTGCAATTCTGCAGAAGGTTGAAATGGGGCCAATGACAGATGCAAAAACAAACACTATGCTGCAGGAAAATCGTTTTTCTAAGAATAGAGAACAAGAGTATGAGGTCACTGTGATTTTCCATTGAGGAATTAGCCCTGAAAACATTTATTACTATCATTAAAAACGATGGTTTACGAAAAATGTTGAGGCAAATATAAAAATGAGGTCGCCGTAAACATTTTTAACATATTTATTCTCAATGAAAAACAAAAGTAGAAAGTTGGAAAACTAACTATAGTCTATTACTTAAGGTACAAATGTAAAATACAATTATTGCTTGAAAAAATTTAAAGTAAAAGGATTTACAGATACAATTCATTTAAATTGTTTAAATTCGCTTCATGCCGTTTAAGTGATTTAAAATAATTGCGTAGCTCTGCAAGATCAATATTTTGAGTACAGCGGTCGTGAAAAAGTTTATGACTTCGTCGAAATGGAAAAGTATTTAACAGATCGTTTGCCCACGCAGCAAAATTACTGTTCGTGTTCCTTCAAATCAATCGCCCTCAATGTAATTACTTTTTGGATTGATAACCCAAAGGGAAATAAATCTCGCCGGAAATTATATCCGCGAACGGAGTGACCTTCGGTCGGAACAATTTACGGTTGATCGGTGTAGTTTATCCATCAAACTGCAATCGCCAGAAGGCTGAAAACTTGAAAGCCGAAGACCAAAACCAGAGATCTAAACAATGTCTGGAACATGTTTCCACTGCAAACGGCTATTTTGTTTAGATTGCGTCCCGTTTCTCGTCATAAACATATTTCGCCCCGATCCCAAAAGATCTGGTCTTACAAGGCGTCGGGGAATTTGTGCATATCATTAATATAAATATTTTGGCTCTGGCTTCTCGTATGCGATTTTATGAGTTTCTGTAAGAATTGTTTTTAAATGATCGCTCGGCTTATGTTTGGTTATAAAATGACTTGTTTTTCAAGCAAAATTATAACAATATTAATTGTTTGCGTATGCACATATTTATATACACATATAGCGCCAACTTATACACACACTTTTCACGACCGGTCTGGAAAATGTTTTTCCCCTGGCTAAAAAACTTCGCATTTGTTTTCGGAAAGATCTAAATATTTTTTGGAAATTTGTTTAGATCTTTTGGTATATTCTAGAAAGTATACTTTTGGGGCTAAGGACAGATTTAAATAGGAAAGAGATATTTATTTCTGAACAAATGTAAAAAAAACAAAATAATAATAATAAATTTTGTTTAACATCTTTTAAAGCTGACACATTTTATTTACTATACATATAGTGGATTTGGATTATGAATATTAAGATGTTAAATTTTTAGATTAGCCAAAATTTTATAGCTTTTAGTAAACACCTCTTGTAATTACATTTTAGCTAAATAAATGTGTTTGCACTGTTACAAACTAGCTTTGGCCTATTTTTATTATATTGGCAATACTCAAACTGTTAGCTTGTTTATCGTTTTCTGTCCAATTTTTAATGGAGCGCAAATTTACGATACACTGTGCCATGTGCCAATAATCATAATGGCAATTATTCTAATTGCCTTTGGTATTTGTAAAATCTGAAAGCACAATTAACGACTCTCGGAATAGTGCATTAAAAGTCCCACAGAAACGCAATTAATTGAGTGGGTTTCATGGCAAATAAACCAATCTTATTTATGGTTTCTGTGAATCGACTTTGTTGATCCGACTGGTATTTCATATTCCAGTCCCCACGAATATTTTTCGCCAGTTTTGTTCTACTTTTCCCTTCTTTTTTGGCCTTACTCAGCCTGTTGCAAGGCCATTGTAGCCAAAGTGTGCGACATTTGCTGGCACTTGGGTTACAGTTCGAAATATGCAACAAATAAACACGACCGACGACACCGAGATCGGAGGAGCAACAAAACCTCGACATGGCCAACGATGAACCAGCTGCATTTGGCCCTGAGCCAGAAATTAGCCAGCCATGTCGACTCGACAGTGGTGTCTCCCAAGGGGGGTCTCCCTTGTTTCTTCCCTGAATGAGGCTTTAGAGCCCCCATTGCGTTTGTTAAGTTCATTTATCTAATGCGACTCAAGTTAATCACTCAAAAATGGAAACTTAAAAAGGGAGACTCGAGGGAGACTGTAAATGCTTTTTAAAAATGATTGAATGAATAGGTACGTTAAAAACTTTTTAGCATAGGTTAAGAAGAATTATATTCAGCATAACCATAAATTTTTATATATAAAGAATATACAAACATAAATATATTAAAATGATTTAAGAAAGGCGTTTTTTTTATTGTTAAGCTTTGAAAAAAGGGGATCTGATAGGATAAGCTCTTTACAAAGTCCTTTGTGAATTAAGTTTTAAATAATTTGGACCCAATTATTGACAGTAGTTGATTAATTCAGTTCATGGGCTTACTAAAATGTCACTGTACGATTATCCCTAAAAATATATAGGTGTTAAGAGATTTGTATTTAATATGTATACCCTTTACTTTTCACCCTGGTGACCTGCGACTCTGCTATTTTGTGAGCACCTTTTTGGTGCATGTGTGTGCTTTTCTCACTTTCTTACTCGAATTCCCCAATTTCCCCGATTCCAGTTGACGTACTTATTGCAGCGCCCTACAACTTGAAAATAGCTAAGCAGCTGGCAGGGCAAATAAATCAAATAAATTGCATTTGGGGCGAATGGACAAGGGCTGTCCAAGCTGTTGAGATGATAAGTGAGTGAGCTGAGATTCGTTTTGGGTATTCGTATTTGCCGAGCACTTTTGATTGTGTGTTTTTCAACACTTAATTAGCTGACAGCTCTTTGATTGATTGGTTTTTCGCACAGAATGCGAATGGTATTTAAAAACCCTTTTTGACTTGGTTTCTTTTCACTTGTTCAACAGTTTGTCTTAGACTTCTGTTAAAATTCTCCAAGGCGCTAAAGCCCACTTGAAAGCACTCTTTTCCATTTGTTCAACACTGGCTGAACGCAAGTTACGCAAATGGCATTTTGTTACGCGTTTATCACTACTCAAATGCATTTGGAGCAACGCAATTTCGATTCTATTGACAGGTACACGACAGCCACCATGGGGCTGTGGAAAAGCTTGCTTCCTCACTCAACCACCCACTACACATTCTTGACGTATTTTTTTTCCTGTCGCAAACATTCAAATGGTTCACATAATTTTATGTAAAAAGAAAAAGGATCCGAAACGAAATTTTCAAGCAGACTTAACCACGGAACTGCGTTTTATTGAAAAAAACCCTTTAAACAAAAAAAAAAAGTGTAGCTTCATTTTAAATAGATGTGTTTGCAACGCAGAAAGGAAACATGTAAGATTTGAAAATATTTCAAATACCTATCGTTTTACAAATGAAATCATTGTAAAGAAATGTTTTTAAAATAAACGATGTTATGATTATGTAATTTTCTTTAATGTTGGATATTATTTAGATATTAAATTTGAATTTATATTAGTTAAGTATTTCTATTAATTTAATACATTTCTTGTAGAGAAGCAGTGAGGTTATATTAATAAAATACTTCATAAGTCTGACTTTTACTTCAAATTTTTTGATGGTACGGAAAGAAAAGGTTTTCGATATATCCTTTCACGATCTTTTTCTTTCGATAACCATCACTATTTCTGAAAATTCCTCTGTAGTAATTGGATTAAACTCTATTTTAGCCGCACGGGAGACAGCTGTGAATGTCATCACCATCATTACTACGAGCCATATAAATAATAACAATAACAGTAACAGCACCACGAATAACAACCACCACAGCAGCGGCGAACCGGAAACGGAAACCGCCGCCGTGGAACTGCTGCAGCAGCAGCAGCAACAGCAGCAGCAACAGCAACAACTGCAACATTTGCAACTGCAGCCGGCGTCGAATTTCGTGGCCATTCCATTGCTGGAACGACGGCGTCGCAGTCGCAGCCACAGCCGCAGTCACTGCCGCATTGCGCCGCTGGCGCCGATCATCTGCATCCAGAACGGATCGCATCCGGAGGAGCTCGTCCACCTTTCCCGCTCGCGATCCTGCTTCCTGCGCGTCCGCAGGACCTTTGCCAAGCGTGAGTAGCCTTCTTCCAAAGGAAGTCCTATATAACTAGTATAGTATATAGTGTATTATAGTATACTATACTATAGTACATTATGGTTGTTTAACCCTTTGAAGCACACATTTTCCTGATATCCTTTTTTTTTTCATAAACATAGTTTAAATTTCCAAAATTTAAAATGGCGGGTCCAAAATGGCGAACGGAGGCAGTAAAACGTATTTATATTGATATAAAAATTGGTATACGTGGGTTTTCGGAATTGTTAATTACGATTTTGATATTTCTTTTTCGAAATTCGAAATAACAGATCCAATATGGATGGCCGAATTGGTAAAACTTGTTCATATCAATGTGAACACATTTTCATACTGATATAGATAGGCTTCACTACTTCGGTCCGCCATATTGGATCTGCCATTTTTCATTTCAAAAATCTGATTACAAATCCTTAATCAGTGACATTGAAAACCTTTACATCTAAAATTTCATGTGAATCCGCCAAAAACTTTCGATTGAAAAGAAAAAATATCGAATGCTCAACATGCTAATATAGTAAATTTGATTAAAAAATTATAAAAGTCGAGTTAAAAGTACTTAAAAATTGAAAAAATAGATATTTTCCTAGGTGGTACTAAAACTTTTTTTCACAGAAAATTTAATTGGTTGCTGAAATTTTATAAAATATAAACGATACTTTAGTGTAGAAAAACAGAACTAGATTTAATGTACAATATGCAATTGTTCTACTTAAGTTTTCAGTCTCTTCTTTACCTGATCATTAAGCATGTTTCACTTAATTCCGCTGCATCCATAATAAAAATGAAAATGTGTTAAGCCCTTTTACTGTCTATTTCCATTTGCCTCCAGCTTCACTTCAATTTTCCCACCTTTCCTCCGTCTGTTTCTCACTTTTGAGTCTGTGTCAGCGATTTTAATTGAATTGCTGCGATTTCCCCCTTTTTTTGTGCTTTCCACGTTGTTGTTAACCCATTGGCCGCTCCTCTTGAATCGTTTTCTTGTTTTTTCACCCCATTTGTCAATATTTTTATCCACAGTTTTTGGCAAAATCATGGGCAGCAACAATCCCAGCGAAGCGGATCGATACGACTATTATGACTGTGAGTAAAATGCAAATTCATTTCCATACCATATTTTCTTTACCTACTCCTACCTATATTCCTGCTATATTTTTAAAGAATCTTCTTCGTTTGCTGTTAAGACTTAATATGAAAAGGGCGGTGATTGTCGAATGGAAATCTGTCAGTCATTTGAGTATCAAGTGCGCAGTTTATATAGAATATGTTTGGGATAAATTATCTAATTGCTTTTATGTTTGGGCTAAGATTTGATTTGCGTATCCGAGAGTTTATTTATGATTATTTAATTAATTTTAAATCTTTATTGTATTTTCTTGCATTCTGGGAATATACAAATCAAATTTATATATGAATTAAAAACAGTTGAACACCAAACACCTTAAATCGATGTACATAAATATAAAGAAATAAAGTGATAACTGAAATCCAAGCTAATCCTTGCAGAGCGTAAGTGGTTTTATTTCCGAAGAAATAAATCTACTTAACGCCTTAACTGAATAATTCCCAGCGACAAGTTAATGGGAAACTCATTTAATTAGATTAAACATTTTGAGCTATTCTGATGGTAACCACAGACCCCTTTTGATTTTCGGAGTCTCGGGATATATGACTTTGCCAGCCACAATCAAAGCGGTTTTATTGATTAATTTTTGGTTTGGCAGGCACTTCGACATTTGTCACCGCCCGCAAGAGTATGGAATAGATTCGAGTGCTTTTCAAGTGCCGTGGAAAATCACTAAAGGGAAGCCAGAAAATCTGCGTCCGTCTGTGGCGAGCTTTCACTGTGGTTTGCTTTCAGTGCGGTTTCAGCGCTCGATGGGTTTTATCAAGCATACGCCCGAGTGGCAAGCGAACCAAATTGCTTCTGTATGTGCAGCTGGGGTGGCAAAGCGATCCAATGTATACAGAACAGAATGTTTAAATGCTTATGGAAGCAAACTTAACGAACGGATAAATTACATATAAATATAAATATATAACTATGTGTATTTTAAAATAGTTTATATGCTTAAAAACAATTGACAAAGTGGCTAAAATTTGTACTCTAATGTACTGTAGTCTTTGGGCCTGTAGGTAAATTATACTTGCACTTTATTTTTGAGTGTACACTCATTAAACAGATAAATTTACAATATTTTGTGACAAAAATTAAAAACCAAAGTATTTATTTTTACTTTTGAATCAATCAGTGAAATGAAAAACAAAAATGACTGCTTTATATTTAACTATCAAATTTAACATTTATGTTTTTTGTTTTAAAGGCAAAACATTTTTTACAATAACATAATATTATTTATTTTAAAAGAAGTAACAACTATTGCCACACGTTTTGTCGCGATGATGGGTTAAAATGAACAAAATTTGACAGAGAGAAGTCTGAGTTGAATGCCACATACGTATTAGCATACTTTGGGTTTGTTTGTTGCAAAAGTGAAGAAGACAGGCGAAATCGGTGGCGGCACTGAGAGGAAAGCATTAATCCATCATAATATTTACTTATTTTCGATTCTTTTCGCATCATGTCTCTCTTTGTGGCTCCTGCCTCTCGCTTTTCTCCTTGCCTCCTTCGCTTCCACCTAAATTTCGCTTTCGTGCGTGCCTGCGTCAGTGTGCGTGAGTATCTGTGTGTGTGTGTGTGTGTGGCACTTCAAATTGCGGCAAGTGAAAGCTATAGCAGAAAATCAATAAGACACCAGAGACACTGACTGCGGAGGAGTCGGCAAACAGTGGAGAATTCCGTGCACAATACAAAAATCCTTCCATTTCATTTCAACCGAATTTTAGGATGTTAAGAAATTAATGTGTATAGTTACATAAAATATGTTATAATTTTGAATTAGATTATTGCTTGATAGGTGAGAATGGGCCATCCGAATTTGTGAGGCGCTAATGATGATTTAATGAGTTAGTGGGGAATTGGTATTGCCATTTCCTTAACACCATTGTTGTTCCATTTCATTTGAATCAATTTGTTGCATGTTAATAAATACAAATAAATTTGTAATACATTAATTGTTTTCAGAAATTTTACAGTTGATTGATTGATTTGTTGACAAGTTATTTTAGAAAGAAGAAGCCTATTTCTTTTCTACAAAGTTAACATTTTTAGTAGAATACAAAAATTTATTCCAAATATTCTAGCTTTTATAATTTGCAAAATGTCCCTTCCTCTACTTGTTACATACTTTTTACAAATGCGGTGCATCCTTTTATTCTTCGAGTAAGGGGTGTACAAATGATATAAATAATACAAATTTTAGAATATTTCACATCTTTTCAAGAGTCCCCCAATGAAATATGGTACAATGAGTGCTTATGTATCTCAATATTTATCGTATTACACTTACGATACAAAAATGACAAAGATTCAAAAGACGCATTTCTGCACGATAGTCAAGAATTATTGCCAGTGTAGAAATAGGGGGCTGGAGATTTAGGGAGTGGGCGGAATCTAGGGGGCGGGGAGAGCGAATGGCTGCACGGGGTGGTTTCCCAGGGCATAAGTAGTATTTATGTTGGTATCTAAATATCTACACTCATCTGTCAAATATCACGTTTCCTGTTTACACTTCTGCTGCCTTCAATATGCCCTGGGATTCCCCTTTCTCCCCTCCTTGCCTCCGATGCCACGCCCCTTCAACGCCCAGTTCTACCACCTTGTTCTTGTTTCAGTTGTGTGTTTGTATTTGGCAAGTTGAGTGTTGAGTGTTGAGTGGCATTTGCCATTCTCGGTCTTGGTCCTGTCTTACTCTTGCTTTTTCCTAACAGTGTTTTTGTTGCGACTGCCAAACGCAAACAACTGAAAAAACGGCAGCTGAGCAACAAACACAAAACAACAAATGAATAAGAACAACAAACAAAAACCGTATGAAATATGTGTTATTTTAACATATAATACTTATTGAAATTATTCTTAAGAAATTTGAGTACCTGTGAAAAGTTTTTTGTACTTTTCAATGACCTGTTGGTTAATATCAATACCTCATTCGTATTATTTACAAAATATACATTTTAAAAGGCCCTCTTAATATTTCGGTGATTATAATAATTTATTTTTAATTTTTATAATTTTTATTCTTGAGAAATAATATTGTTATTCCGATTTTTCGGTCAATTTATTTTCTGCCAGCCAAGACAGGCAAATAAAAATGGAAAGGAAGAGATTGGAAATTCCCTTTTCCTTTGGCTGGGAAAACATATGGCTCCTGGTTTTTCGCATGCTCACTTGAGCCGAGCTCCCTTCAATTGTCAAAACATCCAAATGACATTTGGCAAATTCGCATGTAAATGAGCCACCGATGATACAATTCAAGAGGGCGAATCAATTGCGATCAGCAATTCGGGGACCAGTTGGGGAATTATCAACCGTTCAAGTGGCCCTTGCCTCTTATTTTCAGCACACGAGTCAATTAAGTGGCAAGTCATTTGCTGGAAATACTCCAGAGAAACATGAAAGTAGGAAGGCATTTCATTAGATATTTATTCCGTATGTTTTCGGTGCATAATTGAGCAATATTCTGTAATTAAAAATAATTGAATGACTGATTTTGGACCATTGATGGTAACTAAAACTCTTGTAGCTTCAACTTTATATGTTTAAAGGCAGAAGAAAAACACGATTACAGGTGATATTGTTCTTGCAATTGCTGTTCTTAAAAGTAAGCTTATCTGCAAGTAACAACGATATTTTCTATTTTTTTTTAAATATAAAATGTAAACAAAACTGTGGGTTAACATTATACAATTTTAGAAAATTCATTTAAACATTTTGTATTATTTATTTAATTTGCTTTGAGTTAAGATCGTATTATGAAAACTAATTAAATTGATTTTGGGTTGATATAAGGTCTTATATCTTAATCTACGACTATTTTTTCTTTTAAAGAATACGTTTCAGTGCTAAGAGCTGTAGAATTTTGTATCTTCATCCGTGTACAATGATATAGATTTCTGTAATATTAATTGATTTCAAAGCCGATTATATAAAATTGCAAAGCAAAACTTAAAATGATTGGGTAAAGTCGCATATTTTCCCCGAATGTATTGTTTTATTGGCGGCAGCTGGCGGGCCACAAAAGTCGAACTTTTTTGGCACCCCAGCAATGCAGTGGAATAATGAGTGCTTCGCTACCTACCTCAACTCAAGCCAATCCGCGAGATGTCAGCTCGCAGTTCGCAGCTCGCAGTTGGCAGTTGGCAGTTCGCAGCTCCCTGCTTTTTGGCCGAGTTGCTAAGCAACAGGTAGGCCCACAACTTGGCCAAGGAAATCGAGACCGAGACCGCGACCGAGTGATGCCCGCTCTCTCTGGCCAAAAGGGAAAATCTTCGCAGATGAAATGGCGAGCCGAAGCCTCAGATTCGCTTTCGTTTGCTGCGTCACAAGGGAAATTCCGTGCGGCCCGATAATTTCCCAGCGCGCCTCGAGAAAACTCGCATGCGAGATGGTCGGGAAAAGCGGGAAAATCGGAAAAACGCGGCGCCCGCTCTCCTTTCGCCGTGCTTCGACTCACTTCGTTTCGCTTCTCGCTTTTCGGCATCGTCCCTCGCATTTTGCTTCTGATTCTGATTTCAGTTCTCGTTTAGCTTTGCCGACGGCACGACGTGCTCCACTAGTGAAAAATACTAGATAAAAAATAGGGGAAAATCTGGGAAAATTTCTCGTCGTCTTGTCACTTGGCGCGGGCCAAACAAAAAAAAAAAACTTAAAAAAACACTTTCGAAATTCTAAAAAAAAAAAAACAATTCCTGTTGTGAGTTTTGGTTACATATTTTTTTTCGGTGATCAAATGAAAACGACATTGGAAAAAATCAAGTTTCCTCGTTGTTTTTATACTTTTTTTTAAGTGTTCAAAAACATTTATCTTTACTAACAGAAATAAATGCGTAATTTATGAAATGTCTCATAAAAAAGTCGTTTAAAACGCACTAAAAATGCTGTCAAATTTTGATATAAAAGCAAAGAGAATTTCCTCAAACATTTTTGAAATTTCTTTAAAGTCTTTGCCAGTGGCTGTGAAAAT